GTTTTATTAATGTGTAGTACATAATGCTCTGCAATTATCTTGGCAATAGGTTACATGATACCAGAAGAAGGATTTGAGGGTCCTCTTTTGTCTATGACTACTACTACTGCTGCTTCTACTTTCCTGACGCTAGGCATTGGTCTCTAAAAGATAATAGGATATTCGTTGATAGATGGTGGTGGTGGATATAGTGTTGTATAGGGTGATGGCTAGTAATAAAACAAGATGTCTCATGATGTTGAATTTGATCGTCGATATCTTCATCATCATCTGCTGAATCACAGTATGGACAACGACTACTTGATTATCAAAGCGACTTTTCTTTCGCTGTTTTCCTGCTGATGTTGTTTGCGGTGGTGGTGGTGGTTGTGGTAAACGACGTGGATAAAGGTGGCAATGGTATGGATGCTAAAGACTTCGAGGAGAAGAGGAGAGAAGGAGGAAACTGGACCACGACGAGGAGGTAATCTCAGAGAGCGAATAGGGCGATAAACTAGAACCTGGGAATGCCCAAGACATACATATATATCTGTATCTAATCGCCTGGTATACACAGGGAAAGACCTCTGGGCTACTGTCCCTGAAGCTCTGACTTTTTAGCTGAGTTACCCAAAGAGGTCCTTCTGCACTTTGGCTCTCCAGGGTCTGTTATCGGCAATGAACGGGGTATCCCCCTGGCCGAGTGGCTATCCAGTTTCTTCCGTTTCCCGGGGTCGCCGGTTCCAATCCTTCTGTGGACATGAGGTCCTTATTTGTTTCAGGCATTAGGCCTTTCCGATTACGTTTGTCTGTTTCGCGTGCTGGAACCTTTCATTGCAGGATTTAAATCTTGTTTCGCTTGCGGGGGTATCACTCTCTGACATACTCCCGCGTAATAAATCTGGTGCCAAAAGCCTCCATATAAATACTTGGCAATGAACAAAGACCATCTCCCCATACATAGCATCACGCTTACGAACATAAAGGTGCCTGTATCTCCAAATCCACAAACAAACATGGGGTTTTTATTAGAGCAAGGTGCTCTGCTTGGCCAACTGCACCTTGGGTGCTAGTTTCATTATCAAGCTTGCCAACCCCAGATTTCGCAATGTCAGCAGCCGCCAAACGACCCAGTCGATCTTCGACGACGACGACGACCAAAAGATCTTTAGCTGTTTGCGACATTGAACGCGAACTTTCACACAAGGTGCTGTTGGCCAAGCCGAGCACATTGCTCTAATAAAAAACCTCGTCACGTTTGTAAAGTTTGAGATACAGGCACCTTTATGTTTGTAAGCGTGATGCTGGCAGAGAAGTGGTCTTTGTTTAATGTAAAGTAGCTAAACCCTGACAGAGCAAAGATGCAGAGGATCGTGTTTGTGTAACTTGAGTCATTCAGCACAGGCGATGCATGATTCTTGTACACCATTTAGGAATAGTTCAAAAATGCCAGCTAATACGGTCCTCCCCATTCGCCTGTGGTTATCCAAATCCAATGCATACGAACGATTGTCTTGCTCCAGCCCAGCATGCCCATCATTTAACTTTCTTGATTCGAGGTAACCTGGTAGTAAGGTAATGGCTGTTGTTGGATCATCATTATCATGTAAAGTGTAAAATGGCACACACCCTTTTGCTATACGTGAGGATCATTTCTTTTATTTACGTGTACCTATTGTCTATCGTGAGGGTGATGATGACGATGGGTGGATGGTGTGTGTGTGGGGTAATTGAGTGGCCTCAGTGTAATAGCAGTAGGGGGATTTAAACTTGAGGGACAGCAGCTCCACGACTTGAGACAACGCTTCTCTTCTTTTTCTCCCACCTTTCCTTATTCCATTCACGACATCTCGATCAAGGTAATGTATTACAAAAAAGTGCTCTTGTTGGCTGTGAGGTGTTAATGTAGTTCTGAACATGCATTGTCAGGGAGTGAGTGTGTCCAAGTGCTGAGGAATGAGCGTGGTTGGTGGTTGGTGGTTGCCATGGCGATATTGTTGCTTCCTTTTGCTCGTTGCTATTCCCGCTCTACGCTTGGTGTCAACAGGTACATTAAGAGTCCAATGTTGCGGCGTAACTTGTTCCTTTGACGCGTCAGCTTGTATAGAGAGCAAGTTTGGTTTCAACACGTTGGCTGGTTTGGCGTTTTGTTTCGGCTCAACTATACTACACCATGGCTTTCGGTTTCCAGTAACCAACAGCAACGGGTCTTTGTGTATATGGAAAAGGCAAGTACAATGAAACAAACAATGAAAAGGGTGTTTATTGTGTGTGTGTGCTAATAATGAATTGAATAGGTTTCTTTGGTCACGCAGTGCAACTTGGGACATCATCATTATCTCTTTGGGTTCAAGTCCCAGCCTGTATCAGGTGGCCGCTGCGTCGCTCTGCACTAGCCAAGTGTGCTGGAAAAGCTTCTTGGAACGCGTCCAGGGCTCTATAGGCCTGCGTTGAGTTGAGGATGGGTCGATGACGATGGATTTTTGGAAGAGCATGGTCACCGTGTTGAGGTAAAAGGGGATTTGCAATGGCTCGTGAATGTGTTGAACCAACACGCTCTTCTCGTGACAGGCTCGTTCTTTCCCTTGAGGATTTCTTTCATGAGGTGGGAAATGATTGGAAGGATTGGGGATCATTCTTTCTTTGGAGAGGATGAATGAGGACAACTATGAGCCTGGACTCTACGTAAGTGATGTCCTTCCTTGCCATGGATCGAACTGGCCTTGCGTGATTCGTGCAGTGCCTTCTCAAGAACAAGGGATCGCCCGACGTTGCTCGTATGGTGGTGATGATTTGGTTTGTGAATTCCTTCTGACTTGCTTTTTTTCCTTTTGAGAGGATCGCCTAACGGTATACCAAATCGTCATCATTCCCGGCATCATATGGTCTAAATTGCTTGCTTTCTTATTTATAGAGAAGATGATTAGCACATTCACAACAATGATGATTACGATGATCACCCCATCTACAACAATGACAATGATGACGACAACTAGATTCAAAAGGAAGCCTGCAAGATCCCATTCTTTTCAACTTGTGTATTTTTGGATGTTGGTGTGACGGATGAGATTGACGACTGGTGACGAGTACGAGTAGGAATGATGACGGAGGACGACTACGACGATGGTGGTGGCAATGTACAGTACATAGCAAGATAGCTAGATGAAATAAAGCATTGTTTATTTATTACACGCTTGTTGGAGGTTGCTAGTTTGTGGATTACATACTATTGCTTCGAAGATGGAATAATAAAGGTGGTCCGGTTATCGGTCATGCAAGAAGTACATGGCTTTTGTGATACAATAAAGAGGAGTGGGAAGTGGGATGAGCTTGAAAAAAGAAAAAGTGAAGTGATCCCTCCATTGAGTTTCAGGATGAGTGACCGATCAATATGGTGACGAGACTCAGAGAGCTAACGATGCAGAAGACTTGTTTGTGTAACTAAGCTGAGAGAGGATGAGGTATGGAGGGTTAGGTGAAAAGTTAAATGATTTATTGTGAGCATATGGCCCCGCATCTTTTATGCGTACAACAAGGGATTCCAAATTAGACCTTTGCACCATCATGTGAATGGGGAGGCTCAGATACCGAGTGCTCGGATGGTGGGGTTGATACAGCCACTTTTTCTTCATAATTGCTGTAATGCCCATATGGCGGGACGTTATGATACAATGAGTTGCTTGCACTGGAAGCATTGCTGTAGTCAAAGGATCCAGACATTTGTCGACCCTGCAAATGAGGAATATAAGGTTGCATGTCATGAAAGCTGTAATGGCTTGGATATCGGGAGGCATCAAATGAATCATAAGCATTGTTGTATGTCACTGGGCGAATGGGATGGGTCATATTTGTTTCAGCGGCATTAGTGGCAAGAGGCATTGTCGTTTCAAAATGGCGGGCTGCTTCTTCACTTGGTGATGAGATGGCGGCTTGCGGAGGATGGTCATCAAGAGCTGTGAGTGAGGATGTTGTTGTAACAAGTGCAAATTCGTCTCGTCGAAAGATCATGGATGATGTCTGGATATACACATACAAGGCGAGTGCACACCATAACGCTGCCGTAATAACTAGACCCAACCATGTACCATTTTGCAACCCTGTAAAGTCCCCAAGTTAGGCTCACATGTAGTATCTTCCATGAGAAAAGATAAACGTACAACAACGCTTAAAGGTAATCATAGCGTCACTCACTCCAAGGTAATCAGTGCAATAGGTCGCAAATCCTTTTTGGGTATGACCATGTGGCCCCTGCCATGGCGTATCTGTAAATCCAACCCAGGGGATGTTTCCAGCAGACAATGAACCATAAACAAGAGCTGCAATTGTAAGAGCAGCGTTGACGATACTTAAAAGTCGATCAGGGCGAATGGTTTTGCGTTGGAACGTAGACATGATTAATACCAATGCGCATAGGCATGAAAATCCATGGGCCACGTAGTATAACGTATACTGGTGCCAGTAGTAGTGATAATAGAATGAGAGCTTGTTTTAACTTGGGGTATCATTGCACTTTTCTTACCACCACATACTCTGGCCACCAATCAGTGGGAGGTGCGGGGTTGTCACTGCTGGTCGAATGTCGATTTAATAGACTTATTTGCACTGCTAGCAGCAATAAGCATGAGCATCGTCAAATCTTTTCCGCAACTTGCCTGCATGACATGCTAAACCAGCACCACTCACAAGAAATAACGTGATCCGTAGGATAACAAGGATGATGACTCGTGGATTGATGGATCTTTTTGTCATGATGTATCGTAACAAATTGGTGTCTAGTTCTCAAGTATGTACAAGATGAAGGAGGAAAAAGGAGTGCGTCGCGACTTATATGCGCGTTTCTCATTAAAAACTATGGGCTGAGTGCCAAGTGGCGCAAAACGGACCCCATCATTGTTTCGGTCACTAGTTTGTATGTGCTACGATAATGATCGACAACGTCCTCCTCCCATTACCATCATCATCATCATCTAACATCATTGTTGTTATTCTTTATAGATGAAGATAAAAGCATGTTGCCAATACATAACAATACATCTCGGTGCAAAAAGAATAGGTTTTATTGTTTGAAGACATGAGGAACCGATTCCTTGTTTTTTGTGCTACGGTTGCATGCATGAGCCACCTTCTTATCACCATATCCATAGATCAGTCAAATACGGATTGTACGTTTCAATGGGATTGTGGGTAGTGCCTGGATAGCTATTCGTTACACATGCATCAGTGAACATTTTTCATTCTGCGTAGGTCGAACAATGAAAGGTGGCTCATGCAGCCCGATTATCCCAGCTGACCTTTTTTCTTGTTTGCGACGCGATCGGCACTTGCTCTTCTCACTCCCATTGATGGCACCCAAACGCAGATCAAGCGCATCGTCCTCTGAACAAAGACAACTCAAATCCCAGAAACGATCGTCTGGATCCACTGGTGAAGACGTTGCTGGTAATACAAGACACGTTCATGTTAAAATACACGCTCACCCATTGACACTTAGAACACGTCGAAATTGTCAAAAAGGTCGAAGCCGTTGTCATTCCCAAGTTGGAGCTTTCTAATATTGCAACAAGCACATCACAACCAAAGAGTGCCGTGTCAGCTCGACGTTCATATAAGCAACAGCAGCAACTACTTCAACAAAGTGAGGAGGACCAAGAGGAGACAACAGACGAGGAACAAGTTGAAGTCCTAGTCGAAGTCGAGGATATAGACGATATAGAAGAGGAAAGCGACAATGAAGGGGTCGACAATGAAGATGACGATAAAGACGAGGAAAACGACAATGAAGAGGTCGACGATGAAGAGGACGATAAAGAAGACAACGATGATGAAGACGACGACGATGAAGAAGAGGACGATGAAGATGATAACGAAGAGGATGACAATGAGGACGACCAAAAACAGACTTCTCAACAAAAGTTGGCCGTGGACTCAAGTAATTCTCGACAACATGATGATGAACAAGATGATGACACATATCACTCGGCACTACCTATGAGTGCATTGGCTGCACGACGCTTAGCTCGACAACGCCAAGCTGAACAACAACGACTAGATGGCACGGATGATCAAGAGCAGGATGATAGCAACTTGGAATCAACGCCTCAATTGGACATGGATGTTAGTGAAGGATCTCCAGCGACTGATAATGAGCCAACAGCAGTTGTTTCCATGCGACAAGAAAAACCTGCCCGATCTAAAAAGCGAGTCAAGAATCAACCCAAGCAAAAAAGGCAAAAGAAAATGTAAGAAAGAAGAAGGTTATGGATGGGATCAGGTGTAGTAATTGGTTGATGTAATAGTGGGCCCATTGACGAACGAGCGATCTCGATATTCAATCCATGTTCAGCGAATGTGTCAACGTTTAACAACAATGGTGAGCAGTATTTAGCCATTGGGTTGCAGGAGAACGAGGTAAATATCGGAAATCACCAATGATGGATGCGTTGCTGATCAGCACTTTATAGTCCATTGTCTTTGTTGGTAAAGCTCTTATCGCTGTTTATCGTGGTGCGATTTCGATCATGGGCGCTACCTTGACGGCAGACAAGGAATGTCTTGTTTTTCATCCTGTATTCGCTTTCAAATCACATGCACTTCCTCGTATAGAACCAACAACACAAACCAGCAACGTTTCAACTAGAACAACTGATATTCATGAGGATCGCCAGCCTTTTGTGAACGCGTTTGGAAGGCTTGAACATTTTGCAGCTGTGATTGTGATCAAGAGTTTGGAATGGTGCGGCTTTGATGATGTGGATGGAGTATTCTCTCATGCAAAGGATATGACTGGAATCGAAGGATACAAAGGACATCATTTAATGTCTGGCATTGCTGGATTTTATCCGATATTGGAACCCACACCAGGAATCAAAGTGCTCGATATACCCAGTACTTGGAGGGAAAATGCAAACGTTGCTATCCAAGATGAAAAAGGTTAGGGAAAGTGTGGAATCTTTGTATCTTTATCTAACATTTAACATTTCTTTATAGAGCGTGGATCACCCCTTGTATCCATTGTATGCGGCACAAAGGACAGCGGGAAATCAACATTCAATCGGTATCTCGTGAATAGGCTTTTGAATAGGTAATGACAAGTGAATGGCAATGGTTCTTGGATTCTTATTGAATGATCATGATTAGTCACAAGCGAGTTGCATACTTGGAAACGGATGTTGGTCAAACCGAATTCACCCCATCAGGCATCATTGCACTTCATGTACTCGAATCACCCATTCTTGGTCCACCTTGTACACACCAGCACATTGCATCCAAACGATCTCACTATTTTGGTGCAGCAACTGCACGAGATGATCCCAACTATTATATGCGGATAGCGCGACAGCTGACGAGCACTTGGCAGCAGGATTACAATGAGCAACCAGAAATCGAGCTGATAGATCAAGTACCTTTAGTGGTCAACACACATGGATGGGTCAAAGGATTGGGTTATGATTTGCTCATTGGTATTATCGATATGGTGGGACCAACCAATGTATTCGCCACTCAAGGACCAACACCATCCTTTCCACCTACTTTTGCTACCGACATTTTACCTCCACCTGATGGAAACATTCAACCAAAGTTACACTATATTGAAAATACTGTTCGAGGATCCCGTGTTGTCAGCAAGTATCATGCAGCGGATTTACGGGCGTTGGCTTTTATCTCTTACATGTACCAAGATTTGACCCACTTTGGACAACCTAATAAGCCATGGTGGAATTTCAAGACATCTCTAGTGGAACGATTACCTTGGTCATTAGATTGGCGAACTGGATTAGACACTGGTATCTGGATCTTATCTCAAGACATCAAGTTGAATCACCTTTTGTATGCATTGAATGTCAGCATTGTGGCCTTAATAAGCTCGGATCCACCATCAGACGACGATAATGATGCACAAGTCCAAGACATGGACCAAGACTCCTCCCATTCAAATGTAGAAGAGGAAACAAAGAGCAATGTAGGTGGTGGTTCTTTGTGTGTGTGTGATGTATATGCTCATTCTCCTTTAATCGTTGATTAGATTACCCCGCCAAAGTACTTGCCAGCTTCTGAATATCCTCCACCTGATCCCGAATACACCCATTGTCGTGGTCTTGCCATTGTGCGTGCTATTGATTCATCAGAGCATTCTTTGTTAATGTTAACACCCGAGGTGCGATCCACATTGAACGAAGTATCAGGATTGGTCAAAGGCAGCATGGACATACCATCATCTTGTATGCTGGATAGAAATCAAGGACGAGGAACAGGCATTGCAGGTGTACCATGGCGGCAGGTGCCATATATGACCGAAGATGCAATTGCAGGCGCCGGTGGAAGCGCGATGAGAATCCGACGCATCAACAAACGAGCTGGATAAACAACCCACGTATTTATCAAATAAAGCTTTTCTTTTGCATGGTGATCGCGTGACATAAATCTTGCACCTGGCTAGTAACAAAAAGACCAGGGTCTGTTCTTCATTGTTACACAGCATCGCAGGCATGATTGAGTAAGCAAAAAAAGTTGAATTTTACCATTTCAGGCTAGCATAGAAACCTTGCCCAAAAAGCATGTAGATCCTCAAGTAGATTCGATTTATAAAAGTAGATACAATACTAATCAAGTACATGGCGTGTGTATACATGTAAATCTTGGAGTGTGCGACTTGTATATAAATGTAGATATGTGTGTGGGGGGTGGGGTGGGAGTTGAATGACAATATTAATCGGTAGCATCCAAAGGCTTTTCGACTAAGAAAAAGTACATGGGTGTAAAGATCTCCATCTCACCACCAGCAACCAACATTTCAGCTGCATCGTTGAGCAACTGTGATGTCGCTAAAACACCTGGTGGAACAACGTTGAACTTGTCAAGGAATGTCAATAGATGATGCGTGTAGAATCGTCCCCAAGGAGAGCGTAAAAGACCACGTAATCCCTCTGGCTTCTTGAGTGTATAATACCATGGCACGGTGGCAGCATCGATTGGAGCCACATCACCTTCCTCAATAACCTTAAAGCCAACTGATTTTGCTGCTTCCAGACATTGTTGGGTCGAGTACAATTTTGAGATCGAGTTGCCTTCCTCGATACCATGGATCACGCGTCGATGTGACACGTCATTTTCATCATACTTGTCTGTGGTGCACCATTCATAGCATGCGAAACGACCACCAGGCTTGAGTACACGGTAGATCTCACTATACACCATTTCTAAACGAGGTGCATGGACCGTAGCTTCAACTGAAAAGACAGCGTCAAAGGTGTGATTCGCGATCGGCATCTTGGTAAAGTCTCCTTTGATGAAATCGGTGTGATCGCTCAAGCCATATTTTTCAGAATGGGCAAAGCAATGTTCGATTTGATATGCATTGTTGTTGATACCAGTGACATGGGCATAACCAGAAGACTTTACAATCTCACGAAGTGGACCCCCTATGGTGTTTCCTCATTAGCAACGTGTTGTTTACCGCATATGATCCCCCACCCTCCTTTACTTACCCACACCACAACCAACATCCTAAACAAGACCGTATCACGGGATCATACGTTAGACAAACCAAGATTGGGTTATTAGAATGATGTCACAAAGCACGTACCAGCACACGCATGCCCTTTTTGAGACCAAGTTTGAGCGCGAGAAAAGCTTCATGTCGCTTAATGTTTTCCTCGAATGTATCACCTATCGTATGATAGAGAGGGTGTGAGCCTCAAATCACTGCATCCTCTTGATATGTAAACCTTACCTTTATAGAGTCGGGCGAAATGGAATGATGATCCCCAACCTACGTATGAATCAAAACACCCATGGTTAACCATGATAGCCCCATCCTTCATCATGTTTGGATTTGAGATGCCATACCATACCTATACACAAGCACAAGGTTAGTGATACTCATCCTATATCCTTTGATCCATACTTACATATAGAAATCAGTAACCAGATCATAGAAAGCATTGGTCATCTTTTGTGCTCGTTCACGTCGTCCAGCGACTTGTGATTCATTATCCTTGCGATCGGCTTCCTTCTTATCAGACCAATTTTGATAGTATTCTTCCGTGGCCTTCTTGTTGAGCTGAGAATCCTTTTGGGTGACCTTTTTCAGGAACCCATTCTCCTCGAGGATAAGCTTGCCATGCAGCTTGCGCATCAACTGCACTTCCTCGGTCGCATTATCAATAGTCATTGACATGATGCCGTAATGTATATAGTATCTTCAGGATATGGGATAAAAGAGAGTGAAAGAGAAACGAATCCACGGAAGATGAATTCATCCAGCCATTTTATGTGTTTTTGCTCGCGTAAAGGCAAGAATATTAGCCCGTCGGGCGAATTTTAACAAAGCCATTTTTTCCTTTTTCACGTCCCATCACTTTCACACACACACTTCAGGCGTAAAAACACACATGCATGATCGTGTTTTCTCATTCACAGCTTTGATTTCTTTTGTGTATTGCAAAAAGTGGTTGTCGCATAGCAACCTTTATTCGTATGGTTGTCGCATGGCAACATGAGCACTATCGGTCAATAAAATGGGGGTATGATGTATATGGAACATGTACAGGATAAACCCGGAATACAAATGAGTCTAATCTGATTAGCTTACGGTAAGTTTGGATCGGTATTGCTGTCCCCTATCCCGTAGTCTTACGCTTGATCAAGCTAGTGCGCCGTAAAACAAGATGAATGAGTAGCCCACCATAACAACTTTTGAGCCCTAATTAGGAATGAAATGCAGCAATAGCAAGTTCTCGTGTGCCTGCTGATTGTACCACAATAATGGATTGTTAGGGTCGTGCAGAGATGGCATCATGCGCACACATTGCTGTGCGATATTCCACCATACGCATGGCGATAAATGCACCTTGCCCATTAAAAAATGTATGTGATTCTTCATAATGACACTTTTACAAGGTACCTCTTGTTTGACACGTGGATTTTCGCCATCTCAATGCGGACGATCGGCACTGACGGCGACACGGGCCGCGTGCCGTGAAGCTTGTTTCAAGCCAGCTATCCGCTGGTTGCATTGCCGGATGAATGGAAGTGAAAGCGTGGAATACATCGAAAGTATCAGGTGTTTTCAGTCATATGTTTGATTCACGCACTATAGCGTTCTTGGACAAAATCAACGCCTATATCGTACAGCGCCATGTAAACCGTAAATACGCCACAACCCAACAATGCTGAGCCTTGTAATAATGAAAATCTAGTAGGGGAGATGGTACCGGGAATGCGATAATCTTTTTACTCCAACGTGCTGTTTCACTGAGAATGGATCTATGCTTGTATATGCCATGTCATTATAATAGCTGCTGAAGTCTAACAATGAAAATCGGCCTCTTTTTACTACGACAAACAATGATATCATGGCGACTCGAGTCATCAGAAACACCGTAAAGCAACTTTTTTAGACGACCCATCTATTTGCTTTGTCATCTTCTTCCTCGGAATGTCGCTTTTGGCTATAAAACCCAGCATACACAATTGCCAGGGCAGTTGTCCCCCTCATTGTTTCGGCTCGGATAAATTACTTATGCATTTACCCGGTGCAGCAGTAGCATATCGCCGCCGCTGTTGTAGGTGATCACCATTCTCTCTCTCTCTCTCTGCATGTGTCACATAAAAGCTTTAACTTTATTTTCGCTTGTTGACGATAGACTTTGTGAAACAAACGCACTTGCTTTAGAAAGAGAGCCCGCACGCGCGGCACATCGCTTGATGTAAATGTTGTTTCGGATAAGTCATGGCTTACGCACTCACTGCATTGGTAATCTCAAATACATCACAGCATACATTTCAAAAGGAAGGATATATAGACAATTCTATTATTATAGATGCGATAGTAAATCTACTACATGATATTACACGATGAACCCCCTTTGGTATGACCGGCACCATCGAGACTTGCAAGTCTTTGTTGAGCGTCTTGACCCATTTTACCACCCAAAGCTGCTGCCTTTTCCAGCCAATGACGTGCTTCATCCATATCTTTCTTGACACCATCACCTTGCATATACATGGCACCAAGATTGATTTGTGCGAGTTGGAAACCTTGCATAGCAGCCATTCTCAAGAACTCGGCAGCATTGTATGTATTACGTTGTACACCATGGCCTTTGAGAAATCGAAAACCAACATTGTATTGTGCTTCAGGCATTCCACGCATTGCCGCTTTTTGAAAGTATTTGAACGCCTTTTCTTGGTTCTCTTCCACAACACCCATTTGACTCGAATGATAGACACCCAGCATGAAGTTACATTGAGCATCACCACGTTTGGCACCTTGTTCAAAGTATTGATACGCCTTTTGATGATCTTGATGAACACCATAACCGATACGGTACATGCGACCCAATTCCACATAGGCCTTGTCAATACCACCCTTGGCAGCAAGCTCGTATAATTTGATTGCTGATGCAATTTGATCGGGTTGACTACGCATGATAATGGATGCCAGATTCATTTGTGCATATGGATGTCCTTTGCGAGCCAACTTTGAGAGGATGTCTAGTGCTTGTGGATCGGTCTGATTGTTGGACATGGCTTGTCGATGTAACATGGTCGCATAACTGAATGCACCTCGATCGTCGCCACCTTCCATGGCAGCTTTGTACAAGGCAAGGGCTGCAAGCGTACCATCACGTGAACCACGGATCACAATGTTGCCCAACGCTGATAACTCGGATGCAGGGGCCACTGATAGAGAACAATGATAAGCTTTAACTTCATTGTCTATTATCAAAGAATGACTCACTTTTCAGTAATTCGTCGCTGGGAGCTTCTTTGAGAATGGCATTCATAATCTCCTTTTGCTTTTCAATGTCCAGAGTGGTCTCTTTGTGTTGGAGAATCAATTGTAGCTGGTCGTCGGAAGGCAACACATCTAAATGGTATCCACCTGTCAAAAACCTATCAACCCTACGCTATCCAAACTTTGTTACCTTTCATAGTCAATGCAGATAGAGGCTTGGGTGCTGGTCGTGCTGATCTAGATATACCCCCGTATCAACATTGCAATAAAATAAAGGTGACATGTCAAGAGAGAATTACTGTTTTGCTTTGGGTGTGCTGGATTCAAGGAATGGCTCGAAAATGCCGCCCATGGATCGTTGCACTTTGGCTGCTGATTTCCTTGTTGTGGAGGCATAGCGTAAATGGGAGCGTGGCAATGGTTTCTTTAAGCATTGGGAGGATCGATAGAATGTTGGAAAGAGAGCGGCTGTTTTTTGAAGAGGGTGTCTGCACGACATTGTTGTAAAAGAGCAAGGCACCAGCATGTGTGTGTTCCTGCCGCCACACTACTGAAATCTAAAAGCCCCGCTCATTTGATCCAATGTGTATGTGCGTTGACTCTTTTCACTAAGACTGAAATGGCTGTTACTATACATATGAGTGCAATCAATCGATGTCTTTTGGAAGGGGTGAGGGGCCTTGTCTATTACCGAGCACCATTCAACCCTTTACAACAAGAGAGTTATTTGAAGATTTATGCAACATGCTTATGTTTATTGTTCAAGTAAGCGTTGGCTGACATCATGAAATAGCCGATGATGCATGTCCAACACCACTGCCTCTGGTATAAAGCTAAAATACATCGCCATCAAGCACTCGTCACTGTTGCCTTTTGCACGTCGTAATGCACATTGGAATCCAGGGTGACCAGGGAGTTGATTGATTTGGTATTCTGCACTGGTACTCACACTATTCGCTTTGGCAATCTTGACCATTTCCTCACTCTATATCATACAACAAGGATGTAAGCTAAAGGCACAACCCTCTCTTTCGTAATAAATCCCCTTACCAATTGTTCAAGCCTTGTGATGGATGGCCATCCCCATCGTGGAGCCGTCTCACTGCAAGACACCCATTCTTGATACTTTTCACCCATCTCAAGGATCAAATCATGATCTTGATTCAAGTAAGTCAAATCAACGATGCGTGGCGACAACATGGAGCCATTACGGATACGAATGAAATGAAGTAATCCTGGATAACTTGTGATGAATGACAAGATGGAAAAGTGCGTGGTCTCCTTAGTCAATAGAAAAGAACTGAAATCCTTGAGATGATCTTGTAAAGTCGTTCGCAATGTTTTGACGGCCGTATGATTGGTCATTCGATCAGGTAAAATATCATCCAAGTGTTGTTGATGATGATGGTGATGATTGGGTTGATGATGGTTGTGGTTTTGTCTTTCTTCCTCATGATCGTCCCTGAATAGGATCGTTGCACATAGACCTTCTCCAAGATGTACAAGCAAGATAACGCATAATGACATGTGATGCTGATGTTTCCATTTGATCCAACGCGACATCACCTTGCCTTCATGCTGTGCTGTTGTGTCGTCATCCGTGGCGTGTGGCTGCTGGTGCTGCTCACCTTGAAGAAAGGTACTAAACATGTTCTTGAGAGAAGTACGAGCTGATAATCGATCGGCATTACTCTGGCTACGAGAACGTGAAGCAGGTGATGAGGGTGCAGATTGACGTAATGTAGGACGACTGGCAAGGCCAAAACCCGATTCGAGTGGGAGACTGCTAGGAAGAGGACCATCATCATCCATTGGCTTTTCATCCAATGAGCCTGTTGATGGGTGATGAAATATGGTAGCATTGGGTGGAAGTTGATCGGATGGTAATAAATCGGTTGTTGATGAATGAGGAGGAGGTGGTTGTGACGTAGAAACGGTTGTTGTGGGACGTGTTAGAGAAGACCATCGCCTTAATTCTGGTAAAGGCCGATCATCATAGTCGAGGCTTTTGCGTGATAATCGTGATAAAAGTTGATTATGCATAAGAATGGGTGGGCTGCTCCATGAAAGTGAAGGTGTTGAACAATTGGATGAAGCGACTGTAACGGATGAAGTTGACTTTTCTCTAATTTTGAAGGGTGCTGACACTGATGATGAATCGTAAATGTAAGTGACGGATGATTTTTGACTAGTTGCTTCTGAAGATGAGGGCTGTGGTGTTGGTCCATTGTCGTCATCGTCATATCTAATTACGTTATATATATATATACATCAGCTGTTGTCGTTGTTACCATGACAACGAATCGATTTGTCATACCTTGTCTCAATTGTATCATGCGATCGGCTACTACTGGCAGATGGGCGTGACATTCGTTGTTCTGCAATGTCTATCAACATGATTAGTAAAGGGTGTTTTCCCCCCCCCCAAAACCAAACATTCAATGTTACCTTCTCTGGCAGCTGCTTGTTCAGCATATTCAGATGCCATGGTTTTAAGAAACAACAGCGCCTCTGATGGGAGTGTCGACTCGAATAACTCGTCATTGTTGGATTTAGAGCATCGTGAAACCAACTTGTCTCTGGCAAAAAGAAATGCATCGGTCCATCGATAGTGATGTTGATTTTCAGTGTGCTGATAATGTCTCATCAGGGGTGATAGGTTGAGTACTCTCCGTGACGAAGGAGGAGTGGCGAAGAAGGATACAAATCTGGATGATGCTGTATTTTGTTGACTACCGCTACCAAATGCTGTATCGCAAGATTCTCTAAGACACTCTTCCAATCGTTGCCGTAAATCCTCTTGTAACTCGACTTGTTCCACACAACATAGCATCTCTGGAGAATAGAGTGGCGGTAAAAGCGGTGCAGCCACCATCAAAAAAGGGAGTCGTGAAAGGCATGTTGCAATATCGGTGTGGGATATCGTTAATGATCCTCGCCATCGCAATGGTCTTGTTGATGATGATGATGCTATACCCTCCACCTTGTTATACCAATGAGGCCCAAACTGGAAGTGTAATAGCCGATCGATAATATGTAAATGATGCTGTAGCATATCCACTGGTATCGTGCCTCTCCTCGTCCACATGAGATAGAGTAGCCCATGTTTCTACATACACATTTAGCACAACGAACATATAAAAGTAGCTTGGTTGCCTACCTCCCAAAATGCAATGGTCTTGTTGCGATGGTGGACATAGTGTATGCGGTCGTGGAAGTTGGCTTTCAAGAGGTCCTTGGACAAGAGGAGGGGTAAAAATAAGCGTATAGTATTCGCTTCGTTCGGTTGCTGTAGTGTTGAAAAGGTGGATTGATAGATGAGGTCTCCAGAATTGTTGAGAATGAGCAAAGCAATCATTGAATGGTCATGTCCAGGAGCTTTAAGTGAAAGAGAGAAAGGGGAAACGGAGTTGTCTCATTCCAGTCAAGAGATAGCAGGGCTTTGTATCACATTCTAGTGACCAGGATTGATTCATGTCAAGTATAAAACAGTTGAGAGGGTTTATTAGACAAAAGTAGCATGAAACAAATATGGGGGAGGAGGAGAGCGAGAGAGAAGAGAGTATCAGATGAGTGTTTGAGTGATCCCTGTGAGATGCAATGTCTGCTCGTCGGCATTGTTGTTGTCGCACCACCATGCAAGCACCCAGTATTTATCATTGCGTTCAATCATCTCATACTTGCCAGAAGACACGACAATATCTAATTCCCCCTCCAATGTAGGAAAATGAATGAATGGTACATAGATCTCGGTGGGTCCTTCGGTCTCTTTGCTTGGCTGGAAAGTGAACGTGTAGCTTGCACGAGTCTTTTCGGTGGGTGATGTGAACTGGATCGAGAGCGGAGTCCCTGCGACTTTGAGTGGGTGTGGTCGATGCAATGAAATGATGTTACGTGCATTCATCCCCGTTCCAGTGACATTCATCTTTTTGTTGCTAGGCGAATCGGGTTGATCAGGTAACAAGGTATCACTGCTGGTATCAGTAACGGATCCATTGTCTTTGTCTTGAATAGATGAACAAGGAATAACCGATTCCTGCCATATGCTGAGATCCTCACCGTTCCACAAATCGCCCCATATGGCATGGTTATCAGGCACATACGTCCATAGCGTATAGCTCACAAGATTACGCTCAGCCGCATTGATAGTCGCATCCATGGCTTTGTTTTGTGGTGATGCGGGCCCATTGATCGGATAAAACTTGCCAACAAGCATACGTGCGAGACCAAGCAAATGCACCATCACATACGACACCGCACGAGAAAATACGGATGCTTTGACAGGTTGCATATCATATGGAATCCCCGTTTCTCCCAATACAAAAGGGTAATCACCAATGGTCTCACATCCTTCTTCCTTGAGTGTCTTGATTTGGTCAACAAAGCATTGTCGGATCGCCTTTTCACCAATACGCAATGCACGTAGAAATCGTAAAGGACCATGACCATATTTGCCACGCTTGAGATTGATGTAATCCACGTTGTAGTTGCACCATTGTTTCTTGACGAGTGTCAAACCATCATACCAATGCGGAGCGAATGCAAGATTCTTATACTTTGCCGGTAATGAAGGTGGTACTTCCATGATGGGTGGTTGAATAAAGAGGATAGCGTCTTTGTGGAAATGGAGGATCATGTCTGCATACGTCTTTACAAAGTCGAGCCAAAAATGTTGATAGCTGATAGGTTCGTGCGTGATTGGATGTGAGTTGAAGTAATCAGGTCGCATGACAGATTCTGTAGATGGATCCCATACGCTGTGTAGTGCCCAAATGCATCCTGGATGCCAGTCATCTGCACGTTTCCATGAAAAGCACGTGTCCACTGCATTGCGATCAGATGGCGACAACCACGCTCTTGCATCACCAGGATCAATCAATACTTGTCCATCCTTTTTGGGTCCACGCCAACTAAACACCCACCGCTCCACTTTGGTAGGAATCCCTGATCCAAGCTTCATTCCTTGAAATGCTGTTGGCATGTCTCCTTTTTTGAAATCCACATCATCATCGGATAATTTGGTGATATTGTCTTTGCCAATGTATCCAGTCCCAGGCTCATTCATTGTATCATAGCCAATCACCACATCGCCTTGTAGCTTTTCGGCATGAATCCGTTGTGTCACTTGCTTGAATGCATTGATGTAGTGTGATTGAAGGTAATCTTGAATATGAACGCCATTCACAATGCACTTTGGCGCGAATGTCTTGCCGGCAAAAAAGAGCGTAAACATGGTCGCTGATGCTAGCTTTTGGTAGTTTGTGTGCCAAATCATCTTGGGAAAGTTCTCAGGGTCGGGATACACATTGTGTACTAGCGCTGCACCAGTTGCTGCAAATTCATCCGGGTTCAATCCTGCAAGCAAATGTGTCCATCCAGGATGCCCTGATCCACCACAATGCCGAGACCACTATTATCCAGGGAATTGATTAGATGCTGTTGATGTCGATCCTTATGTCATTTATGCTTCTTACCGTGTCCTGATGTGGATTCATAAACACTTTCAAATTGTACTCTTGACATTTATGCAATAGAGCAATGACATAATCGATATACTCCTCATCATAGATACCACTATCATACAAAGAAAGAGATAATGAGCACTTTTATCATTGTGACAACTCTCGTTTGACCACACACACACACACACACTTACGGTCCCTCATGCTCGATCGCTTCCCACGTCACCATGAAACGTAACAGATTGAAGCCGTGATCCACCAATCGCTGCAAATGCATGTCGGCTTCTTCGAGTGGAAATGGTCTGCCAACAAAGGTCACCTTGCGATCATAGTCTTCCCAGTATCCAGCAGGCTCATGAGAGGGAATGGAGGGAGGTACTTTGGTTCCACCACCGACATTGACACCACGAAAGAGAACAGTGCGGTTTGTTTTTGGCTCTATAAACCACTGACCATGTACGTGCATGTGAGAAGAGTAAGAGAAAGGAGAAAGATGGTTGCCATAGATATAGTAGCAGCGGAGCAATTAGCAGCATCGCTGTCGGTACTTGGCAACGTCGATCATGCAGGTGCACATTATTGCCGAGATAGAAAAGGAAATTGCCTCCCAACAATCGTCATACCAGGATACGCTCACACACATACATTTTTATCATCGCTTCATGATCGATCATCCATATCATGCGCATCACTCCTCGTGTATCACTATGTGCGTCCAATACTACATTCAGCAGCAGTATCTTTAGTCATCACCATAAAGCAACAATAAATGACAAAATAAGCTTCTTTGCTGACATCAGATAGCACGAGACTCATTAAGGGTGTAATCATCGATATAGTCTTTGCGCTTGGACATACATAAATGGGTGGAAAATACACTTTTGATCAATCAATACGCATCTTCATTACTTCGATTATAAAGGCGATAATGCCAACTCAACATTCAGCCAAATAATGGCATTATCCTTTTATTGATTCTCATTGGACTCTTTTATTGTCTCTTTCACTTCCTTCTATATTGTGAGGACTTCAATATATGTATTATACATAGTTATTGCTCAACGAAGACTAAAAGCTTATGACATCAACGAAGTATCTTCAAATAATCAGCAAAGAATTATGTATTACATGAGCAGATAGTAGAAGTGGTTAATGGGAATAAAAAGGGGAAATGACTGAGAGGAAAAGAGATCATGCAAGGGTTTGTGATTGTGACTTGGGTGAAGATTGTCGATTGAAGGATGGTGATAATGTGCTGGTACGTAGGGGTTTCGTGGCAATATCAACTTCTTTTCTCTTTCGCTTGTTGATTGTATTCACGGTACTGTATTCATCATCAGCTCCTTTCCTTTCCATGATACTTCTAATAACTGGATGAGGTCAACGGCAAACGTGTTGACGCAATCCGGAAGGAGCATCTTTCAGACCCTGACACCCGACCTGAGCCACCCACAGGAGCATCCATTATGGCCAATTCCATGTCTAATCCTAATAAGGGGAACAATGCAACATCATCGTTAGCAAGTACTATGATAGCTGCCATCCTTCACTTACCCATGATCAGATATCCTATGACAGCAGCGTGGTTGGCCTTGTCAGGATTCTTATCCACCACGCAGGAGAGCATATCTCTCAGAGATTTCGGGAAGCCGTTATTTCAACATCATGCAGGCTGTGGCGTGTCACCTAGCCCAAATTTGCAAATGCGCTTCAGGAGGTAGCTACATCAAAGATTGGATGAGTATAAGCTTCATGAAGCAAGATGGGTAGGTTTTACCTTAATAGAAGAGCCAAATACTGTATCAAAATGACAACAATGACGTGCTATGAATGACCAAAAGATCAGCTCTCATTCATAAGGTCACAAAGAAAGCTCACCACCATGGTACTCACATCGGCTTGGGATTTAAAGGCGTCAGCAATCAAAAAGGCGACATGATAGAAAAAAGAGATGTGCAGGAGTAAAATGAAGGGCGACAACATTAATCTTGTTTATATCTGCATAGCGGGCGTGGGTATTTCTTGATCACAAACGGGAAGGAAAAGAGTGATAAAATGGTGATGAGCTGATAGATTGACGGGCCGCCTTCACGAATATCTTCAGTGTGGTCGAATTTCCATGCATAAATCAGGATCCGGGGTGAACAAGAAGATAGTAATATCCATCATCAAATGATGCCATTCATAGGCTATCACTAATCACTTGCTGTGCTCAAACTCCACGAAATAAGACGGTGTTCGACGATGCTTGTGTGAGTGTAGTTTCAGAAAGGAAAGTCGAAGGCACCTTCATCGATAAGCATAGCGCACAAGCATAATAAATGTTCCCGGTCACCACAACTCCCGCAAGGGATTGATCCATGTGTACTTGTCATCCATCTTTGTCGTTAGCTGCCTCCCCACTTCAGCCAAGCCAAGTTCCTTGCTATCGTTCACGAAGAGGATATCCATCCTTGAGCCCATCATTTGGTTTTCCTCCTTTGCAATCCTTCGAGCGTCCACTTGTTCCTCCTCTTCGTTGTTGCCAAATACATTGCTCGCCAAACCTCACTTGAATAGTGTCGTCGTCAAGAAAGATGATATATGAACGATCAAACGTTGTGCAATAAATCAGACACGGAGGAGTCATAATCTGCAGGTCGTTGTTGTTGTAAAGAAAAAGATTGGCAGCCATCATCCACTTTTCTGCATCCACTTCTTATCTTGCTCTTGAATCGGATAAAAAATGACCGCCACTGATCACTGATCAATTCCTTTGACCGTCAAATCCTGATCATAATGCTCGAGGTATTGATGTCCAATGGTAACGGTGAGTGGGAAGTCTTCTGTAAAGTACTCTTTCCACGTGTCATCAGAAGGATCCAAAATGTGCGAATGTGCCTGGCGTCGTGTTCACATATAATGGCCATCACTCCTCATTGTATCCTCCAACACCATGCCTATCTTGGATATCCATTTGTTGGAGACTGGGGACGCGCCATATTGTGCCATAATGCTCAACGTAGCATGCGATGAGAGAGCACAATATCTCGTGACATGGGATGTCGTTGATGGCATTGGACCCGACTTTGTTGACTTTGTAGAGCGAGTTGACATGGAATTCGAAGACTGTGATGAGAATGGTTTCTGTTGTAGGTTGGTTCCAATCTCTTGCCAGCTGGTTCTATTGTCAGGCTGCCCGCGAAACTTCAAATGAGAAGCTGTATTCAAGAAACTGATGCCTCAAAGTTGCATTGCCTGAACAAAGAAACCAATTCGATTCATATTAGCACACATACAATGAACGCCCTTTATCATTGTTTGTTTCATTGTACTTGCCTTTTCCATATACATAAAAACCCCTTTGTTGTTGGTTACTGGAAACCGAAAACCATGATGTAGTGTTGTTGAGCCGAAAGAAAACGCCCAACGAGCCAACGTCTTGAGACCAAACTTGCCATCTATACAAGCTAACACGTCAATGGAACAAGTTACGCTGCAACATTGCACTCTGAATGTACCTGTTGACACCAAGTAGAGCAGGAGTAGCAATGAACAAGAGGAAGCAACGTTATCCCCATGGCAACAACCAACCACCCACCACGCTCCATTCCTCAGCATTTGGACACACTCACTCCCTGACAATGCACGTTCAGAACTATATTAATACGTCACAACCAACAAGAGTACTCTTCTATAATACATTACCTTGATCGGGATGTCGTGAATGGGATGAAAGCAGAGGAGGGAGAAAGAGAAGAGAAGCATTGTCTCAAGTCGTGGAGCTACCGTCCACAAGTTTAAATCCCCTACTGCTATTACACTGAGGCACACTCAATTACCCTATACACATCATCCACCCATCGTCATCATCGCCCTGACGATAGACGATAGCTACACGTAAATAAAAGAAATGATGCTCCTCACGTATAGCAAAAGGGTGTGTGCCATTTTACACTTTACATGATAATGATGATCCAACAACAGCCATTGCCTTACTACCAAGTTAGCTCGAATCATAAAAATTAAATGATGGGCATGCTGGGCTGGAGCAGGACAATCGTTCACATGCATTGGATTGGGAAACAAAGATGATTGGGAGGAATGGGCTATCAAGTGGCAGTTTACAAATAACTTACCAATTTGATTCTTCTGATATTGGATGATACTTCTGTGTTTGAGCGTTTTTCAGTCAAATCCCCTCGGATCAAGAAAGTTGAATGATGGAAATGATGAGCTGGAGCAAGACAATCGTTCACATGCATTGGGTTGGGCAATAAAGATGATCGGGAGGACTGGGTTATTAGCTGGCATTTAGAACTAGTCCTGAATAGCGTACAAGTATCATGCGTCGCCTGTGCTGACTGACTCAAGTTACACAAACACGTCCCTCTGCATCTTTGGCTACAGTCATACTACTTGACAATGAACAATGACCTCTTTTCATATAGCATCATGCTTACAGCATACGTAAAACATAAAGGTGCCTGTATATCTAAACTTTACAATCAAACGTGGGGTCTTTAATAGAACCATGTTGCTCGGCGGGGTGAAAGCGATCTTGTGTCAAACTATGAAGTCCATCGTGGCCAATTCCAGATTTCGCAATGTCGCCACCAGCCAAACTGGATCTGGGGGTCAACCTCTTCGACGACGACGACCAAAAAATATTTTTTGGGCTGTTTGCGACATTGAACGCGAAACTTTCACACAAGGTGCTGTTGGCCAAGCCGAGCACATTGCTCTATTCAAACCCCACGTTTCATTGTAAAGTTTGGAGATACAGGCACCTTTGTGTTTGTAAGCGTAATGCTATATGAGAAATGGTCTTTGTTCACTATCAAGTAGGTGGACCCTGGCAGAGCCAAAGATGCAGAGGGTCGTGTTTGTGTAACTGGGTTAAAAAGTTTGGACTTCAGGGACCATGCATGACAGGTACGCAACCCTCACTTTTATGTCATACATTGGCAGCTAATTGCCACTTTTGTGCATTCACAACTTTTGTGCATTCTATTGTAGGTGGACGATGCTCCTGCTCTAGACATTCATTTCCATGATTAAAGTAGGTTGATCCGAGCTGATTTGGTTGAGTTACGCTCACACAAGATTACATCGGTTGAGCTACATCGAGCGTACTCTATGTCCAGAGTGATGTAATCTCTCTTTGACCGTAGCTCAGTCAAATCAGCTCGGATCAACCTACTTTAATCATGGAAATGAATCTCTAGAGCAGAGGCATCATTCCCATGCAGTGGATCTCGCAACAATGGTGATTGGATAAAAGTGGCCGTTAGCTAGCAATACATGCCTGTTCCTAGATGATCCATAAAGTAATTATACATTGACCCTTCCATTCATGCAATCGTAGCTGTGTTACACAACACAACCCTCTCTATCTTTTGCTCTGCCAGGGCCCACCTACTTGACAATGAACAAAGACCACTTCTCATATAGCATCACGCTTACAAACATAAAGGTGCCTGTATCTCCAAACTTTACAATCAAACGTGGGGTTTTTATTAGAGCAATGGGCTCGGCTTGGCCAACAGCACCTTGTGTGAAAGTTTCACGTTCAATGTCGCAACTAGCCCAAAAAATATTTTTTTGGTCGTCGTCGTCGAAGAGGTCGACCCCCAGATCCAGTTTGGCTGGTAGCGACATTGCGAAATCTGGGAATGGTCACGATGAACTTCATACTTTGACACAAGATCGCTTTGACCCCGCCGAGCAGCTTGTTCTCTTAAAGACCCCACGTTTGATTGTAAAGTTTAGGGATACAGGCACCTTTACGTTTGTAAGCGTGATGCTATATGAGAGGTGGTCTTTGTTCATTGTCAAGTAGGTGGACCCTGACAGAGCAAAAGATGCAGAGGGTCGTGTTGTGTAACACAGCTACTTTGCATGACTGGAAGGATTGATGAATTATACTTTATGTGTATCCACAATAGTCCATACAGTGCACGCTATCAGCCATTTCCTCACAATCAGCGTTGTTGCAAATTCCACTGCATGTGAACGATTCCCCTACTCCAGCCGAGCGTTCCCATCATTCAAGTTTCTTGATCCGAGCCGATTTGACTGAGCTACGCTGAAACAGCAAACATGAAAAGTAATGAATCGCAGGGTCTGCGAATGTCTCCGTCTTTCAAACTTTTGGAAGCTCCCATTCCAAATTTTCAAATGAAGCGCGAGGTTTTGTTAAGAAAAAGTTGATCAGCATGCTCGAGAGCACCATTCTGACCAATTTTCAAGTTGGAGGTGAGCAACTTCGGGGCGGTGGGCCGTCCGCTCTTTTGTTCCCGTCATCCACCATTTGGATCACCCCGCATTTTAAATCTTCACAATGAAGTCTGCGACTTTTAAATGAATGAAGTTGATCAGCATGACCCAGCAAACCTTCTGACAAAGTTTCATGTTCGAGATGGGGAATCCCAAGGTAATACATACTATTTCCATAGATCATGAATCGGGCGCTGACCTGCTTTCCGACCTCCATAGTAAATCCCACATTGTACCCTCCCATTCAATTTTTTCAAATGAACATGAGGTTTTTTTTAAAACAATAGCGATCAGCATGTCCTCGAGCACCTTGTGTGAAAGTTTCAGGTTCGAAAAGAGCAATCTCAATATCAAGGTTTGGTGTACAGTGTTCATGCATTTGTAGGGCAGCCCAACCTACTTTAATTTCCAGCTCTTCCACACCCACTTTATCTTCTCTTTCTCCCATTCTCAACTGTTGCCCCATTCAAGTACAACTACCCCGTGCGAACGATTGTCCTGCTTCAACCCATCATGTCCATCCTACGATTGTCTTGATCCGATTGCTTTTGACCGAATGGCAAGTTCATGGCCTGTACACACCTTCTTGTCACTCTATTACAACCATACGGCTTTCTTGATACAACACACGCTTTTGCACACTCCTCTGCCACCATCAAACGCAACAGCATTCATTCCAGCAGTTGCTATTAGCGAAGTCTTCACTCCATTGTCTCAAACAGCAATCACAACCTTGTCACTCTACTACAACACACGCTCTTACATACTCATCTGCCACAACCAAACGTAACAGCAGTAGTTGTTAGTAAGGTCTTTCTTCATTGTTTGCAACAACGCTTTTTACTTGCAGCAACATGCCTTACAGCCTTTATTGCGCGAAAAGTAGATAGCCATTATATAGAGTATCAGCACATGAGTGATCACATGGATCTTTTCAACCAACATGTTGGATTCGATGGATGGATGCAATCAAGTGCAGCGATGGGAAACCTTGGAATGTTGCTTTGGATACGTGGCATGTTATCAGCAGGAAGGAACTATCATATCATATGAGTAAGGCTGAGGATGATGATGGATTGGATGGAATTGACCAAAGGTGCTGTACAGCGATGGATGGTATTGGGATACTCGAGTCAGTGCACGACACAGCAACTATTCTTCAATCATGGGATGAAGGATGATGGTTTATGACGGCAGCAACCAAGGATACAATGAAACGATTACCTCTGTTAACTCTATATGTGATTCACCTGTATATGATTCAATTTGCAATGCTGTACCTTTATCATATTTGCTTAATAAACATCCACACTACCATGCGTTATTCTTTGAATGAAATTGATCCCGGCTGAAGGCGAGCTTTGTTGTTTACAATAGAGCACTTTACGTATCTCGCTACCAGGGGAAGCAAGAAAAACTTGAATGCATGGTACAAGTTATATAGATGCAAGTAGGAGTAGAAATCAACGCGACCGCGACATCTTTATTTGATCCCTTTTTCCGCGCAAACACTCAAACTATGAAAGTCAAGATCAAATCAGCTACTATGGTTGCCTACTGGTCCTGGGATGTTGGAGACAATGACATTTGTGGCATTTGCCAATCGTCCTTTGATGCGACTTGTCCAAAGTGCGAGATGCCTGGAGAAGAGTGTCCCTTGATTCATGGCGAGTGCGGGCATACGTTTCACCTTCATTGTTTGCACCAGTGGTTGGCAAGTTCCACAAATGGTGAGCAATGCCCAATGGATCGACGACCATGGCGAACAGCAGAAGCAGCACGTGGATAGAGCATCATTATCATCATTAGCATCATCTTACTGTATATCATCATCATCATCATCATCATAACATCTATATACCCCTTCGCACAAACACAGCAATAAATTCATTTACACAACGCTCTTTGGTGGATGCATTTTATTGTTCATGCAAGTGAATGCTCTTATTTGTTCAAGACGATACCATCGAACTATAAAAAGAATACCTTGTTAATGTCATGATCCTAATGTGATGATGATCCCATTCGCTTTACTTACTCGGCTCTTGAACCATTCAACGGTCTCCTCCTTCTTGATACGGTGGTTGAAGCCAACGGTGCTCTTTTGGTGCTTGCGGCGGGCGATACGGTAGCCAGGGCGACCCATGACAACAAAGTAGTCCATACCGTAGATACCAATGGAAGGATCGTACTTGATACCCAAATCAATGTGTTCGTCGATACCGAAACCAAAGTTACCAGTCTCAGAGAAGTTGCGAGCACGAAGTTCATATTCCTTGACCTTCAAACCACGTTCCAAGATTTCCTCAGCCTTGGGGCCACGAACAGTAACGTGAACGGCAATCTTTTCGTTACGACGAATGCCAAAGGTACGGACAGTGTAACGAGCCTTGGAGTAAACGGGAGTTTGACCAGTCAATTGTTCAAGCACCTTGGCAGCACGGGTAAGTCTATCACCCGATTCACCCACGGAAATGTTGAGCACAAGCTTCTCAATCTTGAGCTGGCGCATGGGATTCTTCTTGACCTGCTTTTCGGCGCTCTATAAAGTAGTGTATACAATATCGATAATAGCATATATAAAAATGAGTCATCTTTCATCCATCCATCGTCCTATGATTCATCCATCCTATATCCAATGTTGATTCATCCATTCCTCCCCTCTCCATCCATCCATGGGATAGCACTCACCATTGTCACTGTTCAAAAGAGGGTTGGATCACCGGGCTACTGAGCACACTTGGAAAGCCTCCCTCTCCCCGGCGTGCTCAATGCGGATGTTGAATTGGTGTCACCTTATTATCCTCCCCCACCACCACCACCACTACCACCCACCCAGTCAGTCAACTAATATACGTATACCTTCATCATCCTCTGGTCGATTATGGAAACATGCTTCATTAGGGGTAGAAGGGGGTTGCTATGACAACATACATCTAATAGCACTACATCATCATATTGCCTATGTTGAGTGATTTTCAAATGAAGCCTACTGCTACCACTACTACTAGTAGCATGCCATGACGGCATTGAAAGTTGTGTGCTTGATTACTACTAGGAGTTATGTACTGAAATCATTGGATGAGTAGTACACGAATAGGTAATTTGTATTAAGAAACATGCAATCAAGTAGATATTTACAACAGAAAGGAAGGTGTTGGAGATGAGATGATGGAAAAGGGGGAGGGCGGCATGGAGGGATTTATGTAAAGAAATGTGAGAAGGATGTTGCGTGAGTAGTGGGTGGGTGGGGGTGTGGCATTAATTATCATTTGACATCACCGGATGATTCAGCATTGTTGTTATCATGTCGATCCCAGATCACAGTAATCTCTCCACTTTGTTGCGATATCCAACTACTTGTTCTTGGTCTTGGATCCTCTACACGTAATAAGACATCGCCGCCGTCTTCATCATCGTCATGATCAGCCGATGAAGCTGAGGAAGTTGTATCCGTAGCAACAAGATGGCTGTTACTATCATTTGTAATAGCTGTTGTTGTTGTACGAGGAGCTGGATCGGCACTTTTTACAGATGCTTTACGTGTGACACCACCCTCTGTTCGGGTCACAATTCGTACCATGGTGGGCTTGGCTACGAGTAAGCGACCGGCTTGTTGTTGTTGTTGTTGAGAATGAGCGCCAACCGATGCGGATCTTGATAACCCATTCTTTTTCACTGAAACAGCACGGCGGATTTGAACGGTGTCATCAAACTCATCTTCCAGATCATTGTTCCGATAATCGTACTTTGTAACCTTGACCGATGATGATCGATTGATAGAAGATGTTGCTGGTGTAATAGTCGAAGATGGCAATAAATTGAGTGATTGGCGGATTGTTGTTGTAGAAGGAGGCGTTGTCAAACGTGGGATCTGTAGCGATGTGCCCATGAATACAGGTGATTGTGGTGGATCTACATGCAATGTAGGCTATATACGTGCGTGTCATTAGTCCATATATACATGTATGTGTATAGTGATTAATATTTACCTGATGAGTAGGGGATGATAATGGTGGAGAAGTGGGTTGAGGAGGCTGGATGGCGGCTGTTGTCGGTGATGGATGCGGAAGGAACGGGTCCTGTACTGCAGTGGATGGTAGTACAACAACAGGAGGTGGAGGACCGAGCGATTTGAGTTCAAGTTGTTGTTGTTGTGGTGGTGGTTGATGTGGATACTGTTGTTGTTGTTCTTTTTGTCGTCGTTGCTTACGTCGTTTGTAAAAGACAAATCCTGCCACTGATACAATAATAATTGCACCCACAACCAGCCCCGTCGTAAGGCCAGCAATCAATCCAACGCGACTATTGCCACCACCATCATTGTTGCTGTCAGATGCCTTGCTTACTTCAGCTGTAGTTGAAGATAATTCCAAAGCTGATAAACTCACGCACTCGGCTGGTGGACAATCGCTACACGTGTTGACATTGGCAATACATCGCTGTGAGGAATCACACGCTGGTTGACAAGACGCTTGTGGGAGGTGTAGAGTGTCCTCATGGCGTTGTTGCAATCGTGGTCTTCGTCGACGGCGACTCTGATCTGTCAAGGTGTTTTAGCGTTACATACCTTGTAATATCCTTGTATACATACCATCCAGCATTGTTGTTGATATAAAAAAGAATGTAAATCGATAAAGATAGGAAAAGGGGGTGGTGGGGAAGGGTGTCCCTGGGTAGTTTTTTCGTGAGGAGGAGAAAGGGAAGAAGCTTTTGGTTCTTGTTCCTCCTTGCTTGGCCCTTATAATCGTTGAAATTCCGCCTTGGTTTAGCAAGAGACTGTCATATGGCTCTAGCTCTTGCTTGAGATTTTCAAACCGTGTACCTCTTTTTTTGGGAATTGCCCTTTTTTTTCCAAGTGGTTTCACTTTAATCTTGGGAACCCATACTTCACTGATACACTGACACACACACACGTTCTTTCTCTCCGCATCAAGTCCGCTAAACAAAGGATACCAACATCAATGATCCCAATTTTCGGGCACACAGGGGTGGTCCCTCATAGTCATAGCTGTCGCTGCTATTCATCGCTATAAAAGTATTCCTTTCAATGGGGAAATGCATAATAGCTAGTTGCCTATGAATGATGACTTGAGGAAATAAACTTTTATTACATCTTGTCTTTGCTTTTATCTCACGTCAACTCCGAGTTTAGCTTGCTGGGTTACTGCTTAACGTTGGTCGAGATCCATCTTTACTGCAATAGGTAGAAGATCAACATTCATGGTAAGAGTACATTTCCCAATTCCCATTAATTAAGATGATCCCTTGAATTCCCCAATCTTCAATGATTCAATCTTTTGTTCTTTCCCCAAAACAATCACCACGAAAGATCAAACGAATTGGTAAGAAAGATGGTGTGCCCTTCCTGCTATTTTTAATATTATTGTGTCAAGCCATGTCGTTGGTTCCATATGAAATTTGTGTGAGGTGAGCGGGGATAAAGATCTTGTATCACAAAACGTCGATCACTGGATCCTGGGACTGAAACTGATTAGCCCCTATAATTATACGCTTATACTACGGTATGGTAATTACGAAGGATGGTATCAGTAAGGTTGTATTTTACATTGATGACAATGACAAAATTGATTGATCCACTATTTAGCTTCTACCACCTCCCACTCCTCCGAGGGAGATTTATCTTCTTTTGATAAAGTAGTTGTGACCGTGGTAGGTTTCTTCATGGCAAGTTCCTCTTGATCCCAAGCATCCTTATCAACGCTAGATGTGGCTGCATCTGACGATTCATCCGTACCCGAAGAAAGCACGTCAAAAACGTTCTTGGATTGCCGTTGTTGTTGCTGTTGCTGTTGCTGCTGTTGTTGTTGTTCTAATGCTTGTTCCTGTTCCAGGATTCCTTTTCGCTCGGTCCACGTGATCTTTCCAAGGCGATCTACCCAGCAACAATCCACACGAGCAGCCTTGCCACTTGATACAACGACATCCTTAACGGCCTTTTTGAGTTGCCATATCATGTCTTCCTTTTCATCCACGGCTAACTTGTCATCCAAAAGTGGGAATACCAATACAGAGTCCGATTCAGTTTGCCATTGGGATTTATAGTTGACGTCTCCAAATGCCTTTGCAAGTTCCAAGTCGAGCTCTGTCTCAATAAGACCAAATGCCAAATCTGATAAACATAGGGCATTCACAGGTTGCTGGGGTCTGGATTTCAAACCATTGGTCCCTGCTACAGTGGCTGCTGGTGGTCGATTCATGGATGGATGATGTGCCGCCACTGAAAGCAAGGGTGAAGGAATACGTGCTTGACCAAGTGATTTGCGAACCACAACACTTCGATAGGGTTCTGGATCCACAGCTTCAGTGCCCAAGTTGAAGTGGACGCAATATCGATGAATAAATCGGCGAAAGTTACTCTTCATAGGCTTGAAATGTAACACCTGCTTGGATCCCTTTGCAAAATCAATCAAAGTTGTCTCCATTTGCTTGCACCAGCTTCGGTTCTCCAAATAGAATTCGCATAGTGGATCATCAAAATAGCCGAGTTCGTCAATGGAAGGTGCAGGTTCCTCAGCCTTTTCAGGATCAATCTCGAGCGCCATCGCTAATTTCCTGTTTCTTTCAACCTTGGCACAAAAATCATTGCAATCCAATTCACGCTTCGAACCGGAGCTTGTAGCTGTTGCATTGCAAGGTACTTGTAGAGCATTTTGACCACATTTGCAAGCCACACGCACCATCGTTTGACATGGTTCTTCTTCTGGACATGCATCAGAGCCATGGCATCGGGTAGTACATGGATGGCCACAAGTCCGCTTTCCATTACATTGTTGGGTACACACTTGTTCATCCGTCAAACATGATCCACCATGACAAGACTTGTTGCATAAATGGCGACCACACTTCAATGGCTTGTCGCAAATACGGCCACATCGTGGGGATTCTCGATAACATGGGACATTCTTGAGCTCCGTCTTTCCACATACACATGTGCGAGTCACCAACATGGCACAAGGTGGGCATGCTTCACTATCCGGATGGCAATTGTGCTGCAAAAGTCGTACATGGCCACAAGGAGAAGGACGTGTGCATGGATGAGGACAAGGTGGTAATGTTGTACCACAGCGAACAGGTGGCTCAAGTCGAGTTTGACCACAATGGCATGTTACTTCATCAAATACAGCCTCTGTAAATGCACACAAAGTTAATAAAAGGGTCATTCGATAACTTCAGCAACCCCTCCCCAAATACTTACCGAGACATGGCTGGCATCTTCCCTTATGACATCGAGCTTGGCATGTGTGATTACCACAGGATAAGGTCCGACCACAGACTTCGGGGCATTCGTGCACGTTATCGCGTATGGATGTCTTTTTGTTGCCCTTTTGTTTGGCCGCTGGGCAACACACCGCTCCACATTGGTGCCGACCACAATGCTTGCTAGCACGACACACCTTGTCGCAAAGAGGAGGCTCACCACCAGCGGCTTCACAAACATTGGCACAAGTGGCAGTGAATGTTGTGGATCGACAACGACAGGGCACATCCACCACCTCTTCACAAGGCGCACACTTGCCAACATGACATGGCTGCTTGCAGCTGTGACCACATGGTAATTTCTTGTTGCAAATCTCATCACAAGTAGGAATAGGATCAGAGCAACTGGTACGAGGCGTGTTGTCCTTGAGTAAGGAATCGATGGCTGTTGCTCCACAAGGACACGTCTTGACGATGCTTGGATCAAATGGACATACGTTGGGCTCAACATCTTGAGGGTGGCATGTCTTTTGACAATGATGAACTCCACATTGAAATGGTCTATCATAAAGACAAAAGTGAGTTTCCAATGTTGTCAAACACCAACAACCGTGATTGATCATTTACCTGTTACACGTAGCCTTGCATGCATGATATCCCACGTGATCACCACTTGTTACACCAACGCCACTACCACAAGGCATTGCTTGTTCATCCTTGCCGCAGTAACATTTTTGTACCTCTTCCAAGGGACAAGGTGGGCATAATCCAGGATGGCATTTCTCTTGACACTTGTGCTTCTCACATCCCAGCAATTCGCCACATGTTTCCTCGCACTGGTATCCACGCATTGAATGATCCGCTTCCACACAACGTAATTGACGAGAATGGCTGCCACAGAAACAATGCATGATGGGTGTCATGGCTGTACATGGTGGACAAGGACCTGGATGGCATTGGCTATATACATATGTGTGTGAGTGTGAATGATCCTTGATGTCATCTCCCTCTAGCAACTTACAGGACACAAGGATGTGGGCAATTGCGACTCTTTTTACATAGTTGACCGCAGCTGTGAGGTGTCAAGTAGCGATTGGGTTCTGGATTGCGCTGTTTGCCACAAAAACAGAGGTAATCTTTGGGGATGGCTGTGCGTGTAAATTGACATCCTGGACAACGCCATGAAGTAATCGGTTTGTTGGTGTCTTTTTCTACATTGGTTGCAACACGCATGTTAGTCTCAAACATAGTCATCTCCATTGTCTCTTTTACATACCTTGAAGGGATCGGGTAGCCCATTTCTTGATGCATGATAAATGAAATACGGCCCAACAACAATCGCAAGTCCATGTTTGATGTCCTGCTCGTACCACATCCCAGCAAACCATGCATTCGTAGGTTGCCGTACGTAAATCTTGTGCTAATCCACTCGCTAAATCATCCGCTGTTGCTGCTGATGCTGATGCTGATGCTGCTGATGCCTTTTTCTTGCCGGATCGTTTGGATCGACGTGATGGTCCCTTTTTCACCTTATCTTCTTGATCATCATTCTGATCGTCATCCTCGGTCGTCAATTTGGCTTGATCACGATGTTTGGCACGATGAAGGGTTGCTGTATTTTCAGAAGAAGATGGTGCTTTTTGTCCTTTGGATCGGCGTGATTTCTTCTTGTTGGCAGGCTTTTCTTTGGATACTGAATCTGGTTGCTGTTGTTGCTGTTGCTGTTGTGAATGATCATCGGATGTTGTATCAACAGGGGTGGAAGAAGAAGAAGATGCAGCAGCTGCAGGTGTCGATGATGGTTGTGGTGTGGAGGAAGCCGTTGTCTTTTTTGACGGGCGTTGACGCTTCTTGTTGACGGTATCTTTGGGAGTGTCATTTTGACCTTCCTCATTCTTGGGACCACCAGTACCACGTGGTGTTCGACGCGGTCCACGTCGCTTTTTGCTGGTAGTGGAATCGGTTGGCGTCGATCCTTCTGGTGATGGTGGTGCTGTTACATTGTCAGCAGTTGACGATGCTGGCTTTGCTCTTGGTTTTCTTTTGGGACCATGTCGTTTGGACGATTTGTCATTTAGAGAGGTGTCATGTTGGTTGGATTGACTCAAAGAGTTGTTTAATGGAGTTGTTGTTGTTGTTGTAGTGGTATCGGCGTCCAGGCCCATGTAAGAGTGAATGAGGGGGGGAGTGGTGAATGGGAAGAGAGAGAGAGTGGAAACTCGAAAAAGACTTAATTGGAAAGATGTAACCTATTTAAACTCATTGCCAGCTTTGACCGCAGCAGTGGAATGCCGCAGCAACAGTGGTCGTACTTAGCAACAATGTGTCGCAGCACCCATCATTCTATCCACGCCTAGCCTATCAAATAGCATGAGCTCCTTGCCATCAACGAATAAAAAGTATTTCCGATTGTACTAACTTGGTAATATCCCGTATAATAGCCACTGTAGTACCATGCCATAATCATATTGGCAAACGCTTCATTGTCTATATGAATACGAAATGAGATGATATGAATGTACAATGATCCACGTTTTATTCTTACTTACCTTGAGCAGCCATGAATGAGGGATTACCTGGAAATGGAGGAGGTGGTGGTGGTGGTGGTTGTGCTCCAAACCCTTGACCCGAAACATTACCCGATGCGTATCCTTGATGCAATTGTGGATATTGTTGTTGCTGATGGTAGTAATTGTAGTATTGATATGAATCATTGTATTGTTGTTGATCAGTCGTTTCTTGTTCAGCATCCTTCCATTGTGTATCTTCAATAGCTTCCTCCTCATAACCTTGTTCCTCCTCTTCTTGTTCCTCTTCAATCTCGTCATCTTGTTGCTGTTGTTCTTCAACCTTATCATCATCATCCTCCCATTTCCTCTTCGTGCCTTTGGTATGATCATCTCTAGGTATTCGATATAAATAAATAAAACGATATCCTCGAGAGACGCAAACACACACACATACCTCTTGGGTCGCCGTTTGGGTGCAGGAATCAAGATGGCTGGATCGGCATCCTTTTGATGATAACTCTGAATATCTTCTTCAGTCCAACTATGGTGGGGGAGAGGGGGAGAGTCATATTCGGGTAAACATACCATATATCCTTTGAAAGCTGCTTGCCAGTAATCGATCACGTTCGTGTCTTGCCAATCGTCCTCTTCATCGTATTCTTCCTATGGCCCATGTTGAGTATACGTTGTCGATCAGTCATTTCCCACACCATGCCATGCGCACCTCGTTTATATCAATCGCGTTGTCTTCTTGTTCCGGAACTTCCCATTCTTCCTTGTCATTGTGTGTTGCCTCGTCGTGGTACATATCCAAGTCGGGAAAACACCAAAAACGCGTTGCTGTATTCACATAGCGCACACACAAAATTGGGCTGCCATGACAACCATGCATGAGAGATCACATGACATCCTCGTTAGCACCTACACACCCCCACCACAAGATCAAAGGTTTATATAGGGAAAACTATCCAGTTTAATAATAAAGTTGATGCGAAATGTATAGTACTGCTACTCGACATAGGATGATGAGAGAGAGAGAGGAACGAAATGTGTATCTACATGCGTATGTAATAATAAAAAGAATGAAAGTGTGGAATGCTACTAAAAAGAAGGCCAATTACGTTGAACCATGATGCGTTGTTGTTCCTCCACTGCTTTGGATACTTGATCGATGCTATTACCCGCTTGACGAATCATACGTTCCAATTCCAGGAAGCGTTGCTGGTATTGTTGATTGTTATTGAATGCATCTGCAGATGAGGATTTGCAGCTGGCAACGACATCATTTTCCAGCCGTTGTGTGACATGGCCCATTTTGCTAGCAATGAACAAATTAATGAACACAAGCAAGAACATGCAAAGAACTGTCAGGTGTTGCATGGATGGAAGTTGGTATTGTTGGAGCATTTGAATCACATTATCCAGCCATGTTGTGGATTTAGCACCTCCTTTGGTCGCTTGACCCGATGATGATGATGCTCCACGAGGGTCAATCTCTTGCGTTCGTTGTTGCTGTTGTTGCTGTTGACGACGCTGACGACGTTGTTGCTTGGTGCTTAAAGGCGGTGCTGATGGAGGTGGTGTGGGTTGAAGATAGCCACGAATAGCAACATCAAGAGACTTGTAATAACTGGTTTGACCATCGATGGTGGCTTTCTCAATCGTAGCTATCATAGACATTCGTGTGAATTGATTGATCATTATGTAAACAAGGTACAATAATACAAACATTTAAGCCAAGAAGACTTTGTAAAGTCGACAAGGACAGTGACCAGCACCCGTACCTTGCCTTGACCTGCCCACATAATGCACAAGCGGGTTTTGACAACAAAAGAGCCACCAGATGGAACATCAGGGGTTTGGGTGGTAATGACTTGAGTGACCGAACTTTCAAGATCCAAGTGTTTGACTTGTTCCTTCAAGAGGCATTTGGTTGAACGTGGGCCTGTTGATACCAATAGCCATATAAGAATACGGATAGCTCTTATTCATCATCATCACATACCGATAGAATTGTTCAATGGCTTGATGTAGGATATGTCACGGGTGAAATGCCCCGACACCCCACCATCCCCTTTCTCCCAAGGGCCAACTTGCACATCTAATCAAACGACAACAACAATAACCCCATTAGCAAACGTGTCATGCCATGCCACGTGAACAACAAATTGACATGCCTGTATTCTTTTCGGTTTCTGAAAGGAACTTTTGCAAGAATGCGCGGTTGGCAAGGATACCGTAGATCGTTTCAATGCTTGAGGAATACATTTGGTCCATGACTGTATGGGTATAATGACCACCATTGGTATCACACGAGCATACGGTCGTATCACTACGTTGATTTTGTTGAACGTTCTTTCTTGCAGATAGCTGGGATTCGGATGCAGTACGTCTGCGATCAAGCGATGGATGGGGTCGATTGGTTGTCGCTGCCGTTATTGTTGCAAGCGATTTTTGACGATCATAAGGCCGATGGGATAAATCTACTATGATGTTAGAAAACTCATCCATTCATGTATGCATTGTAATAGTAGTAGTAGTAGTACCTGATGGTGGTTTATCCAGTGGACTCACCAAGGTAGGAGGAGGAGGGGGTAATGTATCACCATCCATAGAGTAACCACCCGATAGAGTAGAAAGCGTATCATCGGTCAACAACCCATCCTCGTATCCATCATCCACTTTGGTTGTCGTGCTATCACCACTATCAGTGGATTGGGATCGCTTTTGAACTTCATGCCATAAAGCCTTGAGTTGATCAAAGGCTTGATCACGTGAAAGGAATGAACCAAAGAAATACTAGAAAAGGGGGTTGGGTGATGAAAAGAATGTATGATGTGATCAGTGGTGCATACAAAACACGCCATCATTCTCCTGCTCTCCTCCTTCTCTTTTTCCCCTTGCATTCTTTTCCACACACACACTCTCATGTTAATGATCATTTACCTTGGATTGATGAGTAGAAATTTGAATAGCATTGGGAATAAAGATGGCAGTAGTTCGTTTCTCAATGTCGATAATATCGGCGAAATCAATCACAAGCTAAAAAAAGAAAGTGATTTATCAATGATGATGATGATCACACACACTCCAGATGATGTCTTACATTGGTAACCCATCCAAAGATATTTGCATTAAAGCAAATGTGACGCTTGGAGACATACATGCGACCTTGGACTAAGATTTCTTTTTGTAATGCGCAGCCATAATCTGATAATGATAATGATGATCGAGTTTAGTCAACCCAGAGTATGGATAGGGCTGTGTTGTACCTTACCATCCATTAATAGGTCATCTTCGGGTATGCTCCGAAACATTGAGTGAAACTCGGCATTGCGTTTTGCACTTGCAGGATCATCTGGTGACTTTTGACGTTTCTTTTTGCTGATGCTGGAGACTGATTTTTGTGGTGAATCGGGTGGAGTTATACCACAAGTGGTGGATGCACTCGAACGACGAGATCGAGAACTTCCTTGAAGTTGCCGAGAAAGAATAGGTGTCGAAGTCGATGCACACGTCGGACCAGGGCCGCCGGTGTTGATATTGTAAAAGCTGGGACTAAGTAGCTTGTTGGCGTCCTCATCAGGAATGGGAGACGATTGAGAGAGCATAATGAGATCACGGTTGGAAATGAGCGACGAGTGAGTGAGAGAGAAAGAGGGAAGGTTAAGTGTGTGTGAGAGAGAGAGAGAAAGAGAGAATGAATGAATGAATGAATGAAAGGAGAGTAAAAGTATAATAATGCGTATGGATTATGTGGTGGTGGTGGTGGGTGTCCTAATGCTCTCTTTTATGCAACAGGGGAAAAGGACGATGCTGGCATGCGCGTTGACCTATGGTTTTCTGTGATGGAAAGAAGGAAAGGGTTATGTCACGGCAACAGCACAGGATGCTTTTTATACAATGCATCAACGTATGCTCTATTTTTTCCTACAAACCATCCCCCTTGATGGTTACCATATTTAGCCTTGTTCATCCTTCTCCCCCCAAACTTGTCGTTTGTACAACTTTATCATAATGCGTGTTACACTATGATCCGCTTTAGTCGCGTGTATTTTTTGATCCGCTTTTGTGTGAGTGTGTTGCTTATGATCTCACACACCACCACCAGGTTCTTGGATGAAGAGGAGGAGGAGGAGGAGGAGCAGCAGTACATCAATGATGAGCATTATCATTGAAACCGGATAGGGGGATGAAACAGTCTTGGATGCAGTGCTCGTTGAGTTTCTCTTTTTCAGGTCAAAGACCCACAAGGTTCTCCTTTGGAAAAGACCAAAAACGTTCAGCGAGCATCCATGCCATATTAATTAATGCCAACCAATTAAACATTCCTGTAGATCGCCCATCCTGTCAATCACATCCCATAAAACAAACGTTACTTTGCTTATCATCTTCACGCTGATACATCATAGCTTTGTATATCAAACAACAAACAAAAGCAACAGGGGGTTGAGTGATGCACATCATCTTCTTTTTGATATCGATGAAATTGTCTCATTCCCTTGACCCCATTATTTGATCATACGTATCGATCAAGATTGCCACACCCCACATGTCATTTCTCGGTCATTGTCGATCCCTCTTTTTTGGCAGGTTTATTTCTGACGACAGGCTTGACGTATAACTTGTGACCTAATCCTCATGGGACAAATCACAAGTACTGCTAGTATTAGAGAATTGCTTTTAGGAGAGAACAATTTATCATTATAGTGCTTGAAATACACAGCAAGCAGTAACCATTTTGGTATATGCTCATTTTCCCAGCAGCTACAAGCCGGTTAAAACGTGATGCGTGGTGCGAGTGAATTGTTAATAAAGAACGCTAATGGCATACCTCCGATCACCCTATGATGATGGATGCAGAATACAAAGAACAATGTGGCGAGAAAGAATATCAGGGGCAAAAAGGCGTGTTATCTTTCCCTTATCCAAATAACTCGGATTTCCACAAACAAACAAAGCTTGTTTCATTTGCTTTCTTTTCCTCTATTTTCGCCTCCCCCTGTTGTTCTCCCATTTCCAAACATGCCAGCTTCACCTACTACCACCACCACTGCTGCCAATGTACCTAACCTCAAGAAACACGAGGATGTTGAAGCGATCCAACGTCAATATGATCTACTTTGTGCTGAACTAAAGTAGGGCAGGATGTCCTCTTCACCTCCCTTTTCATAACGCTCATGGTACATGTTTGACAGCATGGATGGAAAAGAAGCTACGCGTATACTTCAGGAACGCATCAAGCTCTTGCACGAGTACAATGATGTGAAAGATACGACCACTTTCCTATTGACCCATGCAAGTAGATCCTTCAACAACGATATGCACATGTTTGTTTGCTTACATAAAAACCCCTACCACCATAATAGTATGCGCACAAGACATCCAAGACAATTGCTCAAGTGTACAAGGAATTTAATGTCGATGGTTGTGATGACTAGCTAGCTCTTTGTGTACATTATGAATGAATGTATGAAAGTGATCTTTGATTGATGAGGAATGCAAAACGATGATAGTGTTTTTTATTATTATAAGTAACGTGATGCAGTCTTGTTCAAATCCATGCCATCGGTGGAGAAATCTTGCTTCCAAAGGTATTCGGATGCGAACACGTTATCACCAATAGGACAATTGTGCTTGCAGGTGTAAATGTACAATGATCCCCAATCGAGTGCATCATTTGCATCAGGTGTGATATCCAAAAAGTTGATAAGAGTCGAGAGGATCTGGAATTCAAAAGTACGTGGGCCACCACAGCACTCGCAATCAGGAACCAAAGATGGCTTGCATCCGCCTTGTACCCATAAAGGTTCACGATCAGGCATATCATATTCCACACGTTCATAACGAAGCACTTGATCAGGATATAAACCAATCTTGATTTGGAACTTTAGAAATGCATCATCCACATCCACCTTGGAATCTTCATAGGTTTCATCACCTCGCAGCGCCAGCGCCGTTTCTATCATCCATAGAGTATATATATAAATGATCGAGTCAAGAATGTAGAGAAAGCGGTGTATTTACCTCCTGAGAGTGTCCCTCCCTGTTGTTGACTTGCTGTATGTGCTTTTTGTGCATCTTCCTCTTCGCCATCCTCTCCACGACCTTCAGCTTCACTCACAATTTCCTTTTCTGGGAACAATCTTGATGCGCGCAACTGAGCGGTTGAGTCATCATCGTTGTTGCTCGCATTACAATAATCCTTGTGTCGACACGAATTCCAATCCACAAGCTGGTGTTGCCTTGAGCAGTAATGCGCTGAGTGGCATTTTCCACACATTTTGTTGGCTGCCAAACCACAAATCACACATTGCTTGGGTGGAGTGAATTGCTCGGGTGAGAAATCAATCGCAACGTCGTTATCTTCTTCATCTTCATCTTCAGGTGGTGGATAATATGGGTTTTCACGTGGTAATTGGCTTCGGAAAACCTTGAAACTATTACAATCATGCTGTCAATAAAGACTATCCGCCATTGTATAGTAAAATCCTCTTCCTTTTACCTTCCGGTCCAATCTTGTTTGATACATCCACCATCCTTACAGCAAAACACATAAACCATACGATGGAATGCTTCGGCAGGTTGATCTTCAGGCGTATAAAGCTTTATAAGAGAGGGTCAATAAATGATAGCTTTGGCTACATGATATTGCTGTTACCTACCTGCAAAAGTAATACCATGGGCTGTTCACAGTTACGACAAGTAACTTGCTCGGCTTCCAATATCGTTTCGGGATTCAACCATGCCTATAATGATACACTTTTCAGTAATCGGCCATCGATGGCGATTGGGTTGAATGAGCGAGCGAGTGCTTACTGGTTTGCCGCCTGATTTGCTTGGAAAAGTGTCAGCGGTCAAAGGTGTTTCTGGATCTTCGCAGTAGCCCAACATGGGAGCCCATTGGTCTGTCGAGAGGGCTTGGCTCAACTCTTTGGCATCGAGTTCGGAAACGTCGCTGTCGGAATCGTGATCTGTTTTTGACATGGAGGGGGAAAGGCAAAAGGACAAGCAGCAAAATTGGCTTGTGGCGGGGCGGGATGACAATGCAACATTTTGACAGCCACACTACGCACACACCCACACACAGACATGGGCAAGCTCATGTGCCAAATATGCATGCTCGCATTATTACACCCTGCTTACTAGTCTTAGCATTACCCTTTACAGGTCACATTTATTAAAACAACATTGCTTCAGTGATTTGGTCATGTGGATATGTGCTAAAGTGAGATAACCTTCCTTCCCTTTATTCATTCGCTATATATAGCTACGATAGAATTCATTGATTGTGTGGATCTACAGTATTGTTGTCTACGTATCTCATCCTTCACCTTGAAGAATGTATTCCATTTTGTTGAAGAAATGACGACAAGTAATTGGTTGCTATGATTGGATGACCGTGGTTGAAGAATGATGCAAGCATAAGATGACACAGTGTGTATGTTGCCCCTTTCAAAATGGGAATAGTCGCTAGACGTATACTTACTAGTCCAAGACCAAATTTAGCATTGCCAGGTTCCTTTTATCCCCTTTGACTACCAACGTGCACAGGCGATGACTTTGGAATTCTTTAACGCTGATGCTTCTGGCAATGAGGAGCGTCGTCTCAAGGCTCTTCAATACAAATACCTTTCAGTCTATGTTATCATCCAAGGTACATGAGGTTCATTGCTGCATTGTCCTTTTTCCTTGTTTCTAAACGCGTGCGTTATGAAGGGGCGGATTGGTTACAAGGACCCTATCTCTACAAACTCTATCAATCCTATGGATTTGAGCTGGTGCAAATCGCCTTTTTGTTCTTGACAGGATTTGTCAGTGGTGCGTTGGGTGGTACGGCCGTGGGTAGTCTTGCCGATTCATGGTAAGGAAAATCAAAAAGCAGCACGACAGCAGCGAATTGATCCATATTGTGTTGCTATGGCGATCTCTCTCTCTCTCTCTAGGGGACGACGGAGGATTTGTATCGTCTTTTGTGCTACGTTGATCCTTTCATTGTTATTGCGATTGGGTCCCAGTTATCCACTCCTTGTCCTATCACATATTTTATCTGGGATGGCAGCATCAATGCAATTCAGTGTGGTGGAAGCTTGGTATGTGGCAGAGCATTCTGCACGTGGAATCCCAGCCGATTGGATGTCACGCACTTTTGCCAAGGCTACATTTCTCAACGGCTTGGTCGCAATTATCGCTGGCATTGTAGCCAACGCTGTCGTCGATATCTGGGGCTTCACTGCACCTTTCATTCTCGCTATACTACTCGCTATAGGAGCAGGTGTATTGATCACTTCAACTTGGTCTGAAAATTATGGCGAAGCTAATAGTAACCAAGCACGTTTATCACGTACATTGATGGATGGATTGAAGACCTTATGGAATGGTAACGTACCATTGAAAGATGTCATTGTTTCAAGCATGCAACTTACCCATTGGGGTAGATTCCAATATCCTTATCTTGGGAGCCGCGCAAACCGTGTTTGAATGTGCCATGTATATCTTTGTGCTATTGTATACACCTGCTATTGAGACTGCAGCCTCTATTCATGGTATGTAATCATGGTTTGGCTATCGACATGCATGAAAGTAAGATAATAACGTGTAAAGTAACAGCACATCGAGGAGGCGATAGCGTCACCCAAGAAGATCAAGAAATTCCATTTGGATACCTTTTCTCGACAATGATGTTCGCTGTCATGATGGGATCAATCACTTTTCAAAAGCTTGAGCAAAAAGGATTATCCTGGTGTAGTAAGGATAGGCTTTTGATCCTGGCACTCACACTCGCCGGTGGAGCATTTACAGCCATGGTGTATGATAACTCAACTTCGGTAAGTCACATTGGATCAAAATCGAATCTGTACACCAGCAACTAATGATGCTTCATCCCATAGCTACCGATACTTGTGATAAGCTATCATGTGTTTGAATTTACTACTGGGATGTATTTCCCATCCATTTCTTCCCTGAAGGCTGAGGTGATTCCCGAGGAGACACGTGCTGCGATAATGACACTGCTCAGAATCCCAATGAACTTTGGCGTTGGTGTAATCATGTGGCATGTAAGTTCAATTCATTGTCTTTGCCATATTTGTCTTTGGATGTTTACGTATTCTTTGATTGTTTTTTAGGCCGATCGTTTATCCACCTCAACAATGTTTGCTATCTGCTCATTGATGACACTTTCAGGGGCACTGCTCGTTTTATTCAAGTTCAAAAGCAAACAAATGTATCAACAACCACCAGAGTAATTAGATGTTAGATGTCTATTATCAACCACTGTATATACTTTGAGCCACCAATCTCCATAAAATGGGTTTATATATGTTCAATTAATCTACCACCACGGCATTTGATCCCGAAGCCGCCGAGAAAATCACCTTGATCCTTTCCACTTGTTACATACACCATGCAACCTACCTCCTCCTCCTCCGCCTCCTCCTCTTCTTCCACACTTCCAGTTATTCTTCCAAAAGAACCAGCCAATGATAGTCATTACGTCGACATTCCACGAGTGAAACGATCGAGAGCCAAACGCAGTTGCGATCTCTGCCGAAAGAAAAAGACTCGATGCAATGCGGATGTCATGCAACCTTGCAGTACATGTCAGAGCAACAATACAGCATGCGAATTCTCAATGGAGCAAAAGAAACGAGGACCTGTTGCAGCAAGCTATGTTGAAGAGTTGGAGAGCCGTATACGACGCTTGGAAGCCTTACTGCAAAAGTCCAACAGCAACAGCACTATCACCAGTACTCAGTCAGCTGACAAATCAAGGCCACCCTCCTTGGAGACATATTGCCGTGGTCTAGTAGTGGATGAAGCAGTTGATAATGAGGATGCTCTTGCCGGCCACCTTGGAAGACTTCAGCTGACCGATTATGATCACACGCTCTATATTGGTGGTAGCTCTGGATTTCATTTGATGGATCAGCAACTATTCAGCACAAACCTTCGCCATCGCGTCTTAGGTGCTAAGGAGCCATGGGTGGTGCAAAAAGTCAACAGTGAAAAGGATGAACACGTGATCATTCATGGAGAAGAGTACAATGCAGCCGATGGATTGCGGATACTTGCAAGCCAACCCCATCCCAAACATCGACACATGTTGTTTTCGGATATACCAGAGATGACCGTAGCGATTGCTGATGATCTCATCAAAAGGTGAGTGAAGAAAAAGTGATCGATAACACTAATGAGAGATGCTGATGATCATGTTTTAGTTATTTCATCCATATCCATCCTCATTATCCTATCGTGAACAAGGTATCCTTTCTCGAGCAATACTATTATCAGCATCCTCAGCCACCCAGCATGCATCTGTTATACGCCATGTGCACGTTAGGAGCTCAATACTTGATCCGAGGGAAACATACGAGACACGATCGAGATATCCTTAGGCGCATTTACAAAACGCTGAGATCCAAAGCAGAGCAAATCCTCGAATACGTCCATAAGCGTTCCAAGCTTAGCACAGTACAAGCACTTTTATTGCTGTCAATGTTCACGGCTGGTGAATCAGATAACCTGGATGATATGCTTCAGCAGTGGTATGTTATGGTGGGTGGGTGAACATTGAAAGCGCATCATCAAGATAACCATCGTTTATTTATTATGTCTAAAGGTATATTTGTGGACTGGTATGTTGTTGATTTGGTCAATCTTACGAGCATCATGGTCTCATTACTCATCTATTGGATTGATTTTAGGCAATTCGTATGGTAAGTTCATTCAATATCATTATTCAAGAGCTTTGGATCTGATCCTCTTTTTGTAAAGGCGCAAGGATTAGGTTTACATCGCACCTCCAGACAATGGCAAATCCCAAGTCATGAGATTGAATTGCGAAGACGTATATGGTATGCAGCCTATAATCTCGATCGACAAATAGCTGCTGAAATGGGACGTCCGTAAGTTTTACCTTTGCTCTCTCTCCCTCATTCTTCATTATGCTCACTCCAAATGCTCTCTCTCAAAAGCATTGCAATATTAGACGAGGATTTTGATGTCCAGCTACCCTCTCCGTTTGAGCTACCATGCTCTTTCCAAACCCAAACACCTAATGGATCAAGGCCAGATTTGATTGTGGAGGCTGAGACAGCGATTATCAACAAGACGCCAGTCTATGAGATGTTTCTTCAAGGCATTGGATTATCTCGATTACTAGGCCATGTGCTTGTTGCCCTGTATTCGCCCAAGGTTTTCAATTCATCAGCGCGTCGCGATGGTTACGTGATTGACGCACTCCATGCCAAGTTGATAGAGTGGAAGACATCATTACCCAAGCATTTGAATTACGCATTTTGTTCCACAACCGTAAAAATGCCAGAAGCAGGTACGCCCATCACCACCATGATGTTGGATCGATATCTTACTAATGTGGTGTATGTAATAAGCATTCTTGAACATCTCGTACAATTGCATTTTGCTGCTGCTACACAGGCCATTTATTGGTGATGATGAAATGATGGATCTGACACGGGCATTACAAGCCATCAGTCTATGTACCTCAGCAGCTACAAGCATTGTGGATTCTGTGAAAGCACTTGAAAAACAAGATCATGGGTGCATGTCGTGGAGTTGGATCGCATAGTAAGTGCATGGCAACAATTTACGACCCTTGACAATACTAATACTCATATACTAGTGCTGTATTCCAAGCTGCGCTTGTCTCCATACACAATGCAAAGAGCGATAATCAAAGTGTACAACAGCAAGGGATACACAACCTGACCCAGTGTGCCGAATTGCATGCCAAAGAAAATGCTTTCTCCTCAAGTCGGATCGCTGGTCTTTTAAGGAAGCTGGCGACAAGATACTCGGTCTTCAATGGTCCACGACATCGCAACAACAACAACGATGTCATTTTGTTTTGCCCTACTCATGCGTCACATGATATCACATCACCTGGCAATAACTCTTCAAGCACCACTACCACCACCACACCATCATCAACAGCAGACAATGCATCCACTCAAAACAATGAACAACCCCTTTCGGATATCCATCACGCAACCACCTTGGAAAATGGCCAACAAGATAATACAATGTCGCCAACTTCTTTGTTGAACAATGAACTGCAATTTGATTTAGCAAGCCTCACATCGGATATGCCATTATGGAATGCTCCAAGTGGTGTTACGTGGACCGATTGGGACCCCTTCTTACAGCAACCATCATTGTAGAAATGTATATCCTCTCATTTTCTCTTCTATTGAAAATATCATCATTGCTTTACAATAAATAAATTGTACAAAAGGGGAGTTGATTAAAAAGAAAAATGGAAACAGGCAAATACTATGGCAAAAGAAAGAATAGATAAAAAAGAACAAGCAGGAGAGAGGGAGAGAGAGAAAGAGAGCGAGAGAGAGAGATAGACTTTTGATTAGATATCAGCATTCTTTTGGCCCTTGACAAGCTTCAGCATAAGGAGATCACCAACTTCACTAATTTTGGCCAATGCGTCGTCTACATAAAGATCACAAGGTTAATGACAATGACGCCTGATGGTGACAGCAATAGCACTTGCCTAAATCTTCTTTGGTATGGGCAGCTGATATACAGAAGCGAGCACGTGAGGAAATGATCGGCGTAGCAGGATAACCACCAAGGCAAATAGCGATACCACGCTTGAGCAGTTCACGGGAGAAGGCACTGATGATGGGATGCAGGTGTGAGTGTTTTCATCTTCATGTGTAGGTAATCGTTTTAAAAGCACTTACGGGATTTTGGCAGGGTTAAAAAGAAGCAGGGGAATAACGGGACTACCATAATCACCATAGACGATGAAGCCCATTTCACGAAGCTTGGTTGCAAAGTAAAGCGAGTTTTCAGCCAATTGCTTGATCTTTTTGCGGCCTGTGTCAGTGCCATCTTCACCACTAAAAGAAGAAGAAAAAGCATTAGACTACAACATGTGTGCGTGTGTCGTTCTAGATCGCGTACCAAATAATGCGCATGGTGGTAATGACTTGCATAGCAACAGGGACCGACATAGGTTCAGCGTAAGCGTAAGCATGGTTGCGCAATCTCAAATGATCAATGACAGGCTTGTCAGCAGCGATGTAACCACCTGCAGCACCAAAAGATTTTGTGAATGTGCCCATCAAAATGTCCACGTGAGCTGGATCAATGCCATAAAAGTCGCAAATGCCACCACCGTTCTCGCCCAATGCACCAATGGAGTGAGCTTCGTCGACGTAAAGATAAAACTATTTGTACATATGCATAACATGAGAATGTGTGAAAAAGCGTATGCGTATGCATATACTACTTACACCAAACTCCTTTTTGAGCTCCACAAGTTCAGGCAAATTGACCATGGTGCCTTCCATTGAATAGAGACCTTCAACAATGATCATGATCTTTTTCCAGGGGCGATGCGTACGAGGTTGACCTTGAGAAATCACTTCACGAAGTAATTCACGAAGATCATCCATATTGTTGTGCTTGAAAACACGCACCGATGCACCGGAAAGACGTACACCATAAACGATCGATGCATGGTTGAGTTCATCCGAAATGACCAAACAGCCCTGTTACGTGTGTGTGTGTATGCATATGAGTCCTATGTGCATCTATGTTTTGTATGTGTATGGTGTACCGACCTTGTCAACGAGAGCAGGAATGGTTGTAGAGTTGGTAGCAAATCCCATGCTAACGACCATGGCATCTTCCTTGCCAGTGTAACGAGCGGTGAGACGTTCTAATTCAGTAAGCCAATGCGTGGAACCAGCTTCAGCCCTTGAGCTGGGTGAGACAAGACCATATTGGCGGGTAGCTTGTTCAACAGCATCTGCACAGGGGCCCTTGTTGTCTGCAAATCCAAGATAGTTGTACGATGCAAGGTTCAATGTTTCAGTGATCGTTCCCGTCAGACTGGAATTGTGATGGTTTTACTATTACTACGATGGCTGTTTTGTTTGTTGTTGATTGTGTCAACTTACTGGAATGTCTTGTTAAAGTCGTGACTCACACGATTCAACAATTTAATCGTGCGACCTGCTACTCCGGTCACTGGTCGATTCCAACAATCCCTACACGAATGGTGGAGATTCTTAAGGTTAGTACTTATCTACTGGCCCCACCCCCTTCCTATCCCTTATTATGCATGTTGTTCCACACACACATTACTTACCGGATACGCATGTACAAGCGGCGGTTATAGAATGAGTCGAAATCGGACACTAATGGCGCGTATCCCTACGACATGATGATTAACGCGTGAATCATAAACACACACATGGATGATAATTAAACTTACATTGACAGTCTTGAGATGAACATAAGCTTGTGCTTTAAACACTTTGCCGAGAATATCTCGCATATGGCCAAAAAGGATAAGAACAAAGTAATTGAGATAGGTAAGCACAAGCACATAGAGAGGTGCAGCTTCCATCTTGTGTTCAAGGTCGTCATATCGTTTGGGCTTGCGTGGTGGAGTCCAACGCTTGGGAACTTGTTGTGGCTCTACCTCGGCGATACTTTGCGTCGTGAGCGATGTACTCTGCTTCGCATCGTTGTTCTTTTGGAAAAAGCTTGGTGGCGAGACGCTGAATGAATGGTCAAATGAAGTCTTTGGAGCTGAGAGGTTGATGCTCGGGATGCTGGGAATGCTGATGGTGTGTGCCCGTTTGCCCTTTCCCATGTTGACGAGTGACGAGCAATGACAATAGAGGATAGAAGAGAGAGAGAAATAAAGAAAAAGAGAGAGAGGAAGGGAAAGAAAGCTTTCGTTTTGGCGGCAGTAATGGTCTTTTTCTTCTAATATGGTTGTTGTTCTACACCGCCATGAATCTGTCAGTACCTCCGATCCCGATTATTTGATAAAAAAAAGGGCGGAGGTTGGCCTGTTTCAGTTGACATGGATAAATGCATCACCAGATCTTATCGTACCACCTTTATGCTTAGCAAATGCCTTGGCAATCCATCATTCCCCATTTTGATGTATACTTTTTTTATCTGCTGTCAACATCCAAATGAACGCGTTGTTGTTTATTTATATATAGAAGAGATGACTTAATCTTGTTGCGTAGTCTTTCTTCTAGCTCGTTCGGCGACAACGCCGACACCAGGGAACGATGACCAATGCTCTTGAGGCTTCTCATTTTTATCATCATGGTGGGTTGTATGATGAATGTGCTGCTGCAACTTGGCACCTTCGGTTAATCCAGCAGCGCCTACCATATCATGCTTGGTCAAAGGAACGGGAGCTTGTTCTTTCTCCTTGCTAGGGCGGGGTGCATAATGACGCAGTGCATTAAGCTCCTCCATCAGCGTCTCATATCGGAAGCTCACACGAATATCAGGGACATTGGTCTTTTGCATATCATTGCCTGCCACACCAGGTTCATCCCAATGCTTGCCAATCCAATGCTTCTTGATATGGCTTTCCCATCCACTTTGGATCACCGAGTTACGTGCCAATTCGCACATGTCCGTAGGCGACAATTTCCAGATCTAGAATAAGGCGCTGGATTAGTAACAGAAATATGATTGGATCATAAATGATCATCCATTTTTTTACCTGAGCAGCCACACTGTATTCTTCAATCAATGGTTCCTTGGTGAAATGGAATTGAAGAGGATCATCCGTTGATAGAGAAATGTTGAGACCACGTTGGAAGAATTGGGGTAACGGATTACGTTCATACGTCAAAAAGAGAGCATTGTTGGATAATGGTGACATGGCAATAGGGATTTGCGACAAGTAATACAAGTATTGAAGTGCAGGCACCTTTCGCAGGAGAATACCATGGCTGATTCCAAATGCCGACAAGAAGGCTGCTGTCAAGTGCTCGGTATCACCAGCTTCACCACAATGAGGACGCATAACAAAGGTATCTAGTAACATTCATTGTTAGGTATGTATGGGCTTTTCATCCTTCGTTGTCACTTACTAAATCCACGCAATTTACGCCAATTGTTCAAAGATGCAACATTGGCATAGGTGTAATACAAGTAGTAGGTGTAAGGTGGATTGTGTTTGCTGTTCCATTCTGAGGGCACTGGGAACTTCTTAAACAATCGGCGCTCGGGCTTGGATTCATCGTCCACCGAATCAAATCCTACAACACGCTGCAAGAACACGTGAAGTTCAGGATGGCTTTGGGGATCCTTGGTAACTTCGAACAATGGCTCAAACAAGTCTATGGGATCCTATCAACATCTTGTTTTATCCTTACGGCTGTTGTAGCACTTACTGCGAATGATGTCATGGAAGCTTTCAACAGAGTTGGATGCTTTGTAGATGTTGTACAATCGAGGCACTTGAATCAACCAGCGCACATTGGGCGAGAAAAGCTTGTTGTTGACCACCCATTTGGCAAGCTTGTCCCATTCCTCCCTCGATCTATGTAAAGTCCCCGCATATGAGATCACCTATCCAATACAATAGATCAACCAATTACCTTCCATAAATCGATACTCTGTATTCCACCATCTGGTATTTGGATGACTCAAGATCAGAGACGACCTCTGCAAAGATAAAGGATCTCATGTCAGCTTGCTTTTTTCTTTCTCTCTCGATGCCTTGGTCTTACCTTTTGTGATCTCGGCAAGGTATCTGCCCTGGATATAGTTGTCGGTCTTCATGAAGATCTCACGCAGTCTGCTCTCACCGATAGGATTGTATTTGAGGTTGAACTTGTCAAAGCGATGGAATGAATCCTTGTGGGCCTATAATGATGCAGTATCCATGTTTAGTGTTGAGCCATACCCAAAGGATTCACATCCATTACATGCATGTCAAGCGTGTCAATGCTCAAATCGTATGCCGTCAAGTTCAAGCTCTCAAATACGCCTTTCAATGTGAGATGTTGACCATCGCGATAAATAACAACATCCTAAAAGGGCACAATGAGGAAATGTGGGTAGCAAAAAATCAATATAGAGCGACTTACATCAGGGCTTTTCTTCATCTTGGACTTGATAAAGCGCAAAAGATGCTTTTGGTTCATGCAGCTCGAGTGGTGCACGTGAGTATCCACTTTTCTCACATTGTAAAAATCTCTGTGGGGCACACGCTAAAAAGGATGCATTAGCAACTTCCACTTCCTTCCAATGCTGCTGCTGCTGCTGCATACAAACCTTGGAATCGGCCAATTCTTGGAATTCATTCAATAGAATGTACATTTGCCACTTGCTATCAAGGTATCGCAGGCGACGGAAAGCAAAACTCTTGGCTGGGCCATCACTATAAATAGATCAGTGATCCATCAAACAGGAACGTCTCTGGTTACACGGGATACCTGATAGCATTCAACACGTAATCGATATCCTTAAAGAATTCTCTTCTTCCGGGGATTTCATAAACAGGGCGACCTTCACTCTTGTCTTTTTTTTGTGCGTGTATATAAAGTTCATGCATTAGATCGATGATGAAGTCATGCATGTATGACGTCTTGGTTACCTTTCTCAGATTGGTACACCTCATAAAAGCCTTCTGGTCCCATGCCAAATACAAACTACCGCCACCATTGTGTGAGTGATCTCCCCAATGGCCCTCCAAGCTTATCATGTCCTACCTCATGGTTACCAGGGATCTTGCATTTATCCCATTCAAAATCGCTACCCACAGCAGCAACGGGATCCTCTTCACGACGTCGTTCCTGTTCTCTACGACGAGCTTGTTCTTCAGGTGATGGTAACGGCCACGATGGTGGAGGTGGAGGTGGATAGACTTCCCAATCATCTCTGTTTCTAGGATCATCTTCCCAACGCTGGCATGAACGCTTCATGTACTTTTCTCGTAGATCCAAGCAATTCTGCAATGTCTGATACAATCCACACAATTCGGCTGTGACAGCATCATCTAAAAGAACAAAAGAAGAAGGCATGATAAAAAGTGATTAATGAAATGAGTCAAATCAATCAACACTCCCTTTATATATATAGCGTCCCATTACTTACCATGTGTATCAGCTTTAGCAGTACCAGCATCCGTGTGATGATCTGGCGCACGTTCAGGTGCACTTTTGGCGGGTGGTAGATACTCCTCGTCTGACTCGCTCACTTCAGCAGGATCTTCATCGCCCAAAGTAGCATGGGTTAGGTTTTGACTCAAGTACTTGCTGTCATGCTACATGTTGCGTCATTAACAAAGAGAAAAAAGGGACAATGGGCAGGTTGAATGAGGCACTTACATTCTCAATGGTCTTTTGGTGGTGGTATTTAAAGAAAGGGGTGGTGGTTTCTTCAAAGTTGGTGGGACGTTCCTCTGAAGGACTTGTTGCTCTCGAAGAGTTGGCCGTGTCTTGGTTTGTTGACTCTGACATGTTTTGAGTGGAAAAGGGGAAGAGAAGAAAGGGATTGAAAAACGCGGAAGTTAACCGCGGGAAAATGGCGGATCATGTTACAATGCCGATGCTTGTTTCGAATCCCGTTACATTTGTACTCGCTACTTTGACAGTATAATAGATGCTTTTATTGATCATCTACACCACTATGGTTACTGCGTGTTGCCTTGGTTACTTTCTCCCACTCCCTATTCATAGATAAAGATCATTATTTTCTTCACACGTATCTCATCCTGATTCATATTGTATAACTTACCGGATGATCAAATGCAAACCACCATACCAAAACCGCAATGGCTACACAGATCAAAATTGCCAGCAATAGGCATATCCACTTTTTCTATACATTTTGCACTACATGTGAGCCTATTATATGTCCCATTGTGGTGGGACAACTTACATGTCGTGTTGCTTTGGCTTGTTTGATCGCTCGATCCACCAACGTGTTCCCTTGTTGTACATGACCAGCAGAGTATTCAGCATTTTGCTCAATATCAGTCAACATCTCGCCTTGCCGTTCAACAAGCATTGACATGTCTGCTAGCAATTGATGGAGTTCCTATTCACACCCACGCATTGGATTTTACACTTTCCCAGCAGCACATGGTATCATTGATCCCTCTTACCACAATGGTTTTTTCAATATGCTTGATATCGTCATGGCGATTCTGTACTTCAGCAAGCACCTGTTGCCCTTGATTGCTGCGCGTCGTATGTACAAGCTATTTGTATGATACACATTGTAATTAGTCATAGCGCTGTTCTCACACAATAAACAATCTTCTGATCTCACGCACTGATTGGGCAAAAATTTGTGATGGATCATTGGATTCAACGATGCGATCCACTTCGTCCTGCGAAGCACTTGGTTTCACTAAAAGCAACAACATGAGCTTATTACAAATGGATGATGGCCATTGATAACCCATTACAGACCAAGCTTGATTTGTCTTTCGATACGTTGCCGGTATTTTCTTTCGTACATCCGTTCCATATCCTGATAGCGTTCAATGGTCTCAAAGAATCGCTTCCAAAGCGCCTCTATCTTGATTTGCAATGATGTAAGCTTTGGATGGCCGTTGTGCTGGTCATCTTGGTTACCTGTACACGACGTATTTTGGCAACCGAAGGGCTGCTTGCTTGGAATCTGCTCATTTGGAGAGCTTGTAAAATATCACCTGGGTCAATCTTTTGGTCATCCCTATTATGCATGTCTACTACCTTTTAGCCTGTTTTTCAGATCCATGTTCAACTTTTGTGTCTCTCGCTTTAGCCGTGCCAAATCTTTGGATGCTGCATCAAATTGCTGATCTTTGAAAGTTGTCAGAGCCGCATTGTGCAATTGTGCGATTTCATCCACATTTCTGTTGATAGCATCCAGATCATCTTTCAATGTATCCACCTTAAAAGCATATCCCGAAAGAGATGCCGTTAGCTTGATCATGCATGTGATGGATAGTGGCTGATTTATACATACCTCGAGAAAAAATCCCTCCATGGAGTCAAGCTGTGAAGATGTGGGTGGTATTCTTGAGCGAGGCGACCATGCATTCATTTCGATAGCTTCATGTCCATCCATATTGTTGTTTTGCCTATGCGGCCCTATAGCATTGTGTGATGGTTGTATAGCGTGTCTATATCCATTTCTCGCTCCGTGATATCCTGTTGGTGTGCGAGGAGGGCCAAATTCATCGCTGGTAAGGACGTCGTGGATAAGCAATTAAACAAGTAGTTGATATAGAAAGCATCGCATGCCCACCTTTCTGTGTTACTACCCTGTTTCATAAATGAAGTAAGCATAACATCCTGTAGACTTATGTATCACAAGCGTACCACATTTCGTGATGGTTGATCTCGGTTTGAGGAGTAGTACATGTTACTCATACAAGAGGAGTGTAAAAGCTAAGATAAACAAAACACGATAATAGGATATTGATCGACGAAAAAAAAGAGGTCGATTATGATTGCAACTGAACAATAGACTAGTGTCGAAGATGGATTATCTATGCACATTGGCATAAAGTGATATCACAGTGATTTTCATGGCAAACAATGTTCTCTAATGCTCCTGTTAATGTCATCTGAGCCATGTTTGATTGGCTTAAAGTACTTGTGGTGATCATATAGGATCATCATGCATCGCCTGTAACCGAAGAAGCCGAGGTGTACTCAATGCAACAACATCATCCATATGTCATTATCCATCCTTGCACAATCCTATATGCATGACGTCTCCTCTCATGTCTAATGCATCGGCTGATAATTGGTTACGTGATCTCTGAGATCGATATAGGAATGTCAACATGCGCACTAACCGTTTTGCATGATCGATGATCGTATCATCCATGAAGAAATTGAAGCACAATGCAGCTATGGCAACCCCGGGTTTATAAATGTACATCTTCTTATAAAACCATAGCCTGCATATAGAAATTCGCAATGTAGCTTCCAACAATGCATTTATGTTACTGCTTAGGAATGGATCATGATTGTACACGTAGATAATGTAAGGGTTTGTTTATTTGGCCTTATAAGATGAGTAGACAACATGGCATCAACAAGGATTCGGTGCTAGCTTTCATAGCAACCACCATCATCAAAGTATATACGTTTCAATAGTAGAGATTCTGATTTACTAGCAATTGATACAAAAAGCATTGGGGATTTATGCGTATTACAATGAATGACAGGTTGTGTGTGTACCTTGCATGGTTGTTAGTGCGAGACGTTGAGAGTCAGCTTACTGGTGTAACGTTAAGCCTGCCATACGCATGCAAAAAAGAAGTCAGCGGAAAGGTACTATGAGCTCCTTGTTCTTCTCCCTTTCTTTTTTCTATATCCTGCAAACGTCGTTGCTCCATGGTGCAGGGTACAGCGGTTGAACCATCGGACAGAGCCAACCACCCTCTCGATGCTGGACATGGCACAGGTACTACAGTGACCCAATGGTTGACGATTCATCCGAGGAATAGAAAGAAAGAGTACTGATGCACACCTAAAGCAACAGGAAACGGATCAGCATTACTCCATTCAGTTATTCAAAGCAATGACGCTGCAGGCAGTTCGTCAAACAACAATACCTCATTGAGCAGCACAACACAACAACAACAGCCACCAGCACCTGTAACGGCTACCGATGTGGACGATCCTTCACACCCGCTCTTTCGACATCGACGTACCGTCACCGACTTTGACTACGGCCCTATATTAGGAGAGGGCAGTTACTCGACGGTAGGAGATATTATCATCATCATCCACCCCACGTGTATTATGGTATTCAACTTTTTTTTGGATAGGTACTTGTTGGCAACGACAAAAAGACCGGCAAGCAGTATGCTATCAAGAAGCTCGACAAGGCTCATATTGTCAAGAATGACAAAGTCAAGTATGTCATGATTGAGCGTGATGCATTGAGCAAGATGAACCATCCTGGCATTGTTCGACTCTATTGGACGTTCAAGGATAATCGCAGCTTGTGTAAGTAACATACATGGATCAAGTCTGGGTACACAAAACTCAATCTTCTTTTATAGACTATGTGATCGACTTGGCAAGGAATGGTGAACTATACACGTATATTCGAAGAGTAAGTTGAGAGAGGGGATTTAGGATATCGAGAGGCATTCATTAACTCGACATTAGCTCGCTCCTTTCGATATGGACACGGCACGATTTTATGCGGCCGAGATATTACTTGCCATTGAACACATCCATAGCCGAAATATCGTTCACAGGTAAAAGTTGAAGGAATCGTATGATAGTTTCAAGGTTTATTAACATGCTTACGATGTATCTAGAGATATCAAACCAGAAAAGTAAGTTGACATTTGGAAATGAGCATTAGGGATCTCAAACTAATATGATCATAGTATTCTACTGGATGATCGTATGCATATCAAGATTACAGACTTTGGATCAGCCAAGATTCTACAGCCTGAAAAGACGAGCAACGAGAATGAGCAGGGTGAAGAAGATGGCGAGGGCACCAGCACGACACGCTCGAGATCATTTGTTGGTACGGCGGAATATGTGTCTCCTGAGCTCCTTAGAAGTGATCCAACTTTACAAGAGTAAGTATAGGCTCATCGGGAAAAGGGGATGAAAAGGAAGATTGTGAAATAGGGAAAAGGGGTGCTTTGTTTTGTGGGTGCGTTCGTGCACATACATGCAGATAATTGACCTATTTTGGATATTCGCCTATTTTGGAATTGTATAGAGCGGATCTATGGGCGTTGGGATGTGTGATCTATCAAATGCTTGCAGGCCGTTCTCCCTTCAAGGCATCCACCGACTATCTTATCTTTCAAAAAGTGAAGAATTTGGACTACAGCATCCCTGATGACTTTCCAGAAGTGGCCAAAGATTTGGTGATGAAATTACTCTTGTTGGAACCAGAACAACGATTGGGATCTGAAGCTACTGGTGGAATGGATGCACTCAAAGCACACCCATTTTTCGATGGTATCGATTGGGACCATATTTGGGAATCGCAAGCACCACCATTGAAGGAACGATTGGATGCCAAACTCAAAAGAACGCGAGCAACAGCAACAGCAGGCACAAATGTGGTGGATAACGATGATATCTGGTTTGGCGATGAAGGGCACATGATACCATCCTTGACAACCCAAGCAGTACCGCAACCACCAAAGGATCCATTCAGTGATGAAGCAGCAGCTCGTGTAGAAGATGACAACGATGATGATGATTCTATACATGGCCCACTTAGCCAAGCACCCCATCCACCTACAGCTGCTGCTGCTGCTGTAGTACGACAACGTCACATATCAGGGGATCAAGGTGCTACTACTACTGCCACTGCTTCTGCTGCTACTACATCGAGTGGGGTCGCTGGCGGCCACCATCCATCAGCATCACAAACTTCGACTTTGGAAAGGTTAGGAGAGCAATCACATCCACCATGGATGCCGCATTTGTATCCAAACGAGTCTATTGTGCGATGTGGTCGACTAACACGACGACGTGGTTTATTCAACAAGAAGCGAGTGCTGATACTTACAGATCGACCACGGTTATTATACTTGGATGAAGGACCCGAAAAAGATGGTGCAGGAGGTGCATTACGGTGTGAGATTCCATGGATACCACAGTTACTCGCTGAACTCAAGACTAAATCTGTGTTTTGCATTCATACAGTAAGTTGGCAAGGGGTGATGATGGATCGATGGCGTTAGCACATTAAGTTAATGCGTACATGTTTTTAGCCACAAAAATCATATACACTGGAGGATAGCAATGCACAAGCACAAGAGTGGGTTAATACCATCAATTCCATGTTAGTTGATAGCTTTGGTGTAGCAGCATGATAAAGAAAATCATTTGATCATATAACAAAAGAACGACCGTTATGCATTAAAAGAGTGTAACAAATACATGATGTCTCATATTATGCACGAGTTGCAATTCACTTGTCACAGCATGACATGAAACTCTCACACTTTACATTGGAGAGAGGGTATGTAGTGACCAGCTTGCGGAGAAAAATTGCTGGGAGCGGATGTTCAAAGCCACCCCACCTATTATAAGAATGCTGCGATGAGGAGGCTAGGGGCTCTTTGTGCTTGATGGTATGTAAACAACAACAACGCTACGATTTGCAATGACGATGGTTCCTAATCGCCATGTCTATTATAGAAAGGAGAGATCTTTGGCAATCCCCTTGATAAGGACGGACAGAGCTTTTAGCTCACTCACACATCACTCGTTGATGTTGCTACATTTGCTCTACGGAGCGTCTTGGCACAATTGCCTACTTTTTTTTATTACCAAAAGAAAATGATACAAAGTCTAGGGTATTCTCAAAAGAGTGCTCTAGAATGGGGTTGCAAAGGGGGAATGTTGCTTGCAGCAACTTAATCGGCATGTTTGCTTGGTGCAGCAATGTGGATGTGGATGATGATGATGATGTTACCATGATGTATATCTTATCATTCAGTTGTCTCGTTCACTTGCAGCATGTATCCATTTATGCAGGTTTAATGGACTAATAAAGTAAGGGGGTTGATGGGTGATGATGATGATGATGGTGGAGGATAATTGTTACCAAGAAATCAGCAATATCAACTGCCGGCTGATTGATTGTTTGATATAAACGTGACATCAGAAAGAAGGAGAAGGAGAGAATGGGACGGAAACGACGAGGAGATTCTTTATTCCCCTGGGTCAGTCAGTGTCTGTTATTTACGTTGCACCCGAAAGTGTGCCGAGATGGCATCGTCAGCTGGTCACATCTGACAGCACTTGATGTATTGGGAGGATAGTCAGCATATTGGGGGATGCATATGAATCACCAATGTTTAGAGTTCTTTTTGATTATCCATGAAAGACGCAGCAAGAAAAAAAGAAAACATGCCGCATGCCGCTAAATCGAGCAATTATATGTTTCTTCATGGTTGGAGATGTTGATGCATTTATATTTGAACCTATGTTTCCCTTTCATCTTGTTTTCTTTCCCTTGAGTTTGCCCCTTTCGATCCTTTTTTATCCACACGCCCTCTTCCTCTCTTTCTTATTCTCTTTTTATGAAGTTCTCTCATTCGTTGCGCTTCAATGCAGTCCCCGAGTGGGATCATGGCTACGTTTCGTAAGTGAGACGAGGAGTTGTGATATGCAAACCGTTTGAGCGTGTTCATGCCGACCAATGTTGCACATGTTGTATAGATACGAGGATTTGAAGTCCATCATTTTTGAATGTGAACGACAACGTGTGCAAGCTATCAATCATGGAAGCGACATTGAAGGCGGCGTTGACAACAATCGACGATCGATAGCCATTCAACAAGAACAAGACGAACAAGTTTTTGAAGCAGCATTGGATGCACAGCTGGAAAAGGTCATCACATTCTTTTCCCAGGTATTCAGTGATGTGGAATCGCAAATGGCGGAGCTCGAAGCCAAACTTGAGGCATGCCCTGAAGACCCTTATCCTGATGGAGGTGTACGAGGAGGTGATGATCATGGACTTGCTACCTTGGATGGTCAAGAAGAAGAGTTTCAATATACACAAAAAACAGGTGCATTGCATACCACCGATATGCATGCAGAACGAGAACATCGTTTGAGTAGACAATCACAAGAAAAGCTTGCAGTACCGGAAGCAACATCAGGGCCTAGACACAAGGCGTCATTCGAATCACGACTGTCCACCCAAACCACACGCGAAAGTGAGCTTTATGTGGAACATCTTGCTGGATTAAGAGCACAACTAGTACAACTTTACGTGCTTGTATCAGATGTCGAATCGTATATCGACTTGAATAGACGAGCATTTGCAAAGATCCTCAAAAAGCATGATAAAGTGCTTGGACGACGACTCAAGGATCGCTATTTACCACGCGTCGTAGCTGCAGCACCATTCACACCAAAAACGGCCGCACAATTGCATAGATACCTAACACGGGTCGAGCAAGTTTATGCGGATCTCTTTTGTGGTGGTCAAACATCCAAAGCTGTAAGGCAAATGAAGACCCATTTACGAGATCAGCTGACGTATGAGCGCAACACCGTATGGAAAGACATGGTCCATCAAGAACGACAGCAACATGGAGCCCAATACAAGCATGATGACACCAAGATGTATCGGCTATTGCCATCTCTCCTTGTTCCTGCCAAACGGGTGCATTCGGCAGCTTGCCTATTATTTGCTCTTGTGGTGTTTGCGGTATTGATGAATGTTCCCATTTTTGCGCAACGACAAGAAACCCGATGCTTTGCATTATTGATGTTGGCCGCCATATTATGGGCTACAGAAGCATTGCCATTGTACGCAACATCTCTATTGATTCCTTTTCTAATTGTACCACTTGGTATCATGCGTGAAACGGATGGCACACCCATGTCAGCACACGATGCAGCCGAAGCAGTATTTTCATCCATGTTTAGTGGCACCATCATGATGTTACTTGGTGGGTTTGCATTGGCAGGTGCATTATCCAAATATGGTATTGCCAAAGCATTTGCATCGCATGTCTTATCACATGCAGGCACACGTCCTCGTTGGGTGTTATTGGCAACCATGGCAGTGGCGGCATTTCTCAGCATGTGGATTAGTAACGTAGCAACGCCCGTGCTATGCTTTTCTTTGGTCGATCCCATTTTGCGTACACTGGAGCACGATTCACCCGTAGCACCATGCCTGTTGCTAGGCATTGCATTGGCGAGTTGCATTGGAGGAATGATATCACCCATTTCATCACCACAAAACATCATCACATTGCAATACATGCAACCCAATCCAGGATGGGGTGCTTGGTTTGCTGTTGCCATGCCAATCTCTATTTTATCCATTCTCATCTGCTGGTGCTTGTTGCTGGTGGTTTATCGGCCCGATCGTGCATGCCAACATCTCAACAGCATCAAACCTGTCAAGGGTCGTATCACCCCACAGCAAATCTTTGTCATGGTCATCACTATCATTACGGTCATTCTCTGGTGCGTCGAATCATCCATTGAGCATACAATCGGTAGCCCTGGTGTCATCGCTGCCATCCCACTCTTTGTATTTTTTGGTACCGGTTTACTTGGCAAGGATGACTTGCATGCTTTCTTATGGAGTGTAGTGGTAAGTTTATTACATACATTGTTGCTAATGTCATTGTTGACTAATAGGGTCTCTTTATAGATCCTTGCACAAGGAGGAATGGCTCTTGGTAATGCTGTTACCTCATCTGGGCTGTTGCAAGATATTGCACTTGGTATCAAAAGCGGCATTGATCAGCTACATCCATTTGCTATCCTGTTTATATTTGCTGCACTTGTCCTTGTGTTTGCTACTTTTGTATCACATACGGTGGCGGCATTGATTATTGTTCCCATTGTTCAAGAAGTGGGTCAACACCTACCTGTTCCACATCCCAATTTGCTAGTGATGGGCGCTGGTCTCGCCTGTTCAGCAGGAATGGGATTACCAGTGTCAGGCTTTCCCAACATGTCAGCTGTCATGCTCGAAGATTCACGTGGCAAACAATATCTCACCACACGCGATTTTATTGTCACTGGAATCCCCATCAGCATCGTTGCTACTCTCCTTGTTTGCACACTTGGCTATGGTATCATGTCAGCCATGGGCTTCTAAATACTCTTTTTCCTTGTTACTGCAACAATAAAATGTAATTGTATTATATGTGCATGTAAAAGACAATCCATCCTTGTATGTGTCGTCATTGAAGCTTGGTATGTGGCATAATGTGGAGGTGAAAGTAGCTAAAAAAGACCTTATAGAAATCAAGGCTTTATCCTAACCATTTATTATATGAATGAAGGATAGCTATGGATCACTCGAGGAGTATCAAGTGAAGCATGAATACAAGGGATAAAGGTACGTGTGTGCAGTGGAAGTCTTGTTCTCATTGGATCGGAGGCAGTATCGACGACGACGCGTAACCTGTTGAAGCCCAGCAAGGAGTGGTTGCAAGAATCCAGTGCCATTTATCTCTTCTTCTTTTACACCTACACCGCATACAAAAGACAGCCATGGTCGCCACCACACACGAGCCACCTTCCGAACGCCTTCGACAAGCTGAAGAACTCAAGAATGCAAAGCAGATTGAGCAGGCGATTGCTCTTTACAATGGTGTCCTTGCTGAACCTTCAGAAAACGATCAGATTATTAAGGAACAGGAATACGCCATTGTCCATCTCGGCCAGCTCTATCGCGACCTCGGGTAATGGGAAAACGCGACTTTTATTCGTATCCTTTTACTCATTGACAGTATCTAGTCTTGCACAGGAACTCGCTCAGCTGATCCGATCATCGCGATCGTTTATGGGTGCGATTGCCAAAGCTAAGACGGCCAAACTAAGTATGTGGTGGATAGCGTTCCCCATGATGACATGATCAACTAACCATTGTATTACATAGTTCGCACGCTTGTGGATTATTTCAGCGACATCCCCAATTGTTTGCCTCTCCAGATTGATGTGTGCAAGGAAACCATTGAATGGTCTGTGCAGGAAAAGCGTATCTTTTTGAAGCAATCTCTCGAGACACGCTTGGTGGCCCTCTATCTCGACAACAAGATGTATCATGAGTCCCTCAATCTCATTTCTCAATTGCTCAAGGAGCTCAAGCGTTTGGATGATAAGATGGTCCTTGTTGAAGTTCAACTCTTGGAAAGCAGAGTGTGCCATGCTCTTCGAAACCTGCCAAAATCAAGAGTAAGTTGGATATCTATAGGGTGGGATCGATATTGACAAGGTGACTATTAGGCTGCATTGACCTCTGCACGTACATCTGCCAACGCCATCTACTGCCCACCTCTTTTGCAAGCTGCACTTGATATGCAATCGGGTGTACTTCATTCAGAAGAAAAAGATTACAAGACCGCCTATTCCTACTTTTTCGAAGCATTTGAAGGATATTCAAGCCAAGATGATCCAAAGGCCGTGTTGGCTCTCAAGTATATGCTTTTGTGCAAGATCATGTTGAATTTGGTAAGGCAATGATATGATTATCATAGCACCAGAAGCTTACGTAGGGTGTGTATTTGTACTAGCCTGAGGACATTCAAGCCATTCTCAGTGGCAAGACCGCTTTACGTTACTCTGGTTCCGATATCGAAGCTATGAAGGCTGTGGCCAGCGCACATCAAAACAGAAACTTGCAGGAATTCGAAACTGCATTGGCAACCTATACACATGGTAAGTTCATGGATGAGGAAGGAAAGTAAGAAAAGAACGGACATTCATTAACACACGCATGGACTTGTAGAGCTCAATGATGATCCCATTATCCGATCACAGCTTGCAGCATTGTACGACACCCTTCTTGAACAAAATTTGGTGCGCATCATTGAACCCTTTTCTCGAGTTGAGATTTCCCATATCGCAAATTCTGTCAAACTCCCAACACAACAAGTGGAAGCAAAGTAAGTGCCACTCAAAGGAAACCTCTATACGTTTATTCATTCGTCACTATTAGACTTTCACAAATGATCTTGGACAAGGCTTTCCATGGTATTTTGGATCAAGGTGCTGGATGTCTGATTGTATTTGATGAGCCAGAAGAAGATGTAAGTGATGAAACCATACAAAAGTAACCCCCCTAATGATGATTAACATGACTTTGTTTCAAAACAGAAAACGTACGAAACGGCTATTGACACGCTCAAACAAGTTGACAAGGTGGTCTCCAGTCTCTACCAAAAGGTACATATATAACATGGGATAATGATTTTGATGTGGTGTATACTCAATGTAGCATTCGTTTTTTTATCTTATAGGCGGCCAAGTTGTCGTAATAGTATAATACCTGAAACTTTTTTTTATTCTAAAGGGATTCTCAAAGTATATATGGAATGGGTAGTGATGTTGATGACGCAAATGAGAGTGGATGCAAAGTTATATACAAGATTGAATGGGATTTGACTTATTGTTGGGCACATTGCACACCTGGTCCTCCTTGACCCTCTTCATCCTCTTCATCGATATCCATGGGGTGGGCAAAAGATGCCTTGGCAGCCTGTTTAGGATCCGCTTCTTGCATGGATACCTCCTCAAGGTGCTTATCACCAAAGGTGGGTAGAGAAGGTCGTGGAGGTAGGATGCCTTCCAATTTCTTGATGGTGTCGTTATCGGTCCAATTGGCAGGTGGGAATTCAATCTTGAATTTGACATAAAGGTTGCCAAAGTCGTGGTGTCGATAAGTAGGCATACCCTGATGGGGGATAGTTTTAACCATATCTGGGCGAATGCATTCACCTGGAGCAATGGGGACTAATAGCACACGATCGTCGAGATGGGGTATCGCAAACTGGCCACCTGCCAGTGCAGTGAGCAAGTCGATAGTGGCCTCGTGTACAAGATCATCGCCTTTGCGTACAAAATTGGGATCAGGCTGTTGTGCCAATACAATAATAATATCGCCAGGTTGTTCGATACCAGGTCCTTGGTCACTTTCACCGGCAAACGTGATCCTTTGGCCATCCTTCATACCCTTGTCGATATGCACTTCGATGATCTTTTTGTCATTCACCACCTTTTTGCCATTGCATTGGGTACACTTTTCACCAATGGTTTCGCCCTGTCCTTGACAAGCTGCACATGGTTGTTGTACTTGTTGCACCATAGGACCCATTTGTCGTAGCGACATTGTGAAACCTTGGCCCTTGCATGGTTCGCATTTTTTCACATCCTTGCCACCGGTGCCCTCGCATTTGGGACATAAAATGTGTTTCTGCACTGCCAACTTGGTTGTCTTTCCATTATACAAGTCTTTGAGCTGCACCTTGAGATGATGCACCATGTCACGTCCTCGTCTAGGTCCTTTTGGTCTTGCGAAAGCACCACCAAAGAGTTGCGAGAAGAGATCCTCAGCATCCATACCACCACCCATGCCGCTTAATCCTTCCTCGCCATATTGATCGTACAAGTGCCGTTTCTCGGGATCAGACAATATCTCATAGGCATGCGAGATTTCTTTAAACTTGTCGCCGGCTTCTGGATTCTATATGTATGCTATTGATGAATATACCTTTGTAACACGCGTTTAAAAAGCGTTATAGTTTACCTTATCTGGATGATATTTTAATGCGAGCTTCCTGTATGCTTTTTTCAATTCCCCTTCTGTTGCATTGGGGCTCACTTCCAGGCTGTCATAGTACTTGGTGTCACGAACCATGCTTAATGATGATGCTTAAAGAAGGAAGGGAAGAAAAAGGAAAGAGTGATGGGGGTAAAAAGTAAGAAACAAGGATTCGAGTCGTGATGAAATTGGGTGCTGGGGGGGTGTGATTGTTTGACACATTTTATATGGCCGACACATCACATATCCAGCACGTACCAGCATTGTGTAGAAGGATCTGGATCATCGAATTGAGATTTATGCATAGGTTTTATTGTTCCCATGGTATCCTTTCCCTTTACATTTTCTCTTGCATAGCACTCGCTAGTGGTTTTGCTAATTCTACTAGCTTACGTCCAAAGTTGATCAAGAAACCTAAACAATAAAAAGTACATCAGATCATATCCCATAGATCACTTTTATCATTGTACACACACACATACCCGTATTGGCATCTGCACCTCCAACCACCGTAATGATCAATGGATTGCTGTCGTATTGTACAAACTGATATTGATCGTACATGCTCATGATGTATCGGTTTTGCTTGAGCCCAAGTTTGGATGCCTTTGAAAACGTTCCCTTGTCAGCTAACAAGAATGAAATCATTCAAAGTTATCTCGTTTCAACAAACCTGGTTGTTGGCTATCGTAAATGACGTGAAAAACGTGGGATCGACAATGTTCTCGGGTGCATCCTGTTGAGCAGCTGGTGGCAATCAATAAGCGACATGTTGCGCATGGCTTCTCCGGAAAGATATCGCTTACACTTCAAAATGACGACGCCATCCTTGTCTGTAATAAAGGCTGCCAAGAGCCCTTCGACGTAATTCTGTTCGCACAATCGGTGGAGATTGTCTTCAATGGCCATATTCAAGAGGTGAAAGTCAGCATACGCATAATAGAGATACAACACGACCCACTCAAGACGTCATTCGGAGTCGAGCCGCATATAACAGAGTGCCCTCCCCTTCTTTGGAAACGCCTTCTTTGCATGCATGGAGGTTATAAATGTTTATTTGATTATGTAAAGACATGATCCATTATAGTGTTTATTATTACATGTGAATACGACTTTCTATTATTTGAATGAATGCTGAAAACAGCATAGGGGTGGAGAGTGTGTGTGAATAAGTTTATGCGAGACGTCATTGTAAATTTGCCATGATGGGAAAAGCTTGCTGTACACTGAGTCAGCATGGCGTATTTGAGGCACATCAACCCCACACTTTTTTATGCACCCTCTTTCTCCCTTTTTTTTCATACCTCTCGTATGGCACCAAACACCAACAAACGACCCGTACGTATTGGATGTTACTCTGCCTTCCTTGGCGATTCTCGAGATGCAGCAGCCCAATTAGTACGTGAAGAAGGAGCCAACTTGCACTACCTTGTAGGCGACTATCTTGCTGGTAATGAATGATGAAACGCTGTACAGCCTTATACAGTATCCGCTGACAACCATTATTATAGAGATTACGATGGGTGTGCTTGCCCTCCGAAAACATGCACGTCAAATGGTCCCTGGATTAAAAGACATCGAAGGTGGCACACTAGCAGTCGATTACATTGGACAATTCCTTGCCTTTGTCCTTAAGCCTCTATTACCCGATCTCAAGCGAAACGGCACAAAGGTGATCACCAATGCTGGTGCACTTGATCCGCTCGGTTGTAAAGCAGCTGTCGAGGAGCTCTTGAAAGAACAAGGAATCGATATGAAAGTAGCAGCTGTCTATGGTGACGACATGATGCCTGAAAAGGGGGGTATCGCCACATTTGATGCTTTCAAGAATGATGTTGTGTCATTTTCTCCCACGTCCGTCACCGAACATACACGTGATGCTGATCGACTTCCAACAAGTAACGAACCGATCATGTCAATGAATGCCTACTTTGGTGCCAAAGGTGTTGCAGCTGCCTTGGAAGCAGGTGCTGACATTGTCGTTACCGGTCGTGCTGTTGATTCAGCCATCGTCGTTGGCCCATTGATGTATGAATATGGATGGACACCAGAAAAGAATAGCAATTATCATGATCTTCTTGCTGCTGCCTCTTTAGCCGGTCATATCATTGAATGCGGTTGTCATGCTACTGGCGGAAACTTCACCGATTGGAAATTAGCAGCATTTTCTCCCTATGGTGGATATGCCAATATGGGATATCCGATTGTCGAGTTTGAATCAAATGGCGAATTTATAGTCACCAAACCTGAACGCACGGGTGGTCTTGTAACACCTGCCACTGTGGCAGAACAAATTTTGTATGAGACTTTGGATCCTGCTTTATACATTCTCCCCGATGTCATTCTCGATATGCGACAGGTGCAACTTACTCAAGTAGCCAAAGACCGTGTTCATGTAAAAGGAGCTCGAGGAGTTAAGCCTACACCCTATCTCAAGTGCTGTGGCATCTTTATGGATGGATGGGTTGTCAATGGTACCTTGATCATTGGTGGTGCACAAGCCAAAGACAAAGCTGATGCAGTGGGTCATGCCATTATTGAACGCACAAGACGCATGCTCAAGGAACGTGGTATGGAAGATTATCGTGCCTACAACGTGGAAACACTTGGTTCGGAAGCATCACTTTATGGGTAAGTGCTTATATAGGAATAATGTTGTCATAATCTCACATGATTGTTTAGTGCAACGTCTCAAGCTCATGGAACACGTGAAGTGGTGCTTCGCATATCGGCTATTCACAATGATCGCAAAGCGCTGAGAATCTTGTCAAGTGAAATCTTAGCTGTAAGTATCATTATTAACACCATCATGATGATAGCCTTGATACTAAAATGCAATCATAGCCTGTCACTTGTATGGCTCCAGGCACTGGTTTTGGTGAAGTTCGACCACCATTGCCCAATCTCGTTCATTTCCCATGCTTGCTACCCAAAACCATGATTAAAGCCCAGGTTGCTGTTGGAACAGCTCGGCCACAATTGATTGAATGGGATGCTTGGGATGACACCCATGCTTATGAACACTCGACCCCTGTGCCATCCATTCCAGAACCACCTGCCAGCGAACTTGGATCGCTCGTCAAGACCAAATTGATCAATGTGGCCTATGGTCGTAGTGGTGAAAAGGGTGATGTCTCTAATATTGGTATCATTGCACGTGACCCCAAAGTGCTACCTTACATCAAGCGTTCGGTGACTGAAAAAGTGATGGGCGAGTTTATGAAACACCATTGTCACGGGACCGTTAAAATGTACGAATTACCTGGATTGCATGCACTCAACTTTGTATTGACACAAGCATTGGGCGGAGGTGCATTGACATCACTTGTAATGGATAAGCAGGGCAAATCATTCGCTCAGCTAGCTATTAGTGGTATCGATGTAGAAGTCCCAGCAAGCTTTTTAGCCACAGAGTCAAAGATGTAGCATTTATTCCATTTGTCAGTAGTCTACAATACAACAATTATGCAATGAAGCTCTAAAGTAATGTGTGTGATGTGAGTGGTGGCCGATGAGTGTTGCACCAGGATGTGGCAAATGACGAGAGCGTGTGCGGGGTATTCATTCCGCAGGAGAGAGACACACAAAGTTGTCTTGTCTCTTTCTTTGCCAAAAAACCCCCCTTCTTCTCTACGCCATGCCCTCGGGTACCAATAAGAAACACCAACTCGAAGACATTCTGTCCGACAAGGTCTCAATCATGGAGACGGACGACGTTGCCGAGGACACCGCCTCTGTGGATGATCACGATGCACAACCCGGCTTCTGTGTCGAATGCAAAGATCAACCTGTAACGATCGTTTCATACCACCGATCGCCATGCCGTCGAATACTCAACATACGTAATAGGCTATTGTACACTGCGACAACTGCAACGAGCCATTTTGTGAAGTGTGCTTTGGTAAAAATCGATTCTTCTTTACAAGTTGCTATGTCTCTTACCATTGGAAGTGGATAGGGATGATCCACCGCACTGGCAAGCGTGCAAAGCATACAACTCAACCTTATACAGCCGTATCGAGTGCAACAAATGGAAGCAATGATGCAATGGAACAAGACGATGAGATGATGGGAGTATGGATCAAGTATCGCATATTGCAAAAAGTGGTGGATGATAATAACGCTTTGTATAGCAACCCAAGGATGCGCCTATGACAACAGTGACACCTACAGCAGGCCCCAAGAGCAAGGAGATTGATATTGGGCAAATCATGGAAAATCGGTAAGGAGGAACAAAGAAATGAGCGTTTTCATGGGCTAACGGCACGTGATCGATAATGCAGTGCAAAGTACATCCCGCTTCGTTTACATTTGGAAGAACGCAAGTTCCTACGACTGTATGTGGAAAATTAGCAAAGGAGGACATTGGATATCTAACATGAGGTGACATGTTTCCTACAGTCTCGAAGCAGCATTGAATGTGACCGAGTATACAGGTAATTAGTAGTAGTCGTGACATGGGTCCTGGATGATGATGACTAAAACCAAGTTGTTGTGAAGATCATATCGACAATGAATCCCATACGAGCAAAGCCAAGCGCGTCGTGAGCCAAATCAAGGAACTATGTGCAGTTTTGACAGGATTGGTTTTGGCATGTGATTATGGACGAGGACAAGAACTCTTTGCGGATCGATCATTTGAGGAGAATGAAGAATTCTTTCAACGTATCTTTGAAATTGGAAGACGGTAAGAGTATCAGCCTAGGGAAAAGGGGACGCATCATGATAGTGGGAGATGTTAATCCATTGTATCTATTATAGCCACAAGATCATGAATCCAGAAAAGATGCGATCAGCATATGGAAAGCTCATGTACATGTTATCGGTAAGAGAGAGAAAGGGGAAAGAGGACTAGAGGATGTCGAGAATGGGTTATTAAGTGGATTCTATTTAGGACTCTATGATTCCCGAAGTGCAAGAGATGCTTGGTTTCTCGTGCGTTGCTCCCATCAAAACAGTGTACAGCTTCCTTAAAGAGCGACGAGGCTTAGGTGTGCTGCATGAGGATATCGTCTTGATAGCAACACGCGAGATCATACCCGAAGGCAAATCACGTATGCAGATCCAGAGCGAGATTCGACGCAAAGAGAAATCGATCGAGCAGCTGAGTCGAAAGTATCAGTCAAAGTTCCTTTCAGCAGACGAGATTCGGCATTGCTTGTATAGTATTGGTGACAATAATGCATACCTTCGTGAAAATCGGTAAGCTTAAAGAATTAGGTATATGAGCACACGAAATACTAAAATGGATCATCTTTCGTAGTGATCCCTGTGAAAAGATGTTAGCCTATCTTGAGGAGTTTTTCCATCCTACTGAAGCCGAGTGTGAGGAGTTTTCATTATCCATTGCAGCGGGTGCTCAGGGACATCGACTAAGTCATGATCACGAGACACAATACACCTACGTGAATCAGACCCTCAAGCTTTGGCGTGAGATCCTCAATGAAATGTTCATGCTCTGGACGCTGGCCGACCAGGATATGTTGAGCGCAGGGAACCCTTATCGGCTATCACAGACAGGCCAGGGCCTACATCGCATACAGCCGTGTCCTGCAGTATCAAGGGAGATGCACCGCACACTTTTCAAAGCACAAAAGAAGGCCGGCAAGTGGATTGGGAGCAGCGTCATTCATTTGGGAGATAAAAACGTGCCAAACGCTTTAATGTTCATTGACAAGGTAAGAGAATCCATATGCCAAAGATGTGTTTTTAGTAACCTATTTATATCGTGTTTATAGTATAATCAAGTCTCACGCATCCTCAGCCCGATATGTCTCACTCTTGATCGCATCGAAGAGCTCACAAACCATGATGGTGGAAAAAAGTTCTTACAACAAAAGTTTGGTGGGGTTGCTCAATGCAAGAAGACGATCTTGGGTAGGTCAGGGGAAGGAGGAAAAAGGGACAGGAGAATATAGGGTGACGATGATGCTTTTGCGCATTGTGTGTGGAGAGCGAAAAAGGTATTCAAGGAATGGATGGCAATATCACTAAACATCATTATCCTTTAGCCGACTTTTTCCGAGGAGCATTTGATGGATCTGGTGCGGATAACTTTTACGACGCTGGAAGCTGCATCGATGGACGACTCACGTCTGCATGGAATTGTAAGATAATGCGATTCACCTCCCTCCCTTTTCTACTGCAAAATACTATAATAGCCCCTAACAACGATTCATCTTTAGGGTGTTCGCAAATAGAGCGCAAGTCTTACTTCCCGGTGTTCTTATTGACGGTATGTTATTTTTTCAAAAGGAGAGAGAAAAACGGAATGAGGTGAATGAATTCATTCACATGTTTCCTTTTTTCATTGTCTAGGGATTTGTGGGCTTTGATGGTGGTGGATGGAGCTAAAAACGGGAATTCAAAAACACCAGGAAATCCAGAGATACATAGAAGCAAGGATATGCTAAACGTAGAAGAGTCTTTATATTGGCACAGACAACGTATACAAACACATGATTAAATGGCACAAAACGTTTTGCTCATCTGACACTTTCTTCATAACGACCGTGCGACATTGAAAAGGATTTGGGATTTGCTTTGTAGATCAGGGAGAACGTAGAATGAGATACCGGGGCACTATAACGATGATGGTAAATCATCATTAAAAGGCTACGATATAGGAATTGGGTGTATTCGGAGAGTTAGAAGAAACTATAGGAAAGAGCAAGGAGATCTCTTGATTGGGATCAAGCGGCAGGTTGCACGTGTCGTCAACATTTACGCGAGATATTTACGTTGAAGGATGCATAGTTGCCGCAGTGTGCATAATCATACGCATCACAGCTAGCATCCCATTGCAGCGGTACAGAATCCTCAAACGAGATAATTTACCATTACCATTGTCCTTGTGGCTATTTAACTTTTGCTGCTGATAAAGCATCAAAATCAATAGCTGGTAAAGCTAAAAGGTGTGTTTGTGTGGCAACAGCATATGAAGTTCTCCGCTTACTCATAACTCTGACAGTGATCTGGATATACATTACTTCATAAATCAAGAGGACGTGAATATCAGCTAATGCAGCCCATGTTCCTGAGCACTATGCTTGAGTCTCCTTGCATCATTTCGACGTCGAAAAAAAAACACCCACCAATCTAAATGTCTGCTGGTCCCTTTCCCCAATCAGGTACGTGCTCTCCTTTGCTATGTATCCTTGTGACTTGAAGAAGACCATCAATCCATCATTATCAATAGTATGTTGATGGCATGGCCAAAGGCATGTTTGTCTCATGACAACTTCTAGAACGGCTGTTAAAAGAGTAGAGCGTTGCTATATAGATTCCTTGAAAACGATGGCTGGGGGAGAGCAGCACCTCACACAACAGCTAGTGATTAGGGAGCGTCTCCTTAACCATGTACGAAGGTGAGCAACAAGGAATAATCCGCCTTTGCCGAGGTATATAAATACACATCGTCCTGTTTGATGCACGGCCGATCAGAAGCCTTCATTCTCTCTCTCTTTTGTATTCTCACTTTTTCAGCTACTCCTGCAATCCAACATCATACACCACCCTATTTATGCTTGTTAATTCTTTTCCCTCACATTGCATTGATAACAAGTAAATAATACGTGAGCTTTGTGGCCGTACGTGTCAAGTATTGATATGTTTTCAACATTCGTAGTATGATGCATGGCGACAACACTGATTTAAACGCTATGGATGATTATACCAGCCGACTACAGCACTCGACTTTTACGCGAAACGAAACCACCATCCCATATCTGTGCTTGAATGGCATTTATGCAACACGACAAGCAACAGCACCGCCACCCTTTTCTACTACCACTACAACTTTAGACACTTGTGCGGCTGGTCCGCATCCATCACACGCACAACATCAGCCTCCCTTTCCATCATCCTCGCTACCATTGATTGGAGCCAACATGATCCCTTCACCACCTGTGAGTTGCCCATCACCTGCAAAGTAAGCATTGACATAAAAGGAACGGTCATGGGACCCCCTTGGCTATGCCGGTTGCCGGCATCTGATCTGGGACTGTGTAACCCATGCGAAGCATACTGGCAACAACATTTCGTCTCACATCATTTACTTTCTCCTTTTGAATAGCTTCCGATACGATATTGTCCTTGAAGGTATACAATTAACAAATCCCCCTTTATTATGACACACGTGTGCTTTGCCAGCAGCGATGATGATTTACACACAGACCATGCTTTTTTCTTATAGCACCTCCGGCTGCTGCTGCTCAACGAGTTGAGGAGTCACCTGTCACCTATCTCAACAAAAGTAAGTGATGCCAACATTCGCTTATTGATTCTTTACAATGACCCTAACAACGTTGTAGACCAATACTATTGCATCAATTTGACTGATACCGATGGCTATGATGGTGTCGTTACAAGCACGCTCACTATTACATTCCATGAAGAATCGCATCGACGCCTTACTGCTAATTACTGGCGTTTTTGGCTAGGCCAACAACAAGATCCACAAAGCGCACGAGCTCTCGACCTTAGTATGTTGTACTACACAAAGCATACAAACAATGCAAAAGCTGATCGCCCTCCTTTTTCTCTCCTTGCTTTGACAGATGTTGAGCGTTCCTCTGGTATTTACAATGTGCAATGTCCTGAGTTTGATCGTGTCGTTTTTGAATGGAACGGCAAACGAGGAGCTACCATCCATGTGCGATTCAATTGCTTGTCAACCGATTTCTCAAGGATAAAGGGAGTCAAAGGGATTCCTTTACGCTTGCATATGGAGACGCAAATACCTTCATCCACTAGTGCAGGTGCCGTTACGACACCGTCAAATACGTATTCCGAAGCAACTTATTGCAAGATCAAATTATTTCGGGATAAGGCAAGTTGCATTCAAGAATTGTTCTTTGTTTCTCAACTCAAAATCCCTTGCTCTTTTACACACACGCACATCCCCTTGCTCCCTAAAGGAAAAAAAAAGACACTAACACTTGTACTTTACGCACAGGGTGCAGAACGTAAGAATAAGGATGACGCTCGTCATCTGGGACGACAATTAGAGAAGCTTCGAGGTATGTATTAGTGTACACTAAAACAGCAACACCTGATGCTGTATGCACACATCCCTTTATTCTACCACAACAAAGTTGCTTACATGTCCTTTATAGGTGACTTGGGCAAGCAAGGTGGTAGTACTAGTATCGATACCCATCCATTATGGCTCGCATACTACCGATCACAACCCTATACCTTGTTTTCAGAGATTCCTGAAAGTGTATCACCGCCACATCCTACGCTATCATCACCTTCTGATTCATTGACAACAGCAACAACAACGCTAGCACCATCACCAGGTTCGACTCCTGAGGCCTCTTCACCTCCATCATCATCAGCCGTGGCATCTCCACAACGTGCTCCTGCAGCAGCAGCTGTAGCAGGTATTAAGCGTGTACGATCTCGTATGGATGATGACTATGTGCACACTACAACAACGTCCAATGAACATATCCTATGTGATCCTGCTGACATTGATCCCAATTATGTGCCAGTGAGAAAACGGCGTACGGCAAGTGAGTGATCTAATAATACATTACGTGGATTCAACAACCTGCCATCGTACTCATTGATCATTTCTAGAGCTGGCCTTTTTTGCAAAGTTCCCATTTAATGAATTGTATCGCGCTATTTATCTTGATGAGTTGACGGTAGACGACTTGATACAACAACTTGGCAACAAGATGAACATTTCGTTGCCTATTCAACATGTGGTACGTAGGGTTATCAAAAAGGATACCGGTAGCCCCATTGTTGTACGTGTGGATGATACAATGGTGCAAGACATCCCGGAAGAACAAGACATGGAGATCGAGACCCAGGTCTTAGAGGATGGTGCATTTACATTGATACTGCATTATTAAGGATATCCATGTTGTATCCATTCTCTTCCTTTTACCCATTACATGTACTACTTTATTCATCACTATGCTAGCACGTCAAGATGCCTTAATGTGTATAACGTTTTCTCTCCTTTCCACCACTCGTCTTCTTGTTACTATTCCAGCGCATTCTTTTTAAGAAGATTGAACCTTACATGTGGTTCGCATGTTTTTTATAGTACACAAACGCCACTTTATTTCTATATGCATGTATATGTGCTGTGTATGCGTTGTCTTTCCTTAGGAGAAAAAGGGGTGAAAAGAGAAAGCACGGAGGAAAACAGGAGGAGATAAACTCAAACCTTTTTGCACAATTGTTCATCTGATACAGTAGTCTTTATAATTTGAAACAAAATACAACACGAAAAAGTGTTTGATTTTCTAGCTGACGTCTCTATGGAGCAATGCATGTGAGGAATGGTGGAAATTGGAGAGAACCATTGTTGTAAAAGAGAGAGTGTGTTGTGAAAGTTGTGTTATGCGAAAGTGTGATGTGAATCAATAACAAAATTATTGAGCACCCATCTCCTTGGCAAGCTCCTCAGCACGCTTGATGACATCGCTGATATCGCCTTGCATGTAGAAAGCGGATTCGGGAAGGCTATCGTGCTTGCCATCCAAGATTTCACGGAAGGAACGGATGGTGTCAGTGAGCTTGACAAGACGACCTTCATAACCAGTGAAGACTTGGGCAACAGCGAAGGGTTGGGACAAGAAACGTTGGATCTTACGGGCACGTTCGACAACGAGCTTATCTTCTTCGGACAATTCATCCATACCCAAAATGGCAATGATATCTTGAAGCGACTTGTAGTTTTGAAGGATTTGTTGGACACCAGTGGCAACCGAGTAGTGCTCATCACCAACGATACGGGGATCCAAGATACGAGACTTGGAGTCAAGGGGATCCACAGCGGGGTAGATACCCAATTCAGCAATGGAACGAGACAACACGGTGGTGGCGTCCAAGTGAGCAAAAGTAGTGGCAGGAGCAGGATCGGTCAAATCATCAGCAGGGACGTAGACAGCTTGCACGGAGGTAATGGAACCATTCTTGGTGGTAGTAATACGCTCTTGCATACCACCCATATCAGTGGAGAGAGTGGGTTGGTAACCGACAGCAGAGGGAATACGACCAAGCAAAGCGGACACTTCGGAACCAGCTTGAGTGAAACGGAAAATGTTGTCAATGAAGAGCAACACATCTTGACCCTCCTCATCACGGAAGTATTCGGCAATGGTCAAACCGGTCAAAGCGACACGAGCACGAGCTCCAGGGGGTTCGTTCATTTGACCAAAGACAAGAGCACACTTGGATTCACCTTCGAGCTTGATGACACCAGTGGAAATCATTTCATGGTACAAATCGTTACCCTCACGAGTACGTTCACCAACGCCACAGAAGATAGAGTAACCACCATGAGCCTTGGCAATGTTGTTGATCAACTCTTGAATCAAGACGGTCTTGCCGACACCGGCACCACCGAAAAGACCAATCTTACCACCACGAGCATAGGGAGCAAGCAAATCGACAACCTTGATACCAGTCTCAAGAATCTCGGGAGTGGGGGACTGATCAACGAATTCGGGAGCATCAGCGTGAATGGCACGAGTGGCCTTGGACTTGATAGGACCACGCTCATCAATGGGCTCACCAATGACGTTGATGATACGACCAAGGACTTCGTTACCAACAGGAATGGTGATAGGAGCACCAGTGTCAATGACCTTTTGGCCACGAACAAGACCTTGAAAAAGTAGTTTTTAGTGCCCTGATGTTTCATTTTTCCAATCCAAAAGACAACAATAGCTTACCTTCAGTACCATCCATGGCAATAGTACGAACAGTGTTCTCACCCAAGTGTTGAGCAACCTCAAGAACAAGACGACCACCAGTGTGATCTTGGACTTCCAAGGCGTTCAAGATAGCAGGCAAGTTCTCTTGGTCGAATTGGACGTCAACAACGGCACCAATAACCGAGCTGATATGTACACATGCCAAGTGAGCTTTCTTTTTCTTTGTGCAAACGTGGAATGATTGTAGGAATTCAATGCTTACCGAATTTGACCAGCGGATTGGGCCTCGGTGGCATAAGCACGAGCTTGATTGAAGGGTAAGAAAAGAGCATGTCAATATGACCCAATCCAATGTGTTTTTGTTTTTCCCTTTTCTTCATTTACCTTTGTTGGCAGCTTGGACACCAAGGGGCTTAGTAGCAAGACGTGTGGCAGGAGCACGGAACGCGCTAGTGGCGACACGGCCAATGGCACGAGAGATGAACATTGTGGTGGGTGATAGGAAGGGAAGTTCAAAAAACTTTGTTGTGGCCTTTGTCGGCAAAGTGCTTTGTGACGAGCATCGGCAACACCACCCCGGTTAATTTCAGTGCCTGACTACTGTGTCTATCCTTGGATTATCCTCTCTTTTACATCATGTGTATACACACACACACCCACATGTACATATAAATCTATATCCTATACCTTATGTATTGTATTCATTTTTCCCAAATACAATCGATATTGTACTTTTTTCGCCAAGCATAGTGTCCATGAGCTTACTTCCACCGAGTCAAAAGTTGGCGTACTATTGAATTTGAATGCCAGATGCTAGCAGCATAGGTTTGAAAATGTGTGAATAGCCCAATGGTTGATCATCATATCCTGAGAGCTGCTCATCAATGATAATGCTAGTAGAAAAGCATGCATTGCTTGTACTTGATCATACATTCAACGAAGAGGCGAATCCAAATACTATGAATAGGTTCGATGACCAATCCAAGCCAAACATGATGTACCTTCAGGCTGCTGCTCTAGCAAAAGATAAAGTACATCAATCATGGGGTTGTTGATCATAACACTTTTGCATGTCCATAATCCGAAAGAACAAGTCGATGTATCGAGATGAGTTTCCAAAGAGCTTTACTACTTTATTGCAATTCCCATAACGTGTCTTTCTATATTCTCTAGTTGCTATATGGTGTAATGATACACATACTTGATGATACTGGATATTGGGTGGGTCGTGCATGTAGCAGGAAATCACGTGACGGGGATAAACCAATCATTTTTGATCTTGCCAACTGTTTCAGAGGATTGCCTCGTGGTGCTGTTTCATTCCTATCCTTTTCTCCATGTCCAATCTCTCACCTGCCATCAGTATGTGCCATTGGATATATAATACACTTCTTGTATTCTGAATCAGCGAATGCAATAGATAAGAACAAAAGACGATTCAAGCCAACTACTTCAGTGACCAAACGACAAAAGAAAAAGGATCCGCAGCTCGGCCGTAGCGATCCATTCAATACCCAAGTCACCAATGCACAGCAGCAACCGGCGGTTGATACGAGGAATGAGCCTAGCAACGCTTTGGAAGACAACGAGAGAGGAGATACATCAAAGGAGGGAACCACGTCTTACACACCTGTACAAAAACCGCCGCTTGATCCAGATGCGGTGTTACGCATTATCCGAGCTCATGTGGAACAACAATCATCGAGACGCAGACCACAACGGAAAGGTGTATGCAAGGATGTGCTAAAACATCAAGGAGAAATCAAGAGAAGAAGGCTGGAACAAGAGGAGCAAGAGAAGGAGGGAAAGGACGGCTTGAAAGAGTAAGCTTATTGATCCATGGCATAATCGAAAACGATTACTCAAGAGTTTTATAGGCAAGCAGCAACACCACAAGTGACCATGGTCAATGGAGAGATTGTTCTGGATCCATCATCGCTTTCATACTCGGCACCATCCACCCCTCGCGAGGAAATTGTCGAAGTTGTGCATGAAGAGAAAAATGACAATTTGGTGGACAAGAAGGTGAAAAGGAAGCGCAAAGGGATTCCCAAACGTTGGACTCAACAGGAAGAGGAATTGTTCTATGAGGTAAGTTTTTGCTTTTGCTAAAGAGTTTGAGCCAACCATGTTCTAATATCGGTATAGCTACTCAAGGAACATGGGTTAGCCTTTCACAAGATCAGTCAATGTATACCCGGACGAGATGCCAGAAATATACAGAGGAAATATGACAAAGAATGCAAACTGAACCCATTCAAGATTGCCGAGGCATTCAAGCGATAATTCATTATGTACATATGTAGATATCATTGTAGATAGACTATTCTTAATCACATCCATATTACTATACTATATACAATCCTTCATATCCGAAAGCGTATCATTGTTGCGATGACATATTTATTGGGAACGGGATAGTGGTCTACTTGGAATCAAAATGGGCGAGAACGAGAGAGAGAGAAAGAGAGAATGATGGATGATCTATTGTCTAGGAAGAGCGACAGGAACCCATGCGGTGACCTTGGCTTTGGTGGTGCTGTAGGTTCTGAAAGCGCTACGAGTGCCGGTGAAGTTGGGTGTAGGTTCAGTCCACCACTTTTGAGATTGGATGTTCATATCAGTAGGAGGTTCCTGGACGATTCTTGCCATCCACATGTGCCTGTATGATATAATTGTATGAGTGATATTGGTTGTAGTAGTCGTCCAACTGCGTACTATTTACCATGCAGGATCAATATCAGCACCATCAGGGTCAACACTATCGAATTCAACCCAACGTTCACGACCTATAGGGATAACAAAAGTAAGCTCATGTGACCCAATGTCAAGCTGAATCGACACGCCGTACCCGAGATTTCGTCGTTGTTTTCAAAGTACTTGTTGCCAAAGCGATCAGCACCAATAAAGGCACCCCATTTGGTATCACCAATGTTGTTCATTTGCTTCAACGAGTTGGCAGGACCAGCTTTTAAGACGTTCTTGATTGTACGACCAATAGTGGACATGGCGTTGTATTAGGTAGAGGAGAGAATGAATTACATGCGAGACCACATGTTTTCCCTTTAGGCAGTGCTGCAACCCTATCTCGCAGTCACCAGACCACACACACCCACACACACAATCGTTATGCTTAAACTTGCAGACAACATGTACTCCTTGCATAGCAAATAACTTTATACACGCATCCAATGCTCCTTGACGAGTCTCTTTGTGTCTAATTGGGTCATCATTTCAGTCATTGTTATGAAAAAGAACCAGGATCATTGTTATTGGCTCTACTACTACGCATCCATTCATTGGCTATAAGTTAAAAGTAGACGTAAGGCATCAACCATCATTACCAAATGCATGCATGTAAATAAACAGCTCTTTTGATTATCAATGTAAACAAGTAAAGATGTATGTTTTCTATACCGAGAGATGGGAATAATGATGATGATGATGATGGAATGTAGATGGATGAATTGAACAGCCGAAGTTGAAGCCACGGCGATCTTTAGCCGTACCTGGAGAGATTAGGACCGACCCACCATCACCCAACGCACCTCTTGTCGTGTACAACTTTAGCCTGCTGTCAGCGAAATAAGCCCGAGAGAAGAATCTCCTTGAATCGATTGCCCCAAAGACTTGCTCCTCTAATTCAACATTCAACTCGCACATGACGTTACCTTCGCAACCAGCCAAACCACCCTCATGGTATACGTCGGCTACAGCAACAGCAGCAACAGCAAGGCCCCTTCAGACAGCTATCCACAACACACAACCTTATCGCAATGCTGTTCAAAGCAAAAGGAAAAAGGCCAAAGAAGTAACATCGGTGGGAGGAAGCACAGCCATTGCCCGATCGCTCATGATGCAAGGCTTGTACCTGTTTTATCGTACACCCGTCAAGGTAAGGAAGAAGGATTCCATTTGTATACACAACTGCGCACAGACAACAATGACACCTTACAACCACCACCACCCCTTGTTATTATTAGTTGTTTCGACCATTGAGAGTGGATTATTTGATTATGGCAAGAGCAATCATGCCTCCTTTGGATGAAGCATCTTCAAAACGATTCTCTTTTCGATACACATCTATCGGCATGATATCGCACGCTGTCAAGAAACAAGGTGTAAGTTACACTTTTTGCAATTCAACCTCCTTTGGTAATAACACTTTCCATCGTTTGTATAGTGGAACTTCATCCCAAGACATGTCCTGCCTCCACTGATAGCAAATACCGTCATTGGCACCGTTCTTTATACGACTTACATCGCCACCTTACCCATGTTCCATCCACCTTCATCATTCCAACTTCATCGTCCATTTCCTCCTCCTCCTTTCACTTCTGTATTCATGGCTGGTAGGTCATTCATCAACCAATGCAAAGGTATTCCCTATCTCATACACACATATACACGCGTTATCTCTAGGTTGTATTGCTGGTGCCATGCAATCCATTGTTGCTGCTCCTCTCGACTCAGTCAAGATTCGCTTTGAAGTGAGTGATCTCTTGGAAGGCAAACACAGATCCATGTATCAGTACGCCAAATCAACATTGAAAGAGTTGGGGATTGCAAGTGCCTATCGTGGTTTTGGTCTTACCCTTGTCAGAGTAAGTACTCACTCACTCACACTCACACATGTCTTTATTTGATTTAACACATGAATGACTTAGGATTCTCTCTCCTGTGGATTATTCTTCGCTACATTCGAATGGGTCAAGCAGCAAGGCTATTATTATTTCTTGGATGAGATGTATGGACTTCAGGTGGATTCTCGAAAGACATTGAATGATTTGGAAGGATTACATCGATCGGATACACCATCCACCGTATCAACGACAAACAAAGAACGACCTCCTCTATTATTGGAACCCATCTTTGTTATCCTGGCAGGTGCAGCGGCTGCAGTGGTAATGTCTACATTGCTGACAATGAGCAAGTAACCTCGATTCTAAAAGATGTGTATTATAGGCATACCAAGTTATCGAGCATCCTTTATCCAAAATCCACAGCATATTTTATATTGAAGAAGGGCAATCGGAATTCGCACATAAGGAAAGTAAAGAGTCAGGGCGTGAGCTTTATCGACGGACTTGGGAGCAATGCAAGCTGCAAGTGCGGTTAAATGGTGGTAGCTGGCGTAGGTTTCTTTATCAAGAATTTGCAGGCACAGTGCTCAAGGTCGTCCCGGCAACCAGTATTGGCTTCCTTGTATTTGAATTAGTGAAACGAGAGGTTGACTTTAGAAGTCTTGCGCTATTAGAAGAGGAAGAAGAGGAGGTGGAGGAGGAATAGTGTTTTCTTTGTATATAGTTTTGATACCCAGTTTTTTTTATTCTACATGCTCCTTTTTTTTCCCTAATGTTTGTTATTTGCATTAAAGAGTGTCTCGAATAGAGTTTTATGCTACGTGTATGTGTGTATGTCGATCACTTGGGATAGCCAAACATCCGATAGCTTGATTCGGATCTATTACCTGCTTTGAACGTTTGTACTAAATCACTCGTGTGCAAGGTGAGCAACTGAGATGTCTCACAAACAAGTAGGAGATTAGGAGTAAGTAGAATACATGGAACATGTAAAGCGATGCACAGCGGGATAAACACCGATTCAGGACACAGAAACCTTTTTTATGCAGCAGCTAAATGATGGATGTTTTTGCCCATAGAAGAATCAATGATAACAGAGAGAAAGAAAGAATTGAAAATCTCATTCATTTTGTGGCCAAAATGATTGCTTTATCAGGATACCATGGTTCGACAAGGATGCCTCTTTGGGACCATGGATGAACTAACCCGATCATACTCTCTCTGCTCTCAAAAACGACATTTACTTTCTTTCTCTTTTCTCTCTCTCTTTCTCTTTCTCCTTGATCATTATCTCTCTTTCTTTATCTTTTTCCTCAGGTTTACTCCTTTACTGGTTTATACTTTGTCAATGTCCAAGCCTGCTTCTTTTCTTCGAGAGTGAGTAAAACCGTATTCCTTATCCTTAAGTCACTGACGCGATTGACACGACGACACAACCTAGGTACAAGATCGTCATTGTAGGAGGTGGTGGTAAGTACAAGACTTGGCTCTCGAGAAGACGCCATTCCCTCATCATGAACAACTCCAGGTGTCGGCAAATCTGCCCTGACGATCCAGTTTATTCAATCGCACTTTGTTGATGAGTATGACCCGACTATTGAAGGTAGGATAGAAACCAAGGTTGCTAGTGGTGGTGGTAGTAGGATGAATTTGGTATTCATTTTATGTCTCAGATTCGTATCGCAAACAATGCATGATTGACGATGAAATGGCATTATTGGATGTATTGGATACAGCTGGCCAAGAAGAGTACAGGTAAACAAAACTCCCTTATATCCCTTTTTTTACTCCTTGACTTATGCAAATTCATATCGTCAGTGCCATGAGAGAACAGTATATGCGTAATGGCGAAGGATTCATTCTCGTTTACTCTGTCACTTCACGACTTTCATTCGATGAAATCAGTACATTTTATCAACAAGTATGCCGTGTCAAGGACCGTGATCATTTCCCAATGGTGTTAGTTGGCAACAAGTGTGATCTTGAAAGTGAGCGTCAGGTTTCTCGACTAGGTAAGTGTGTGTGCAGCGATACAAAGAAATAACAAGGGGTGGTCTATCTAAATCTATAATCTTGTTTCTCTAGAGGGGCATGACTTAGCTCGCCAATTTCGATGTCCATTCGCCGAGACGTCTGCAAAAATGCGCATAAACGTTGATGAAACATTTCACAATGTCGTACGAGAAATTCGAAGGATGAACAAGGAGCAGGAAGCAGGCCCCAATGGATATGGCCCTCGACGCCAAAACTTTGATGTGGAAGAAGGACGAGAGAGTGGAAGCGGCTGCTGTGGCTGTGTCTTGATGTGATCTGCTCACATTTTCTTTTATCTATTTACCCCACCACGTTATATCCTTTTGTTTTATAAGTGCTATCTTCCCTCTTCATCCTATGTAAATTGCATCCAGTACCCTATTTACGTAAACAAGTAATAACTCTTGTATTTATTGTCGATCATTTGCATGCAAGGATAGACCAAGAAGGGATATGTAAAGGGACACTACTGCTACATGTGGCCTGCTTTTAATACAATGATTAGCCGTCTCAATTGCTCGCTTCGCTCGTAAACTCTCGACTATAGAGTAACAAGTTTACATGTATACGCAACCATTTACACGTTTGTAGTGTTCATCTTTACAAGAACATGCATCCATATCTACACGTAGGAACCACACTTTTGTAACAAGATGGCCTGAAACAATGTTCAATCTTTTGATTTCCAGCTCTTCCCACTCCAAGCTTCTTCCCTCTTTCTCCCATTCTCGATTGTTAGCCCATTCACGTACGACCTCCACTTGCGAACGATTGTACTTCTTCAACCCATCATGTCAATCCTACACTTGTCTTGATCCAACTCTCTTTGACTGAATGGCAAGTTCATGGTGTTGACACAGCCTTCTTGTCACTCTTCTACAACACACGAGTCTCTTGACACTACACACTCTCTTGCACGCTTCCCTGCGACGACCGTTCGTAACAGCAGCTACCATTAGCAAGCTCTTTACTGCACCATCTCCAACAGCAACTTGCCTCACAGCCTGTGTCACGTGGACAGCAGATAGCCATTGTATAGAAGCAGCTTTATTTACGTGTAGCGACTTGCTTCAATACATACAACTTCCTATGGATATGGATCTGAATACTGCTTTGCTTTGATACATGGGATGGAAGGAGTGGATCTATTGACCGGCTTGGCTCCCTTGGCCCGTTTAGGACATGATCTCTAGTTTCGATGACACCACTTCAGCCATCAACTATGCCGCAACACAAGTAATCTTCACCTGGTTGAGCTACAATGGAAAATAACTCACAAAGAGAGATACCAAGGGCCGATGGAAAGGAAGCATATCAGCAGCGATCACATGGCTCTTTTCAACCAACGTATTGGACTTGGAATGGTGGCTATGATGGAAGGATGCAATCAAGTGCAAAGATGGGAAACCTGGAACGATTATTATATCACGTGGATTCGGCTGAGGATGGTGATGGGTTGGAATGGCATTGACGAGGGGGCTCAAATCTTTGACAAAATGTGCTTGCAACCTTGGATGTTATTGGGATACTTGAGTTAGAGCGAGCAGCTGCTATTTCACAATCATCGATGATGGATGTTTATGGTGACAGCAACCACGAATTTAGTGATACTATTATCCTAGCTTTCCCTATGTGATTCACCCGTATCTTATTCATTTTGCAAACCTGTTTCTTTAACTTACTTAATTGATAACCTAGCCTTCGACTTCTATTAAATGAACATTGGATCCAACATAATATGGTTTATGGAATGAAAGGGGGAAGAGAAATAGGAAGATCAGAAAGCGAGATTGGATCATTTACATTGTCGTATCCAAGATGTCTTGTTCCCTTCTTCTGTCATACTACATACATTCATGGTTAGGCTTCCTAATTCACTGCATGGCAGACGGTATCCATGACGGTTCTCAAATGTTCTATTTACAAAGATCATAAACACAAGAGTGATGATGACCATCAATTGGGCTTGCTGCATCAGAAGCTTTAATCCATTACACCCATGAAAGATTGAACTCTGATACAACGTGGCACGAGTGCATAAACACGCCATGATTACCTGTCACTCATCATATGCTAGCTTATACAATTCTATATGCCAACTAATCATTCCATACGGGCTACCACAGTAAGCCGACCTTGCTATACGCATGTCAGGGCAAAGGTTCATCATGCATTTTCCACCAATAGGATTGATCATTCAAATTCTCTTTCCTCTTGGCTCCGTTACACGAACAAGGCCTTCTGCATCTTTTGCTCTGCCAGGGTCCAGCTACTTCACAATGAACAAAGACACTCTTCATATAGCATCACGCTTACAAACATAAACGTGCCTGTATCTCCGAACTTTACAATGAAACGTGGGGTTTTTATTAGAGCAATGGGCTCGGCTTGGCCAACAGCACCTTGTGTGAAAGTTTCGCGTTCAATGTCGTAAACAGCCCAAAAAATATTTTTTTTGCTCGTCGTCGTCCAAGAGGTTGACCTCCAGATCCAGTTTGGCTGGTAGCGACATTGCGAAATCTGGGATTGGCAAGCTTGATCGTGAAACTGGCACCCAAGGTGCAGTTGGCCAAGCCGAGCACATTGCTCTATTCAAACCCCACGTTTCATTGTAAAGCTCCGGAGATACAGGCACCTTTATGTTTGTAAGCGTGATGCTATATGAAGAGTGGTCTTTGTTCATTGTGAAGTAGCTGGACTTTGGCAGAGCAAAAGATGCAGAGGGACCTCTTTTTGGGTAACTCAGCTACTTTGCATGACTGGAAGAATGGAAGGATGATATTGTATACTATTGACACAGCCCATACATTGCGAGCTAACAGCAATTTACTCACAATCGGCACTGTTGCCCACTCTATGATGTGAGCCTTCCTGCTCCAGACCATTTCCATGATTCAATTATCTTGATCCGAGCTGATTTGACTGAGCTAGGTCAAAGAGAGATTACATCAATCCACACATCAGCATACATTCGAATGTCTCAGCTCACTAATCCTTGTTCGACCGTAACTCAACCAAATCAGCTCGGATCAAGCTACTTGAATCATGGAAATGAATGTCTGGAGCAGGAGAATCATCCACCTACAATAGAATGCACAAAAGTTGGGAATGCATTGTTTTTTTTTTTTTTTTTTTTTTTTTTTTTTTTTTTTTTTTTTTTTTTTTTTTTTTTTTTTTTTTTTTTTTTTTTTTTTTTTTTTTTTTTTTTTTTTTTTTTTTTTTTTTTTTTTGTGTGTGTGTGTGTGTGTGTGTGTGTGTGTGTGTGTGTGTGTGTGTGTGTGTGTTAGCTGCCAATGTATGACCTGAAAAATGACGTTTGGTGTACCTGCCATGCATCGTCCCTGAAGTCCGGACTTTTTAGCTCAGCTACACAAAGAGGTCCCTCTGCATCTTTTGCTCTGCCAGGGTCCAGCTACTTCACAATGAACAAAGACCACTCTTCATATAGCATCACGCTTACAAACATAAAGGTGCCTGTATCTCCAAACTTTACAATGAAACGTGGGGTTTTTCTTAGAGCAATGTGCTCGGCTTGGCCAACAGCACCTTGTGTGAAAGTTTCACGTTCAATGTCGCAAACAGCCCAAAAAATATTTTTTTGGTCGTCGTCGAAAAAAATTCAAGAGGTCGACCCAAGATCCAACTTGGCTGGTAGCGACATTGCGAAATCTGGGATTGCCCACGATGAACTTCATACTTTGACACAAGATTCCTTTGACCCCGACGAGCACGTTGATCTATTAAAGAGCCCACGTTTGATTGTAAAGTTTGGAGATACAGGCACATTTATGTTTTACATATGCTGTAAGCGTGTGCTATATGAAAAGAGTTCTTTGTTCATTGTAAAGTAGTATGACTATAATAGAGCCAAAGATACAGAGGGACGTGTTGTGTAACTTGAGTCAGTCAGCACAGGCGATGCATGATTCTTCTACACTATTTAGGAATGGTTCAAAATGCCAGCTAACAACCTAGTCCTCCCATTCTCCATTGTTGTCCAATCCAATGCATACGAACCATTGTCCTGCTCCAGCCCAGCATGCCCATCATTCAACTTTGTTGATCCGATGAGATTTGACTGAAAAACGCTCAAACACAGAAACATCATCCAATATCAGAAGAATCAAATTGGTAAGTTATTTGTAAACTGCCACTTGATAGCCCATTCCTTCCATTCACCTTTGTTTCCCAATCCAATGCATGTGAACTATTGTCCTGCTCCAGCCCAGCATGCCCATCATTTAACTTTCTTGATTCGTGAGGATTTGACCAAGTTACGCTCAAACAAAGAAGTAGCATTCAACTTCAGTTCAACTCACTTGATTTCACAGCTCTTCCCACTCTCAACTTCTTCCCTCTTGCTCCCATTCTCAACTGTTGGTGCATTCAAGTACAACTCCCCCCTGCAAACGATTATCCTGCTTCAACCCATCATGTCCATCCTACGATTGTCTTGATCCGATTGTCTTTGACTGAATGGCAGGTGCATGGCGTGTACACTCTACTGCAACACCCGTTGACACTTCACCTTCTCTTGTACATTCGTCGACCACAATCAAACGTAACAGCATTCATTCCAGCAGTTGCTATTAGTGAGTTCTTCACTCCATCGTCCCAAACAGCGTTCGCAACCTTATCATTCTACTACAACACACCTCTTGCACGCCCTTTTGCCACCACCAAACGTAGCAGCAGCTACAGTTAGCGTGGCTTTACTCTTTGGCTCTTGCTGCAGCCTTTTTCAAGCGAAGATCAGATAGCCATTGTATAGAAGCAGCTTTATTTACTTGTAGTAACTTGCTTCAATACATGTGAATTTGTACATATGAATGCAGATACATTGGATAGAAGGAATTGGGGTGTAGACAACGTGTGGAAAAAGAGTGTATCTATTGTCAACTTGACCATTATACTTGATGCTATGACCCTGAACGATTGGTGAATGCGATTGTCGTACCCTCCACCCTATTCCATAGCAGCTATTGTCCATTATCCTTTGTTCAACCTATCAACCATGTATCACCATCATCATCCAACGCCATGTTTCAACACGCCATGGATATGATTCGTTACCACGCATTCAAATGCCACCTCACATCCACCCATTCACATTTGCAAATCGATGTACCTTCCCCATTGAAGCAACTTGTCGTACCTCTCTCTCTATCTCTTGTGCATAATAATGTTGGATTAAAGGCTACCTTTAACGAATACGAGATTAGGCCGCCATTCATTTCTAAGTTTCTACAACGTAATGAGCCCTGAGTTAGACCTCGTTGTGTATGAGCATTTGATGCATTGTATTTTAAGAGGACATACCTACTTGCAAATGCGATGAAAGGAAAGGGAGAAAGAGAAAGGGTCTGATCGACCCATTGTGTCTTGAACAAAGGTTGTATTCGATAACACGTAGCTCACTACCCCTTTCTTTTGTGATTAAATCATGTCAATAGTGTCGCAAGACACGTTCCTCTTTGCGACTTAGGTCTCGTAAGATAGTTACTCTACTATTAACATACGGCGGTTGGCTATTCTCGTTTGACATGCTTCACCATCAATACCCGAAGGCAACAATCAATACACATGTACTTGTAAGGTACACACTTTATACATGAAAACATCAAATACATGATGGAAGGAAGATCTACCATTTAAGATGGGGGGGTTTTTTACAACTTTTTTTGTTGAGGACCAATGTACGCCGGATGAACGATATACTCAGTGTCGAGGTCTGTGCGCTTAAGGCAAGTAAGGCAAACGCAGATATTCTTTTTGCCTACAACCATTTCGAGTCGCCTTGGAAGCGGACGCACTGTGAGTGGTGGACATACGAGATCACTTGCTTTGGTACCCTTGGGTGGACGGCCACGTCGTGGAGTTGCTCCTAAAGTAAATGGCTCCTGTCGATAAAGAACATGTTTTGGATGCTCACAATACCCCATGCGTGCATTTGATGTCTTTCTTTTTGTCCCAATCACAGGTACACAAGAGGTTGTAGGCGTTGGCAATCGAGACTCGGGTGTATCTGACCAAGAGGAAGATGCCAACAGCGTAAGCATGTCATCCCACAAGAATTGTTGTACTTCAAACGACGATGTCATTTTGCCCTGATCTGCTACCCTTTTGACAAAGCCATGTCTTTTATATTGAACTAAACGTATCAACGATTACCTGATACCAACATGTAAATGAAAAAAACTCTTTGTATCTCTCATATCATAAAATGCTCATAGCCACGTGAGTCTAAGCTTGTTTGTATCCTGTCGTCGGATTTCTCTTTGTTTTTATTACTTTCTAAAAACGTCGTAAATACATGCGTGATTGTGGTGTATAGATGAATGTGTGATGGTGTGTGTTTATCTTGTGAAGATGAGGTCAAATGTCAACTTGTTGATCTGTGTATGTCAAAGAAAAGGGGTAGGAAGGAATGATTAGTGATCGTGCCATATCGAATGATTGCATCTACCTTACCTCTTGGGGCTCCTCAGCAAATACTTCTTCACCATCCTTCTTCTCTGTGATATCAAAGACAGGCTTCTTGATAACCTTGATCATGATAGCAGTCTGGTTCTTCATAACGCTCTCAAGCTCATGCTCAGGATCGTTGGTTAATCGGTAGTACATGTTGATTTCATCCGTGGGCAAAAGACCAGCCTTCTTTCTCAAACGTTGGACACGGTTGATCACTTCACGTGCAACACCTTCTTGTTCGAGTTCGGGATATCGTTGCACATCCAATAAGACAAGCACATCACGATCAGTGTTTGTTTCATAACGAGCATTCTCTTGATCAAAGTAACGAACAACCTAATAATACAAGCTCCCTTGAGTCACATGGACTTTTGGATTTTGAGAAAGAATCCTTTTACTTACATTCAAGTCCTCGTCAGTGACCTTGATACCATCCACAACCATTTCCTTGGCGCGGACAAACTCCTTGACTTGCTCGCTGGTAATACCAGGCAAAGCCTTCTTAACCTTCATAGCATCCTTCTTGAGCTTTTGACCAAGCACCTTCCAATCAGCCTCGGCTCTGTACTTGACACCGAACTTGTCTTCATCGGAAGTGACCAAGATTTCACGAACGTTCAATTCCTACATGGGAGAATAAAAAATTTTGATCTGTTAGTTTCACGAGCCAACATGACATTGCCATTTGTTTACAAAACAAACATACCTCAACAATGTAGCTTTCAAGAGCCTTGATGTCCGCGTGATACTGAGGATCAGGATGGATCACAACAAGTTCCTTAAGAGGAGTCTAGAAAAACCATGTCCGCGCGCGCATAATCAGCTACAAATGTCATGGGACACAAATAATAATGATCGTGTGGTCAATTGCCACGTTACCTACCTTAAGGGAGATGTTCTTCTTTTCACGGATGGTACGACCAAGTTCAATAACAGCTTGCATTCTGCCGACAGCACGCTCGATCTCGGGATCAAAGTATTCTTCACGAACAGTAGGGAAGTCAAGGAAGTGAACGGAGCGATCATCAGCGACATTGTCGTTCTTTGGAATGAATTGCTTGAGAGTTTGGTAGATGTTCTCAGTCAAGTAGGGGGTGAAAGGAGCCTAGGTCATCATCTTTATCAGCACAACCATGTCATTTTCCTTCTCCCAAGCATCCATTTTCACATACCATGGTCAAACACAAGGTCAACAAAACTTCGAAAAGAGTGTTCATGGCTTGAGTAGCGTCTTCAACACCATTTTCACCCTATCAATATCACATATAGAAATGAGCCATAATGTAATAAACATGCCACATTCAAAATACTCACCTTGAGACGCTTACGGTTGAAGCGGACATACCAATTGGTCAAGGTGTCGACAAGCTTGAGAAGGCGGGGCACAACAGTGTAGAGTCTATAGGCACCCATCTCATCACGAATGAACTTGATCAATGACTGGCAACTGGCAAGCACCCAGCGATCCATGACATTATCGGACTTTTTGATGTCATGCTGATACACAAAGTCGAGATCGAATTCCTTTGAAATAGAGTTGCATGAGTAAAAAGGATGATGATGGAAATACCAATGGATGTTTTTACCTTCTTCAAGACGGCAGTTTGAGTGATAAAGAACTTGAAAGCATTGTACCAGGGCAAGAAGACCTTGGAGATGATTTCCTTGACACCTTCCTCCTTGAACTTGAGAGTCTCAGCACGCACAACAGGCGAATTGATCAAGTACAAACGAAGGGCATCAGCACCATACTTGTCCAACACAATGCCAGGCTCAGGATAGTTCTTGAGACGCTTACTCATCTTTTTGCCATCGCTATGGAAACAAGGAGTTAGCTGATAGTGAGCATCAATATTTAATTTTTCAACTTACGCTGCAAGAACCAAGCCGCTGACAATGACATTCTTGGCAGGTGGTTCATTGAAGAGGTGGGTCGAAAGAACGAGCAAAGTGTAGAACCAACCACGAGTTTGATCAATACCTTCCGAAATGAAATCGGCAGGGAAAGCGTTCTCAAACTTGTCCTTGTTCTCGAAAGGATAGTGTTGTTGAGCATAAGGCATAGAACCAGACTCGAACCAGCAATCAAAGACTTCTTCAATACGGCGAAGGACACCACGTCCAGTCTTGGAAGGAATGGTGATGTGATCAATGCTAAAAACACACCAATAGTGTAAGCATATGCATACGATTGGTTCTTTTACAAAAACCCATACCTCTCACGATGGATATCAGTGATGGGAGATACACCACTAAGCTCCTCCAATTCCTTGATCGAGCCAACAGCAACAATTTCTTCCAAATCATCGCTCACCCAAAGAGGGATGGGGGTACCCCAATAACGGTTACGAGAAATGTTCCAATCACGAGCGTTGGCGATCCAGTTGGCAAAACGCTTCTCCTGAACAAAGGATGGCACCCTATTCCAAATAGGTTAGCACCATTGAATTTGTCCTCTCCCCCAAAGGTCATTATCATCATCATACCATCGCATCTTTTCATTGCATCCCAAAATCTTGTCAACAACAGGTTGGACGCGAACGAACCAAGCGGGAATGGCACGATAGATCAAAGGTGTATCAGATCTCCAGCAGAAGGGATAACTATGCTTCATTTGGGATTGCACAATCAAACGGCCACGTTGCTTCATGTCCTTTTGAATACCCTTATCGGCATCCTATGATATTGCGTAAATTAGTTATCAGCACAATGAATACACCAAACAATGAAACTAACCTTGATGTATTGGCCAGCGAAATCAGTCACGGCCTCGGTAAAGCAACCCTTTTCATCCAAAGGACAAGGAAGGAAACCATCAGCATCAATGACACCATGTTCCAAGCATACACGGTAATCGTCTTCACCAAAGGCGGGGGCGTTTTGGACAATACCAGTACCCGAATCATCAGTGACATAGTTATCCACCATGACCTTGTAACCCTTGCCCTTGAATTCCTTTTCAAAGTATGGGAACATGGGCTCGAATTCCCAACCCTTCATGTCGGCACCCTTATAGCGTTCGAGAACAGTGAACTTGGCCTTCTTGGGGTCCTTGTAGAGAGCATCAAGACGTTTCTCCAAAAGAATGTAGTGGTTGCCTGTCAACTCATCCTTGATCTTGACGTATTCGAATTCAGGATGTACAGTAACACCCAAACAGGATGGCAAGGTCCAAGGAGTGGTGGTCCATGCAAGCAATTGAGTGGAGGGGTCGCTCAAGAGAGGGAAACCAACAACGACTATTGAAACAAGATACAATAAGTATATGACTCTAAGTATGCATTCACCTAAAACATACCTGCAGGGTCATTGACATCCTTGTAGTTTTGAGACGACTCAAAGTTGGACAAAGGAGTGTGGCAAGCTGTCGAATAAGGCATCACCTTTTGACCACGATACACCTGGCCCTTGTCGAAGAGCTGCTTAAAGACCCACCAAACGCTTTCCATAAAGGTAGGGTTGAGCGTCTTGTAATCATTGTCGAAATCAATCCAACGAGCCATGCGTTCGACGGTCTTTCTCCATTCGCTGGAATATCTCATGACAATAGCACGGCATTCGGCGTTGTACTTGTCGATACCCATCTTCATCACATCATCACGGCCCTACAACCTATCATAAGTTCACATGTCATCTTGACCTCTTTTTTCCTTCGTTGACATACCGAGATACCAAGCTTCTTGTCGATTTCATACTCGACGGGAAGACCATGGGTATCCCAACCGAAGCGACGTTCCACGTGATGACCGGTGTTGTGAGCATAACGAGTAACGATATCCTAAGCATTGCATCAGCTTATTGTATAGGGTGCCATGCCTATGGATAACACGCGAGCACACATACCTTGATGGTACCAGCCAACAAGTGACCATAATGAGGAAGACCAGTGGCGAATGGTGGACCGTCAAAGAAAGTGTATGGTTTCTTGTCCTTGTTCAATTCCAACGACCGATTGAAGGCATCGATTTCTCTCCAGAACTGAAGGATCTTCTCTTCCTCCTTGGGGAAGCTAAGTTGTAAACATGTCTTAGTCATACTCGCGTTGTTGACATTAGAAGAGTTGACTCTTTACTTGAATTGCCCAGATACTGTAGTAGCAGTAGTTGTAGTAGTAGTGGTAGTAGTAGAGGAATGCATGAGTGAATAAAGAGGTATCGAAACAATGTTGAGCAATATATACCATCAGCAAGCGAGACACTCATATTCCAGGTGTTGTCAAACCGCGTCAAGAAGTACTGACACAGATACTCACTTGACCAAGATAAAATGATTGATGACTCACAAACACTGTCACAGTAAGCCACCACATGCTCGCTACTATGCCGAACAGTGACACACACACGATGCATGAACCACCTCGTTGTGCTCCCTCAGCAGGCTGCGGTTAATATCAAAAGGTTACTTCATAAGAATTCATCGTGAGTCATATTGTGCTCTCCCTTTCAATATGTCTGCATTGTCCAAATTTCATCTATCACTATCATTCATCCACCCCGCCACACCCAAAATCTATATCCAGTAAATTCCACCTTCTTCCTTCACTGCTTACCCGACAACTCGGATCAGCATCATCAACATCCATATCTTTTTTGAAGGAATTGCTTACTTTGATGTCAAAGGATTCGGTGTGGCCCATCCCTTTTATAATAAAACCATATGCATTTCTTGCAACAGCTATGCTCGTGATTTAGCGTATCGTTATTGGATGACATCCGTATTACGCATCATCATGCAAGGAGACAATCCTTCCCATGACAGCTAGTAAATGACAACCCGTTCTTCCCCAATCCCCATTGTCAAAGCCGACCCCATGTATGGTTAAAATGACCCCTCATGCTTTGGTGTTGATTACGCATTGTATGGCAAGATGAGCAAAATTCCCATGTGTTATTGGTATTAGCAAAGTGGAGGAGTGGTTATCATCATGATGTAGGTATGAGCAAAGCAAAGCAAAGCAATGATGTGTGTGAGAGAGAGAATGCATATTGCATTGTGAGATTAGGGAGTGAGTTTGCTGATTTTGATAAGCTCTTTTTGTGGAGTTGAATGAATGACGTCTTTAAAGAAACCACTCAAAGGACCTTTGGATTTCTTTGGAACCACGTTGGCGCCATCGGCAGTCAATTCTCCACTCTGGCGTGCCGTAACATACTCCTCACGAGTCATAGAAGTGAATCCCCACTTGCAAGAGACGACCACCTTTTGTTTACCAGGGATTTTGAATTTAGCACGTCGAAGAGCTTCCATGGCATTGCCCTTGTGTTGGTCCTTGGTACGGATTGAAAGCAAAGCTTGGCCAATGTTGACACGAGCAACAAGTCCGATAGGCTTACCAAACGCATGGCGCATTCCCATCTGCAGTCTATGCATAAAGAATCGTTTAAACAATGAGCATTGTTTATGTATGGGATGTATTTTCTTGTACCACGTTACCTGTCAGCGCCAGCACAAGACAACATCTTGTTCATGCGAATGACATGGTATGGATGTACACGTACACGCAAATGGAAAGACTCTTTGCCGGCTCTTTTGACCATATACTTGTTGGCACAAATACGAGCAGCTTCCAATGCTTCGGATGATACTTGTTCATGTTCAAGGGAGACCATATGGACACACGTAGGGAGATCATCGGCAGCTGCTTTTTTGCGGCCCGTGTCAAAGATCTTGATTTTGGGATCGGGAACACCTCTGCAGTATTTGCTCTTGGGATAAGGCTTGTTCTTACAATAGCGATAACAGCGAGCGGGTCTTCTTCCCATGATGACAAGAAAAGAGGGAAAGGAAGTGAATAAAGCAATGAAATGACATGGCCCTTTTTTGTTATGCATTAGAATCCATTATTAAAAGCACCCCAAAAGATGAATCGCTGTTGATCCCCGTGGTCGTTCCCAACCATTGGTTCTCTCTCTCTCTCCCATTCGTATTGTCAATCATCCTTTTTTTATGCGAGTTTTGATTTATTCGAACATGCTGTTGGAAACATTTATTCGCGACGGCCACGGCCTACATGCAGCAATTGATGATAAGCAAACTCGTTATGATAATCATAACCCAATGATCCACAACCAACTTACCGAAACCACCACGGAATTCAGGCTTGAAGTCACCAGAGGCACCTTCCTTGCGGCGGTAGTCATCACGATCACGACGACCACCTTCACGACCTTCACCACCGACTAGATCAAAAGCATTGTGGATGAGCATGATGAATGAATGATATCAAAAGACAAGACTTACAAGCACGACGGGGAGCAGCAGGACGAGCAGTCTTCTTCAAAGTAGCGGGAACAATCTCTTGGGGCAAGTGAAGGTCTAATAGTAGCATAACATCATAAGCCATGTGCGTCTATAGATCATCCATGACATCCCATATAGAAAACATACATTCACGAAGATAATCAATACCCTCGTTGGTGAGAGTATAGTAGTACCACTGCCACGAGAACTGGGTCTTGACAAGGCCCTTGGAGGTCAAGGATTGCATAATCTTGATGACTTCAAGGTTGGGAACGTCAATTTCGGGGTGCTTGGCCAAGTTGAAGTCCTTGGGAGCAACAAGAGCACCGTCTACATGAAGTGCATGCTGTCAATATCTCGTTTTGAACGTCGAATTCACACGCTGTCGTTGTCATGTCGTACCCTTGAAAAGAGTCTCGTAGATGAGCTTGCGGTTCTGCTTCTGAACAAGCATGTTGTATAAGTGTCCCTACTAAAAAAGAAAATGTACGTTGTCAGCTACCCATCCATTCATCCACGCCACTCCGTTATCCATCCATCCATCATCTTTATCCATTCTTTTGATATCTAATCATCCATCTGCCGTATTCCAGCTTGTCCTTATAGCCATCCATCTCCCTTGCCTTCCATATACTTACAGTCGTCTGCTGAAAGAGGGTGTCTCCAAAGCGATTTGCAAGGACTCATACACCCACACAGCCGACAGTGCACTGGCCCAGATTCATTCCCCGCATACTACATGTCAATCAACACTGTAAGTGTTCATGCATTTATCCCTTTCCTTAGCTTGGTTGTGTGATCATTTATTCGCTTTGTGATTGCGTCTCCCTCTTCTATCACTCTAAATTTGGTTTTCTCCAGCTACTCTTTCGCAAATTAGCCAACTTCCTTGTCATCCTTAGGTGGTTTTATCTTCATCAATAAACGAGTCTTCACGGCATAAAGATGACGTCTTTAAATGGGTAGTGTTTTGGTGGATGACATCTTACCAATCCTTGTCATCTGAACTATATAGGGATATCAATAGCGACCTTTCTCAATAGGTCTTGAATACTATATACACCAATTGATGGCATCCTTCCTTAAAGAGGCAATAGCACACTCATACTGTTATAGGATACGCAGTAGCAAAAGAGTATTGTCATTAAAGTAGAATATGCATCCATTTATTCAATGATTGTAAAAGAGACAACAATGATGGCTAGTGTCACATGATTGGAGATCCTGCAAGCAAGCAAGCGGTCTGTTGAAATTGGGTGGAAATTAGCTGCGACGTTGAACCAGCACCACCCACTCCTTTTCCACTTACATACACACACAACAACACAATGAGTATGAATCCAGCAGCACGATCGGTAAATAGACGAGGAACTATCAACCTTTATTCAGCGTCTAACAATGGCATGTCTAGGCACGCTTACCACCAGAAGTCAATCGAGCTTTGCTCGTAAGGTAAACGAAGCGATCTTGCACGTCCATTGGTCCGGTTATCTTGGGACAATCAACTGACGCCTTCCAATCCTTCATAGAAACCTTCCCTTCAAAATCACAGCAGAAGAAATGTACGATGTGTTTGGAAAGTACGGGCCGATCCGTCAAATTCGAGTGTACGTTGACTTTGGAGTACTCGCTATTCGGCAACATGGCTAACGTAAGAGCTTATAGTGGAAATGCGTCTGATACTCGAGGCACAGCATTTGTGGTTTATGAGGATATCTATGATGCTAAGAATGCATGCGAACACCTGCAAGGTTTCAACATCCTGGGACGATACTTGATTGTGCTCTATTATCAACAAAACAAGGTGACCAAGAAGATGAATCTACAAAAGAAGGAGGAAGAGTTACGGGAACTCAAGACGTAAGTGTGTGATGGGGTTGGCATGGAAACGAGATCTGACATGGAGTTGTTTCTAGGCGATATGGTGTCGGCGACGATTAGATCAGTGGATGAAAAGTGGGAATGGATACATACGATTACTACAATAAAGCATTGGCGGAGCACATCCATCATCTTTACTCTCTCTCTCTCTTTTTCACATATTCTGTATACCACGACACACACACACACACACAACACACATACAACATGCGATTATTACTGTTACTTTTATCAACCATCGTCTCAGCTTTTGCTTACATGAATGAGCCCTATCCACCATTTATTATCACTTCACCAAAACCTGGGCAACAAATAAAACGAGGAGACACTGTCAATGTGACCTGGTAATGCGGATCCTACCTCATCTGATTGGCATCGGCTTGTCATTTCCTTTCGCTGACAAAAGAGAGGTGATAGGGAGCTTTCACCTGGTGTACGATTTCCATTATATGGATATGCAGCATCTCGTACTGCACGAACCGTTGGTTAGTGATGATGTGGACGCCTATTTGATTATACACCACTGCTGAACAATGAAATAGCCGGTTTATTACCACCTGATGCATCCAAACACGAGCGCTACACCCAAAACATTGAAACGCATTTACAATTCACTGACTATGAATACGAATGGCTGGTGGACGATGCTGTGACGCCCGGCACGTATCAACTCGGGATTGGATTTTATTATCACGAGGTCTCTCCAACCTTCCACATTATGCCGTGATCACCAGCAAGTCAACATTCTTAAGCACGAGTCTAGATCATCTCCAACATCATAAGAATGACTTTTGAGTAAATAAACATGTCCATGAAATTAAGCAGCAGCAGCAGTAGTAGTAGCATCGGTGTTTGAGCGTGTGAAAGATGTGGGTTTCCTTTTCCCAGCATTTGAGTATCAACCGTAGTGGGGTAAAAAAAATGTTTGTGTTATACCATGTTGACAATGCTCGCGTGCAGAAATAAAAAGTTGGGGGTGAAAGAGCAAAAAGAAAGGAGATACCAGATATGGACAAAGTCACCCCACACTATGCGTGGCGTACATGTACACAAATGCGTGACAAGGATAAATCGTTGCTTAACTATTGGTGCTTCATCTTTTCCTGGATACCCGACAGCTGATGCCTAATGCAGGAAACAAGAACAAAGGGCAGCTGAGATAGAGAGAGTGAGTGAATGAAAAGATGCCTGTACGTACCCCTCCCTCCCCATTATCAACCGTCAACACATCCTCCTCCCTTACTCTATTGGTGGTGGTGGTGGTGGCGACGGCGGGCAAAGGAGACTATAACATCATCAATGTTGTATAGGAGTCATGTACAAGAGGAGGAGGTTCAATGCGGGGACAAAAAGAATACACCATCATTGTTGTGGCAATGCCAAGCTGACGGAACCAAGTTTGACCGTGGAATGATGCAATCAAAGAGGAGCATTGGATCATCGACTGCAATGCAACAATTGCCGCGATAGTGAGCTATAGCATAGGGTACGATATTAAGAAAAAGACACATTTCAATGGGGGAGGAGAGCTATGGTCTCCCTTCAATTGTTTGCATAGCGGATGTGTTAATGAATGTGTGTGTGTGTGTGAGCGTAATGCATTGTGGTGTGGGGCTGGGTTGCACGTGTGGTGCTCCTTGTCGGGTAATCATTGTGACACTTGACGATCAAAAGAAAGGCATAAAAATTGGAGGTACCATCTCCTTCCTTTTTGTCTTTCTTTCCTTCATTCTTCTCGAGCCATGTTTCACCGACCCACCAAACTCGCCTTGGGCATTTCATTTATCACGGCCATTTTGGTCGCTAACATGTCTGGGCCCCAATACGTTTACCCATCGTTTGGTACATCTCTTGCAGCCAAGTTCAATTGGACGGCTTTACAAAATAGCCTTGTCAGCACTGCCAGCTTCATTGGTGTATCATTCTCTGGTCCACTATGTGCTTGGTTGGTTGAACGATTCGGCATTCGTGGGTGTGTATCTATTCTTCTTTTTTTTACGTTCACCTACTACTACTATCGATTTGATGTATTCATCAATGATATGATTCATCTATAGCACATTGAGAATATCGGGACTTTTGGCATTTGCAGGTCCATTCTTGTTGGCACAAACGTATGCTGGTCGCCTACCGAGCCACTTTATCTTATGTGCACTCTACTTGGTCTGCCTTGGTGTTTCTGGTGCCGCTGCCTATCTTTGTGCTTTAGATTCGCAGGTAAAAATCTATATACTTTCGACCCATATCGTTATCGCTGCTAACCGCATTCACACTCACTTAGTCACACAACTTCAAATCTTATCGTGGAATGAGCATGGGTGTCACCAGTGCCAGCTTAGGCCTATGCGGTGTCGTCTTTTCACAAATCGACGACCATTTCTTTACTGATAATGACTATGGCTTATTGATCTTCATGGCCACAGTAATGGCAGGCGTTATGGGCTTGGGTGCTTTTATTCTCGGACCTCTTACACCCAAGTCCGACAACGATCAAGTCCCTGTTAATCATGATGCAGATGAAAACGCGCCTTTGCTTCCATCTACTACCAACCAACGCCCACGCGATATCTCAGGCTTCGAGTTTTTCACTCATCCAGTGGGCTTTTCTCTTTTCATAAGTTTGTTTGTGTGCCTTGGTTTGGGCTATGTTTACCTTGCCAGTATCGGTCAATTGTTACTTGCACTTCCAACATCGGATGCCACAACCTCTTCTCCTCAACACCTACGCAACGTACACGTATCCATCTTTAGTCTTTCCAATTGTGCTGCAAGGGCTGTGAATGGCATCCTTAGTGATGTTCTCAAAAAACGATGGGGCGTAGATCGTCTTTGGATGTTTGTTGGTGCCACTACAGGTCTTTTAGCCACAATGACTTATCTCGTCACCTTTGTATCCACCACTGAAGACCTTTTACCATGCACTATTGCTGTTGCAATCATGTATGGCACGGTGTTTGGTGTATCACCAGCAGCTACCACTGAATTCGGTACCGAGGTGAGTTGAGATCAACATGCATGATGATGGTGGTGTTCTTTATTTTACCCGTTGACTAATAATCTTCCTGCTGTACTAGTCGTTTGCTCGCAACTGGTAATTCAATCATACTTGGTCTTTGCATTATCATTTACTTGAATGCTAATACGTTCTTTAGGGGATGGTTGCTTTATGCACCTGCCATTGGTAGTCAAATCTTTAACATTCTATTTGGTGCCCTTTATGACCGAGAAGCGGAGCGGCAAGGTACTCATTTGTGTCACGGCACTGCATGCTTTAGAGGAACTTTTCTTTTTGGCATCGGTTGTGCGCTTGCATGTCTCTCAGTATTAGCGTGGGCCATTGTCAAAATGCGTCTTTACAAGCCAAACAAATTGCAGTAGTAACGACGACGACTCGACTTTAATATCAAACCATCGCCACAGTACATAGCAACGTCAATTAATTTGATGAATTCGACTCCCCCCTTATTAGCAAGCACATTTGCTACCTTGTATCATATACCCGTATCCTCTCACATTATACACGCCCACCAATGCACCCACACCAAGTTAAATACATACATATAAGCGCATATAGGTCTTGCTGATATCATCAGTCTTGGCAGGGGGAGGGGGAATGGTGATGTGCATGCCCTTGAATCAGGGCTATACTTGAATGAAGGAGAGTAGTCATCCACATGCACAAAAGTGATACAAACAAGAGACGTCTCACAACGAGGAAAACAATCGGTGGCTGCATGCATGGCTAAGGATAATAAAGCTGCAACTGTCGGAGAAAGCATTACACATGTCGCTTCGTGTAGAGCTGTGCCCCGCTCTACACCCATGGTGGATCATCATTTCACTGCCACTTTTCCTTTTTCTACCATGTTCCACTTTATCGATGGTATCAAGCTTGTAGATAGCCACAAGGATGGATCTGATGATGATGGATGCTATCTTCTATTCTAGGCTCCTCATTGTGATCCTTTTCACTCCACCACGTGCATTTCAAATGTTCTATCGTCTTAATCTCTCCATATTTTGCATCAATGTTTTTTCGTTCTTGATCCTTGAATTCTTTTTAAGCGTGTATTCTTTGTTTGGTGCATTCCAACAAGCGCCTTTTACTGGTTTCATTTTCCATCTGGACCCCAAATCATGATGTTGTTTATGTATACCGATCCTGCGGAACAATCTTGAGTACCTTTTCGGTTTCAACATTTCGACACGATACCGCGGTCAGATGGCTCTTGGAGCGAATGAGCCGGCTATTACCCACGTGTGGAGCTGAGGTGTGTAATACATTGCCCTAGCTCATCATTTGATTTGTTCCTTGATTATCATGCCGCCTTTTACGAATTCCGCCCGCCATCGCCGCAAGCTGATTTGCGTCGTGATCACTGCGGGGCAAATGATGATTTTCAGGAACACTGCTCTTCTCATTGGTGCACGTTGTTAGTCTAAGTGAAAACTGCTTGGTCCGTATAGGGGCAATCAAAATGTTTTTCCCAGCAAAAAGAGTGTTACCCTAGCCGGCATTGATATGACATGAGGAGGAGAGGTTCTATTCGGCTGATTACAACCATCTTTATTATCACACATGATACCAATTTAGATGGCAAACTACAATGTTGGTATGCATTGGCAAAATCCTGTTGCCTGTGCACACACGCACACGCATAGTCAAGAAGAGATCACAAGGTCATATCATAAAGATGGATCTCATGAGTATGCGGTGGCACCATAATTGTTCCGAACTCATGGGGCATTGTACCAACAAGCGCTATACAGTATTGTGCACCATGATGGGTGCGTTGTATTCGTCACATGGATCGAGAGGTGATGTTGCTGATTCTGTGAATACGCACATAATAGACCTGGTGTAAAAGGATCGAGATCGTGCGCCCCAACATATAGTCCCGTGCCATTGTGTAAGCCTTTTGCTATTGTAAACATCCATTTCTGCACGACATTGGTTGTCGTATTACACTTGTTGTTGATGCTGCTGCCCTAGCACGGCTCGTGTAGCCCAATGGTGAAGATCTGGATTAGTGTATGGCTGTTTTTTTCCCTTCGTGGTAATGATTGGATTGATGCTTGATGTACGACAACCAGCAATAACAATGGTAGTATATGAAAATGCAGACTTTAGCGTTGAGGATCTTCGGACTATTATGCGAGCCTAATGATTATGAATCTGTGGGGTATACACACGTTCGATGCACAGGTCAAGTGAGCGCCATGTGCGCATAGAAACTAGTAATGTCACAAGAACGGCTCATTTAGTGTACACAAAGCTCGCATTATACACATGTTGATTGACCATGTACTATCACAGCTGCCACCATTGTTGTTACTGAATTAGCCATATGATCAATGGAAGGCTTGATCTATTTGTTGACAATGCCCTTATAAAGAAGCGTGTTTCTTTATTATCCATTGGCTGAAGAAACTTAGCAGCCATGAGATGATTAGTTTCGATTACAACACAATGAGCAAATAAGTCATAGGGGAATGTCGAGCTAAGAGGTTTAAAAATGGAGGCGTATAAAAAAAGAGATCTAGCGGTCCTGGTAACCATGCAATAATGGGATTGATGAGATCGAGATCGTGCGACCATCAATTGGTAGAATAGTAGGACCAATGCTACCAGGGTGTGAGTAAGATTTTGGTTAGCTCCTCCAGTGATCGTGCGCTCCACCGCTTTAGGTATGTTTGGTCAACAATGAACCGCCATGGTGCTCTGCTAGCTCCCTTGTTCATAGGTTTTTGCCCTTCGACTTGCGGCATGTCGTATCACCTAGCCCATCAGGGTCTTTTCAAGAGGTAGCTACATCAAAAATTCATATGAGGATAAGGTTGTTCATTAAGCAACATGGATTTTTAGATCTCACCTTAATCAGAGCAAACTATTGCCATGTCAACAAGGACAATGAAAGTGGGGTAACAACGAACGCTAAAAATCATCACCATATTGAGTATATGGGTAGCTCACAGTACACCATGGCATACTTACATCAACTTGGAGTCTGATGGTGACAGCGACGACGATGATCATCAAAGAAGAGCGAGGAGATGTGTGTGGGAGTGAAATGGAAGATTGTGGGCATGTGAATTCCTGTGCTCACAACGAGAAGGAAAGAATGGTGCCATGTAAGGATGAGAAAGACCAAGTGCAAGTGGTGGATAGTGGTGGGTGTCAAGAATGATTCTAATACGTTGATAGGTGCACACCTTGGCTGCATGATGTTGGCTGCATGAAGCGATCAGCTGAGATAATTACTCAAAGCGAGCGGGTGGTGTCACAAGAGTCCTCCTCATCCTCCCCTTCCATTCTCACCCACCTGCTACAACACCTCTCAAGACGCCAATGTCGCTTCAATCTACACCACAGCAGTCGCCAATCTCGCTATTGGAGATATTCCCTGTTGAGGTCCTCAGCATCATATTCTCCAAACTCCAAACAAAAGAACGGATTGCTTGCACCGACGTCTGTCCGCAATGGCGTGCATTCCTTCTCAATTGGCCCGACATGTGGCGTGATATTTCAACAGAAGGACACTTCAACATTGGTCTCAGCTTATTGCCATTTCGTACGTACATTCGCGGCGAGACTGTACGACAAGTACACTTTGATTGTGGCGAGATATCTTCATGGTACAAGCCTGGCGAGCCTGATACAACGCGGGTGATTGACTTTTTGCTTGCTCAAGAGTGCTTCCATCTGCAGAAGGGTATGATGAATGTAGAGGGATCATTGATGCATGTTGTGGGTATTGATGCTCGATATTATTAGTGTTTATGCGTGCTGCTTTTGAGTCTGAATCGACGTTTTCCAAGTTTGTCTTTTTGACGGGGCGAGATACCATCACTGAACTTGAAATTGATTGCAAGGATCGAGAAATTGCTGCTATGCGTGTATTGGATGCTGTGCTACGCTATTATCCCAACCTTCAACGCTGTGCATGCAAAACACATCGCGACTGGCCGGTTGACCGAGCAGGGCTATTTGAGAACGTGAGACCACATCAACACCTTCAAGAACTTGTCATCCACTTATCAGGCTATCGACCACTTCCCATCGATCGCATCGTTCAATACATGCCAAAGCTACGACGAATAGCTTCAACATCACTCATTTGTGAGGACGTGGATCCAATATTACAACACATCATGGCAAGCTGTCCTGATATTGAGCATATCAATTTGGGTGGCACATTGGAACAAAATCCTTCTCGTATGATCAAGTCATCTATATCGCCTCAAAAAGGACTCAAATCACTCTACATATGCCATCGAAGGCGTTGGCGAGGTATTGGATTGATTCACGTGATGGATCGTTATCATCATACTCTGGAATCTCTTTCAATCTTTGGTGACCTTGGATTACATCCACTCGTGATGGCTCGATTAGCAGCGCTTTCATTTCCTCGTCTTGATACCCTCATACTTGCAATGACAGACGGCGGATCAGAAGCTGTTGACTATAATATCAACATGGCTGCATTTTTACGGCAATCAACACGGCTAAGGCATTTACATCTCGCAAAGTCATCAGCAAACAACATTGTATTCCTCAATGGACTCCAGCAATTATCCTCTCTTCGACAACTCATCATCGACGATTGCACTTTTCTTAGCGACACAGCTCTCATGCAGTTATTATCGCATCAACCCCATCTCACCGATCTCATACTCAAACACACAGCTGCTGTAACCGATGACGTCTTTGAAAGTATTGGCACCAACTGTACCGCATTGAGAAGATTGCATGTCCATAGCCCTGTAAGCACTATTCATGGATTGAAACGATGGATGGATACCCGTGCAAATGGATCATGTAAAAGACTTGAATCACTGGAGGTTTATTGCTCTGCCAAAGATCACGAGGAAATGCTGGAATCGGTTTTGGATCGAATGGGGGATTATGCAAAACAATGGCAATTTGGAACCTTACCACAGCAAGATCGTCAATGCTATCAAATTGTTTTTACACACCACACATGGCTTGCAAAGCGCTTGCAACTTTTCCAATCCTTGTATAAAGAAGTAAATTAAGCAGTGATGCATTTGTTTTCTATTCTATGCCCAATGTACATAATAAACCCCCAGTGCTACCTGTATAAGAAAAAAGTCATCTTGTATCATCTGACAATAGTAAATGATTAGTGACCAGGGTTGCTCGCGTAGCCCGTAAACTTTTGACTTATCATTGACTGGTTTATAAATGATCTTACAATAAGCGTACATATTTGCAGTATTCATTTTTATAGGAACCTGCCGCCCGTTGCCATCTATATTTACAATAAAAGACAACCTCTATAACAAGCGATTCAACACCAGGATCTCCTATTTGGTTTCCAATGCATAAAATGACAGCTACTAGCTCTTTCCTCCCATTCACCATTGTTGCCCAATCCAATGCACGTGAACAATCATCTCCATCATTAACTTTCTTGATTCAAGCTGACCTGGTAGTAAGGCAATGGCTGTGTAAAGTGTAAAATGGCACACACCCTTTTGCTATACGTGAGGATCATTTCTTTTATTTATATGTACCTAATGTCTATCGTGAGGGTGATGACCATGATGGGTGGATGGTGCGTATAGGGGTAATTGAGTGTGCCTCAGTGTAATAGCAGTAGGGAGATTTAGACTTGGGGGACAGCAGCTCCACGACTTGAGACAACGCTTCTCTTCTTTTTCTCCCACCTTTCCTTATTCCATTCACGACATCTCGATCAAGGTAAAAAGTGCTCTTGTTGGCTGTGAGGTGGTAATGTAGTTCTGAACATGCATTGTCAGGGAGAGTGAGTGTGTCCAAGTGCTGAGGAATGAGCGTGGTTGGTGGTTGGTGGTTGCCATGGCGATATTGTTGCTTCCTTTTGCTCGTTGCTATTCCCGCTATACGCTTGGTGTCAACAGGTACATTGAGAGTCCAATGTTGCAGCTGACTTGGTTCCATTGACGCGTCAGCTTGTATAGAGGGCAAGTTTGGTTTCAAGACGTTGGCTGGTTTGGCATTTTGTTTCGGCTCAACTATACTACTACACCATGGTTTTCGGTTTCCAGTAACCAACAACAACGTGTCTTTGTGTATATGGAAAAGGCAAGTGCAATGAAACAAACAATGAAAAGGGCGTTTATTGTATATGTGTGCTAATAATGAATCGAATAGGTTTCTTTGGTCAGGCAATGCAACTTGGGGCATCATCATCATCTCTTTGGGTTCAAGTCCCAGCCTGTATCAAGTGGCCGCTGCGTCGCTCTGCACCAGCCAAGTGTGTCGGAAAAGCTTCTTGGAACGCGTCCAGGGCTTTATAGGCCTGCGTTTGAATTGATGGGTCGATGACGATGGATTTTTGGAAGAGCATGGTCACCGTGTTGAGGTAAAAGGGGATTTGCAACAGCTTGTAGTCGCCCCGGCCGTGAATGTGTTGACATCAGTGCGAATCAACATGCTCTTCTCGTGACAGGCTCGTTCTTTCCCTTGAGGATTTCTTTCATGAGGTGGGAAAATGATTGGAAGGATTGGGGATCATTCTTTCTTTGGAGAGGATGAATGAGAACAACTATGAGCCTGGACTCTGCGCAAGCTGATGTCCTTCCTTGCCATGGATCGAACTGGCCTTGCGTGATTCGTGCAGTGCCTTCTCAAGAACAAGGGATCGCCCGACGTTGCTCGTATGGTGGTCATTTGGTTTGTGAATTCCTTCGGATTTGCTTTCTTCCTTAGAGAGGATCGCCTAACGTATACCAAATCGTCATCATTCCCGGTATCAGATGGTCTAACTTGCCTTCTTTCTTATTTGTAGATACGGCGATTACGATGATTACCACATTCACAACAATGACAATGATGACGACAACGAGGTTCAAAGGAAGTCTGCAGTACCCCATTCTTTTCAACTTGTGTATTTTTGGATGTTGGTGTGACGGATGAGATTGACGACTGGTGACGAGTACGAGTAGGAATGATGACGGAGGACGACTACGACGATGGTGGTGGCAATGTACAGTAGCAAGACAGTTAGATGAAATAAAGCATTGCTTATTTATTACACGCTTGTTGGAGGTTGCTAGCTTGTGGATTACATACTATTGCTTCGAAGATGGAATAATAAAGGTGGTCCGGTTATCGGTCATGCAAGAAGTACATGGCTTTTGTGGTACAATAAGGAGGAGTGGGAAATGGGATGAGCTTGAGAAGAGAACAAGTGAAGAGATCCCTCCATTGAGTTTCAGGATGAGTGACTCATTCAATATGTATACGTATCTTCTTACATATACAAATTGGTTTATGCAGCTCGACTTTCTTCTACATGCAAATGTGATGCATACCTTGACACACCTTCATTATTGGATGCTGTTTTACTTACGTACCTTCACAAAAGGCAATCATCACCATCATCCATTTGTGTAGCAACCTGTCAAGGACGCGTTTGTGTAACCACCACGTGCGGTTTCATTCAGCTCTTCATCTTTCCGTTAATGCAGCCGACACCATCCACTAGGAAAAAGCAACTCCATCACGCTTACAGCATAGTGAAAACATAAACGTGCCTGTATCTCCAAACTTTACAATGAAACGTAGGGTTTTGAATAGAGCAATGTGCTCGGCTTGGCCAACAGCACCTTGTGTGAAAGTTTCACGTTCAATGTCGCAACTAGCCCAAAAATTATTTTTTGGTCGTCGTCGTCGTCGAAGAGGTCGACCCCCAGATCCAGTTTGGCTGGTGGCGACATTGCGAAATCTGGGATTGGCAAGCTTGATCGTGAAACTGGCACCCAAGGTGCAGTTGACCAAGCCGAGCACATTGCTCTAATAAAAACCCCTCGTTTCATTGTAAAGTTTGGAGATACAGGCACCTTTATGTTTGTAAGCGTGATGCTATATGAGAAGTGGTCTTTGTTCATTGCCAAGTAGCTAGACCCTGGAGAGCCAAAGATGCAGAAGGACCTCTTTGGGTAACTCAGCTATAAAGTCAGGACTTCAGGGACAATGCATGAAAGGTACGCAACCCTCACTTTTATGTCATACATTGGCAGCTAATAGCCACATTTGTGCATTCCCAACTTTTGTCCATTCTATTGTAGGTGGACAATGCTCCTGCTCTAGACATTCATTTCCATGATTAAAGTAGGTTGATCCGAGCTGATTTGGTTGAGTTACGCTCACACAAGATTACATCGGTTGAGCTACATCGAGCGTGCTTTATGTCCAGAGTGATGTAATCTCTCCTTGACCGCAGCTCAGTCAAATCAGCTCGGATCAACCTACTTTAATCATGGAAATGAATGTCTGG